TTCGTTTTCGATGTGAGACTAAGTCTAAAATCTATGATACCGAATTACGATTTCTACTCGAGTCGTCGGTTATTGTCGCAATGCATGTACGATAGCATTCTTGTTTTATATATTTTGCAGTGCTCTCAAGATGACATCGTGTGGATCGGCTTGAAACCTCGTGATCCCCGTCGTGTTCTGTTCAAGAATGTGATCGTTGCACCTGAACAAAACAAAGTAGATGGTGTCATCGCTGCTCCTCGAGGCACCACGGAACGTTCGACTGCAAGAGAGCCACTTCTTCCCCTTGTCACTTGTAGCTCATCAGTTCCTCACAGTAGCAGAATCCAAGCAAGTGGGGAAGGTGCTTCAGAATTACCCAAGCTTTGTGGTGGTATAGATCATCTACTCGTCGGGTGTAATGATCAACAGAAAGCAGCTATACATAGGGAGATAGCAAGAAGGATCATGGAACACATCAGACTGTTAGCCGCTAGGAAGCTCTCTCTCGTGCTTGATTTGGACCACACTCTCCTTAATTCAACGACGGTAAACTATAACTACTACAAAATTGGAGCTCAAAATCTTACGGTCTTTGCTAATTAGGATAATTAATATATATATATAATAAGATTTCGAGCTGGTAATATTGGATATCTATCGCTTTAGTTTGTAGATGTCAATCCAGTTCACGAAAATACATTGAGGAGCAACGAAGAGCGAGACCGGAAGCTGCCGCAACGCCATCTTTTCCGCCTCCAACATCTGGGATTGTGGATTAAATTTAGACCGGGCATCTGGAATTTTCTGTGCAAGGTTTGGTTTTGATGAAACTGTCTTCTTCCCAAACTACTAATGATTTCTGGATCGTTAATGTACTCCTTGATCTCCTGTAGGCTAGCAAGCTTTACGAGCTGCATGTATGCACCAAGGGAAGCATGGTGTATGCTGCTGAGATTGCAAAGCTGCTTGACCCAACAGGATCTTTGTTCTCCGGGCGCGTCATCTCAAGGGGAGACGATGATGGTGATGCATCACCATCTGACGTTGTCGAAAGGGCTTCCAAACACAAAGATCTAGCTGGGGTTTCAGGACTGGAATCCGCTGTTGTGATTATCGATGATACTCCGGGAATGTGGCCGCGTCACCAACCCAACTTGATTGTTGTAGAGAGGTATAATCGGATTTCAAATCTCGTCGTGTTGGAATCGGGATCGAATCAGTCCGGTGGTTTATGAGTTTTAAGCTTTAAAGCCTGACGATGGTCTTGTCATTGCAGATACCATTTCTTCCCCAGCAGTAAGCGCAAGTTTGGACTTCCCGGGCCTTCTCTTCTGGACATCCATCGTGACGAGAGTTCAAAAGAAGGGACTCTTGCTTCTGCATTGGCGGTATAAACTTGCTGGAACAACGAGTGTTGGAACTTAGGAATTCGTCTCGATTCTCCATTTTTGATGCCTTGTTCTTTCTTTGATCAGGTGATCGAACGAATTCACGACAGCTTCTTCTCGCATCACTCCATACAAGAGGCCGATGTTAGAAGTCTGCTTGAAGCAGAGCAACGTAAGGTTCTAAGAGGTTGTCGCATAGTTTTCAGCCGGGTTTTCCCGGTGGGCGAAGCCAATCCACAACAACACCCCCTCTGGAAGAAAGCACAACAGTTCGGTGCTGTCTGCACCGACCAGATCGATGAACACGTCACTCATGTCATCGCCACTGCTCTTGGGACCGACAAGGTACGGAGACCAAACGCTCGATCGTTTAGATGTTTGCTCTGCTTCTCATATGCGAATGGATGGATCCCACGCAGGTGCAGCGGGCGCTATCTACCGGAAAATTCGTCGTTCATCCTGGCTGGTGAGAAATGAAATGCCACTTTTGGAATTTTCCTTGAACATATATATGCTTGCTTACGAATCTAATGTCTGTGTTGACAGGATAGAAGCTTCGACTCTTCTGTATCGGCGGGCCAACGAGCACAACTTTGCATTGGGAACAAAGACACCTTCAGCTCATCCTACCAAATCCTGAGACCTTTGCTAGCGAACTAGAAGAACTCAGATCTGAATTGGACATCGGTTGCAAAACAATAGAATAAGAAATGCCTTCAATCACTTCGGCTCTAAAAACCAAAAGATGCAAGTAGATGGCCTACAAGAAGAAGACTCTTAAGACCATAAACAACTTATATCATTTAATGGTGAGCATTGCTTGTCCGATGCAAACCAATAACATATTCCCAGGGAAGATTTGGTCCCCTTTTGTCCGATGTTCGTTATTGATAAAAATATTCACACTATAATGCAAGAACTAAATTTATTATGTAAAAATTTAATTTTAGGATTGAGATTAAATATCGTAGATATCGATGAAAGGTGCATAGCCTTAAACATGATAATCAATAAGGTATCTCGAATATCGTGAAATAATACACCCGTCGTTAATCTGCATAAGAAAAAACTAGACTCGTCTTTTCTTTTCGTATCTTTACGAGAGTCCCTATGTCATCTCCTAAGTATAGACTTTTTTTCTTGTATCCTAATGGACTTTTTTTTTTTTGCTTAATGGATAATCTTAATCAGAATTTAATTAGAATCTTAGCATATTTTAACCATTTAATTAGGGTCATCAAATTTAACATATAATTAATTAGATAAGAAACTGGTGAAGTATTAGGAAAATCAGTATTTGGCTAATGTTTGATTTAGCTTCGAATAGTTTGTAAGCTACGAGTAAATGACACACTGAGGGAGATGCATTTTTATTTTATGAGAATTGATGTAAATAAAAAACATAGAAGAACTTGTGGATTGATCATTTTTAATAGTTGGTTGAATCCAAAAGTTCCAAATTCCAATGAATTCTTTTTGTATAGTTTCACTTACCTTCGATCTTAGAAGACTCGCTGTGAGATGTCAAATGGATAAAGTGTCTTAAAAAGATTCAGATATATGCAAATATTTGGGATATTATTTTTAACCCATTTCACACTGTTCTATGCTTTCGAGAATAATAATTATCCAAAAGATTGAATGACTAATTACATATTACCCCTCTAGTTAGTTAGCAATATAGTCCCTATAATTTAAAAAACTATATTTGCATCACTTTAGTTATCAAAGTGAAACATCTAAATCTATTTATCTTAACAACATCAGTTTTACAAATAAAAATATGAAAACAAAAAGTAAAAAAATATTTTTAACATTTGATAGTAGATGGCGTCGATGGTAATGGACGACGACACCACTAGCATCGACGTCGACGCAATTGCCTAGTTGTCTTCGACGATGATAAGGTCTGCTCTTACTACGATGCCACCCGTCTCCACGAGGAGCGTGTCGTCGACCTCATCGCTACTCGCCTCATGCCGCTATACATCTATATTGACGCTGATGCAATTGTCGCTCGAAAACTGCATCGGAATCAACATAGATGGTGGTGGCCGCTCCTCATTCCCTCGCTCCTTTGCTATCACATTCTCCTCGGAGCAACACCCTGAAATCTCCAAATCTCTCTCCCACCTCGTCGTAGCTAAGGACGCCTCTGTCCACCCCCTCCCTCCCTTAGTCTGCTCCCATTTGGAACTCTCCACCACACACAAGAAGCACTCCGCCGCCTACCCCAACCTATTCGAAGTCGTGATCACCCTATGCTCTAATAGCCTCCCGCATGATAGCGACGATGTGGACGAGCTTTAATTAGTGCCCGACACCGCACCATAGAGGGCGACGTCCATTGCCAACCAATTCGAGCTCTTCGACTTGTATGACTCCTACAAGGCGACATGCCTTGCCTTGGACGCCACGGTCCACCTCCCTCAGATCAGGTCATTGTGTTTCCTCGATCGTCGGCTTGGACCAAACAATATATAATGCATCTGCGTCAACACAGTTGCAGTTCCCAAGCGATGCCACTCTACATCTATGTTGATGCCGATGCAGATGAAGAGTGACAAAAGGGTTATTCGGTGAGAGATAGTGTCGGAAATGACATGGCAGCGATGGGAGCTCTAACAACCCCACCTTCATATCGAGGTTAAGATCCGCCCAATGGGTCAGTAGTGAGACAATCATCGTCTTCACCGTAGATGCCGCAACAACCACCACCATCTTCACTATAGATGCAACAGCAACCACCGCCATCTATGTCGATATCGACACAATTACCGAGCGACAATTGCATCAGCATCGAGGCAAATGCAAAGCGACGCGGGCAGCGATGAAGTCGATGATATGCTCCTCATAAAGATCAGTGGTGTTGCGATATGAGCGGACATTATCATCGTTAAAAGCGACCAAGCAACTGTGTCGATATCGACACTAGCAACGTCACCATCTGCTACCGAACATTGAAATTATTTTGTTGTCCTTTGTTTTTATGTTTTTATCGATAAAACTAACGTAAATTGATCTAAATATTTTACTTTTATAATTATAGAAATATCAGTATATTTTTTTAGAATATAAAGAACGACACACTAAAGTAGCTAACTATAATTAACCCAAGATCCAATGATATTATTATTTGCATAGATGAGTGGCAAATTGAGCCAGAAACATGCATAACACCAAATAACGAGCAGCTTCTACATAGATTAGCTTGGAAACAGACCATGAATTCACTCATATCAAGCCGGAGCCAATGCCTCGGCCAATTGAGATTTCCAACACCAGCTAGACCAGAAAATATGAAGCTGGTCTTTTAGAATAATTAGGTCTCTTACGAGCAGATTGATATGAAATTAATAGAGTATTAGTTTGGAGAGACGCAAAAATGAAGAATCTCAACCTTGTTGCACCAAAAGCATAGACAGCTCAATATCAAACACCAAGATGATGGATATAAATTTGCATGCGGCTCTTGCAAGGGACTCCTGTTACCATACCTCAGTTGTATCTAACAGTAAAAAGATTTTGTAGATCATGGCAGAAGATTTATGAGACCACAGATTTTGCAATATCACATGGATCAAAAGGCAATGACATTTTGCTTGTAATGGAGTTGCAAGTCAAATTCACAGAACCAAAAGGAAAAAAGAAATCTATATTCTTTAGCATCTGAACTGGGGATCTGACAGTTTCATTGCACAAACTTTTGCATTTAACCAGGGGAAGCAACGAACATTTACCTTTTCTAACAATGAATCTTGAATCCCCCTTGCCCCAGATAAGAAATACAAGGAAGCACAACACAAATTGATACAGTTTCCAATGAAAACATCTCCTTTACTTCGAGCTAATCATTGATGACTAGCCCATAGTGATCTCCAAGAACACTTTTAGGTGTTTGCCCAAATCCACTGGCAATTTTCATCATTTCCCTCAGTTTTTCTTCCTCGTGCTTTATTTGGTCCACTCGGTGCAGGACATTAGTTAGAAGAGCATCACAATCACCAGCAACGGGTGAAGGCGCAGGATTTTCAAGTTCAGCTCTTTCATAGTCAAGCTGTCGATACAAGCTGAGAAGATAATCCTTCTGAACATACAGTTTTTGTTCTGCAATCCTGTATTCCATTTCCTGCGATCTTTTCAGCTGTCGAAGAACCTGATCGATTTCACCTTCAAGCTTCACAGATACACTATTGTAGTCTGATGTTATATAGCTCTGAGCTCTGCAATCAGCTGCTTCTATTTTCTTCAAGAGTTCAACTTTGTGTCTGCAAACATCTCTAGTTTCTTCTGTTCTGGTGTCCATTGCCCCTAAAACTGTTATCTCATTTCCGTTATGATGCATATCTCCTGTGTCAAAGAAAATGATTCATCAAATTTAGGTAGATCACAGCCACAGTAAGAAGACGGGACTATATTCATTCACGCAGGCAAGATTTCCAAATCACTGTGTTGATGAGGCAGATAATGACCATAAAAAGACAAGTAACCTTTAGGGCATGCTACATGTAGCAGAACATACAAGATACTGTTAAGTGAAAGTTACATCCTTCCAGTAAAAACTTGAACATCTATAGTCGCTATTAAAGTCTTTTTAGGTCTTCCTCTACCTCTCTTCGTACCATTAAAACATAACCATTCCACCATTTAAAGTCCCCATAACCTTCAAAACAATATCCATTTCTTGTTACTTATTGTATGTTTTCTTGTCCATCATGCTTATCTAGTGAGTTTAATTCAGATAATGAGCATCCATCGTCAAGTAAAAAGAATGGTGACTAAGGAAAGAAAACAATTTTCAAATTGCCAAATGTACAAGATATTAACCTTCCAAGGGATACTAATCTAGAGGATCGACGGTATCTTCGAGTGTCTAACAATTCTGTAGTTCTGGTCCTTCTTTTTGCAAGATACCTAATTCATCCCGAGTCAATCCCATATATTTCAAGTTACAGTCTTTCACAGTTTACACCCAAAATCAACATGTAGGTAAACACATAAAATTCTGTTCTTTGACCAAAATGTCCATTTATATGTTTAATCTTGAACTGCATGATTATGATGTTTATGTTAGGTTGTTATGAGTGCTCCTTTGACAAATAGAGGCATACACTAAGGAACTGCATTAAGAAATTTATTTTAACAGCATCTAACTCAGTCTAATAATGAGACTAGCAACTAATCGTGATTGATGCATTCCTGTTGCTTATCTTTACTATATCCCAACAAAAATAAGAAGTGTAATATTCCAAGAAGGTGCCAAAGAAAAAGGGTAAAGCTGCATTGTATGCTATTTACATTATAACAAAGAAGTTTCTTAAATGAATGAAATGGAGGTCATACTCAAAGAAACTTAGAACGAAACCTATAAAATGAATGTTATTCCACAGTCTACAATGCATAAACAGCTTCATGTCTGAAAATTGAAATTAAACATCAGGCAATCCTATAGCAACAGGTTGAAACCAAACAGGCTATACAAAACATTTTTCTAAAATATCAAATCCAAATCCATAAATTAATTATGTTGCCTTCCTATGCTGCCTTTCCTGCCACTGAACTCTATTGAGCGTAATATTCCCATCTCATTCTAGAATCAATTGTTTGTTTATATTGTACTCAATGTTTTCTTGTCTGGTATCAAAGATTAGAGGCTTTTTATGCTAAGTGCTGAGCCAAAAGTGGACCAATTATTCTTAATGATGGTCGAGATAACTGCTTGAATACTAGTAACTTATTTACAATCACTTAGTTTTCATACTTGAACAACAACATTTTCTACCACAATGATATGTGTTGTGCATGAACTAATGCACTAAGCATTAGAGGAAGACATTATCTTTTACAAAAAAAATGATGCAATATGCCAAACATGATCATGTCAATCCAAGTGCATACATAATGATAAAAACCATGATCTTGAATTGGACTTTCTATTTGAAGGACACTATTTCTAAGTACATAACCCTATGAAAACATATACGGGATGAAATTACTTTTTCTTCCACGCCCGTCTCCTACACACAAAATTTAAGCAAGGTGTTGGTCAATTCAATTATAAGGCTCTTTAACAGTCTGGTACAAGCAAGCATTCACATGATCATAGAACTTAAATACATCCTTATTTAGACACATCAGATTACCAAGAGGTAGATAATCTAACATCATTCCTAGCCTGCATACCTAAGCAAAGGTGATAACCTTCAAACTTCTTGAATGCTGAGTTTGACAAAAGCCGTATAGGAAGTTCAATGTCAAGCTATTCTGGAGAGAATAAGCACCATAGTGCATAACTTGACTTTGTCTTTGGCAAGCTTATTAAGTTAAGAATTACCAAAAAATTCATACTTCATGAAGTGAAACAGAGCAGATAGCAGTAGGAAATAGACAAGCTATGACCTGAGCTAGCATCAATTCTTAGAAGCCAGCAATTCCGAAACTTGAGTTATGACTTCCAGGTGATTATGTTTGTTTTTTAGGTTCTGTTGATAACTCGCCATGGTATCAAGAATCACCAAAAAAGTTTAATAATCTAAATGTTAAGCTAAAATTATTATATGAGATAGCTCTAGCCATGTTAATCTAGAAAGATCAGAAAATATTGAGGAAAAACTCACCTGCAGGAAGTATTGTGATGCTATCTTCCACTTTCCAGATTTCATCAAGAGGAACTCCACGTTTAAGCTGGATTAAATATCACACGGTCATGCTGTTGCTTGAGAAGCCCTAAAACGAGAGGATGATAACTATGGAGAATACTCTTATAGTTACAAATTGATTACTAAAATATTAATAGTACCTTAGCAATGGCGAATCGAATATGATTCTGCAAATTCTTAGCTCTTTCCTGTTCAGAGCCACGCAAGATACAAAAACCCAAATTCAGAATTTTTTCCATGTCTTCCTTGGAATCAACAGATTCACAAACTTTTAAAAGCTTGGTCACATGAGGCATTAGGTCAGTTTTATTATCACATCGTCTACAGTAATATTCCACATCTAAACCAATGCTTCCTCCAACAGTCCCAGCCATGTAAGAACGAAGAGCACATTCCACATGTGCCACGTGCCCACATATGTATTGCTCATCCACGCTTGCTTCACATCTAATGAAACCATAACCTTCATATGCCCAATCAACAGTTTTGCAGCACAGGATACAACAACAGTCGTGACAGAAACCAACTTCACTGCAGCAGATATCACAATCCTTGGCTGATGAAGTGTTGGTTTTTACTTTGCCCTGTAAGCTGCACATCACATTTCCAGCTTTACAATCACCAGGCCCAATTGCCAATTCACATTTGGTTCGTTCATTGGTATCAAAACTTCTGGAATATGAGCAGGCATAGTTATCATTCTCTGTACATAAAAAATGTAGAATAGGTTACAAGTTATTACAGATGACACAAATGCACCAGACAAATATATCTAATGAAAACGATTCTCTATGATGAGAAGAGAGAGGCATTTTAACAAACTAAATTATAATAGAAGAATCTAAGATTATATAAAACTTTTGAATCAGTTAATTGGCATTCATACTCACATTTCTTAAGCACGGTTAATTGGCATTCATACTCACATTTCTTAAGCATTAGTAAGATAGTCAATGACTCTATTATCCACAACTTAATTCAATGAAGAGGCATGTACTGTTGTGCCATTTGAAGAGGTTAGCACAGACAACTGCAGATAGATAACATATTTGTTTGTTTATGCCTTGAAGATTTTCATATTTTTAAAGTCCACATTTTGCTAGGTTCATATTATTTTCTTGCATCAAGTTGTTACCTGTATTGACCTTGTCACCCTTAAGTTGACATTGACAAGAATAGCTTATTGTCTGGAAAAGAATGCACAAGTCCAATCTATGAGTCATATCAAGCAAAAGCTTCCTATTTTAATTTTCTTTCAAACAACAAAAATGTTTCCAGAAACATAAAACAAAAGCAGCGTTACCAAGCATGCCCTATGCCTTGGTTTTAAAGGCCTTGTTTATGAAAAGAAAAAACAATTGGAAAGAGGAAAACATGAAATAAACTATGTTCACAACTTGAAGAGGTTATTACATCCATGCAGCATGTGAGATAACAAAATAAACTTGAAGAAATGCTTGTTAGCACATTATACAACCGAAACAAGATTAAAATTTTCATCAAGTAACAATCAGGACATATAACAGATCCAAGTTTAGTCCAGAAACAACTAAGCAAAAGTACAGGTCTCCATTCACAAAGGACAGCAAATGCATAAACTAGATGGTAAACAAAAAATAGACCTTTTTGGGGGGTGAAATCTGCACAAGGAACCCGCCAGATAAACGAAGAAAAGAATGCATTGACATCAGCGTCAGGAAATTCCTTCCGAATATATTCTTCGACTGATACCCTGCTAGGAAATCCGTTTCCGTGTCTCCTACCACCAGATTTTGGACATGTGGGAGGAGCATAAAGATACCTATCGACCCAATGGCCAGAGCTAGACTTTCTGCTGCCTACCTTCCAACGCCATCGATCTCCAGGACACGGCCAATCTTCAGGTGCATAAGGCAAACCTAAACCGGATGAACCAGCGACGACAGGCACTGCAACGAGGCGGTTTTCCTTTACAGGTGACGGATGACAATTGCTTCCATCGTCCATGAACTTTGAGTTCCCTGGTCAAACACTGAGGCCAATCACCTGCAAAGCATCGAAGGACTCATCAGATGGTCTGAGAGTGATCAAAATACATATACGTTTCTACTTGTAGAAATCTGGAACCAGGAGCTTCATTTTTATGAATTCTTTCAACATGACACCTCCATAACCCAGAGTCTAAGATACAAGAAGGTTAAATCTTTGTCCAGTTCAGAGATAAATCTGGCTATCGGAAATCTCCGCTCATCATCGCCTCTAGGGCAAAATAAGCACCCAACCCCATGAAGTCGAAACGGTTCAAGATCCCGTCATTTGACGAAAAATCAACAAGAAAGAAAACATGTTAGAAATCAAAACAAGAAATCTCACAAGATCACGGCCCCCAAGGAAGCCAACAACCAAACAAAATCAGTTCGATCTCTTTTTTTCTAAATGACAACCTAAAAATGATCAGAGAAACAGGGAGCAGGAGTATTGCCATTGATACCTTGCTAGGAAGCCGATTTCTCTTCCGGATCAACCTGAGATTGTTTCTCCTTCAGTCGAAAGAAACAGAGAGCGCGTCTTTGTGTCTCCAATCTAAAAACCGATAGTTGAATGCCCGAGAGTGAGTTCATGAGAAGGTATGCAAGCAACTTCGGCTTCCTGGAATTGGATCCTAAATTCCCAAAATACCCTCGGGACTAATGAATGGCCCACCAAAGAATGGTCGGTCGATCGCTGTTCTGAAACCCTAACCGGGTAGGATGTCCACTTACCGAGTAAAAAAATATTATATTTTTAGAAATAAAAATATGTTATATTATTGAAAAAATGTTAAATCAGATTATTTAACTAAATTCGCAACCGGACAACACGTCCCCTCACGTGTGTCATACGTTCGACACCCATATACATATGATTCAAGTTAGTATATTTTGATGTCCTCATAAATCTATATCTAACACATGTAAATGGTTTACGCTGCATACCCTAAATCCCTTGAATATCTCATGTGTCCAACACTCCTTACATGGTACGAATTAAGTCGAATATGTCTCGACACTCTCATGCATCTCCAATATCACGCACCCTCTACATGGGCGATTCACGTCGATACTAATAGAAGATCATAATAGAGGTAAATATGAAATAATAATTATGCATTTCTTATATGTTCTAATTCTCAATCAATCTATAATTTAAAGATCAATCACAATAAATATATGTGTATGATTTGAGCACATGATTTAGAAAACTTCTCCCTCAAATCTATATAAATGTCTATTACATCAATAAATGAAATTATCCTCTTTCATAGTATTTTTTTATGGTATCGAAGCTTCTCTTACCTTAAGCAATGTGTCCCCTTTCTCACTGTTCGACGATAGCAATCTGTCTCTGTTGATCTGTCATAGTGATTACCTTGCTAGTGGTATTTAATCGGCTCTCCCAAATGTATTTTGCCCAGCAGTTTTCTTGGTGATATTCCTCACATGCCAGACTACAGGAGGGAAACACCAGCCATCACTACTAATCTCCTTGGTGTTAGCATATATATTTTCTTCTCCAACGTTTGTGGATTCCACCCATGTACATATGGTGTATACACTACAAAGTTAGTTATTTCACAATCCCATACTTGTGTTTCCACTTCTTCCTCAGCAAGCAGCTCTCCATCAGCTAGCTAATTTCCTTTGAATGACTCATCATCCTACTATAGGTGATTACCCTTACTCCTGTCGTAAATAGCTACTATTTCAAGAGACCACCTTCCATCAGCCACTTCCTTCTCCCACCATAGGCAACCTCTCGATTACTTCCTTCTTCGATAGGCTCCCTCCTTACATAACATCAATAAAAATGTCAATCTGGCAAGTCACTTCCTCATGTTGTAGGTAGATCTAATCCAGCCCTTACTCTACTTATAACCCTTGTTGTAGTCGATCTAGTCCTCACTCTAAGATGCCATCTTCTCCCACCCTTCCTCGTGCCATCTCTTCCAACCATCCAACAATCATATATTCTTCCTTCTCCAGCTCTAACGCTCTAGTGATTATTACTTCAGGGAATAATAGTTTCTCTCATCCTATAGGACTCATCTTTATAAATGCAACAACTTTGAGCCCTTTCAAACTATGCATCTTGGATAGTTCAATTTACTAACCTTTTTTTCAGATATAATCTACTAAGCTATATCGATGGATCTCTCAATTGTCCACCCAAAAATATTTAAATACTAAAAGAGCCAACCTGAATGATAAATCAAAATCATAAATTATGATTATGTCAAAACCGTCTTATTCTATAAATCATTAAGCCTTAGTTATGGGCTCCATAGCACTAATAATTTCTTTATGCAATACTACAGTAGAAGCATTGTCTAAATTATAAATGACCTTTGTCGATCATTGTCGCACTCATATATAAATCTTTTATCTACTCTAATGAAAATAACTCAAGCGAAGTCATATTATTGATTATATATATAATTTAAAAGTTATTATAGATGACTTAACTTTATTGTGTTATACCCTAAGTAATAAAGAACTCATTACTCATATTCTCAATGGTCTATGAAATGTATACAAGGAATTGACCATAGCAATTCAAACATATGCCTTACTAATGTTATTTGAAAAATTATATAACGAGTGGATTGATTAAAAAATATTTCTGAAATGAAATAAGAGGAAGATTGGACCAACTATCACACCTTAATTCAATAAAAAAATATAAAAAAAGAGCAATCAAAACAACAAGAATCTCAATAAATGACCAACAAGATGTCTCACATATGGGTAACACACAAAGTCATTATCCTCTATTACACTATTAACTCTTCAACTATGGTGGCAATTTCAATCCAAATAACTCAAGAAATAACTTTAACAATAATCACTACAACTATCATAATTCGGGCACCTTAATAATAACAATCAACAAAAAGTCATCTATTGTGAGAAAATTAGGCATAACAAAATTTATTGATATCATCCCAAGCTTATAACTATACCCAATTGGCTTCAAACAAATATTATGACTACTTCAACCACTCATCTAAGCAATTGAATTGTTGACTCTGGTACTTCCCATTATATCACTTCTGATCTGTAGAATTTATTTATTCACACTAACTATCGAGGTAATGAAGATATCATTATTAGTGATGGTAACAAAATCCCTATCACTCACGCTTAATTACACATGAACACTTTTACACTTGATGATTTCTTGTGTGTACTTCGTATCAAAAGTAATATTATTTCTGTCTCTTAATTCTATAAATAAAATAATACTTATATTAAGTTCTTCTTGACTCGTTTCTTATAAAGAATCATAACATAAGGATATCTTTAGTTTGAAGTCAAAATAAAGACAACATTTATAAGTTGTCATCAACTTCACAAATTACTTAGTCAATCGCTCTCGCTTTAGTTGCTATGATAATCCATGTATGATATCATTATCTTAGTCATTTGTTATTCATTATTCAACAATAACTAATTTCTTATTGCTCCCTTCCAACTTCCAAATCAAGTAGAATTGGATGCTTACTTTAGTAATAGAAGTTATAAACTAACTTTTGGAATATCTTTTATATCATATTCCAAGTCACTTAAAATTATTTATATTAATGTCTGGAGTCTTACCCTAGCCACTTTCTTTAATAATTTTATATTTTATATTATTCTTATAAATTATTTACTAAATATACATGGTTCTAGCCTTTTAAACATAAATATAAAGTTACCATAATCTTTACTCATTTAAGAAAAATAGTTACAAACTTCTTCTAATCTACCATTAAAATAGTTTACTCTAATAGAGGGGGGTGAATACTAAGCTCTTATTATATGGTACATAACATTTCAAGTCATCACCACACGTACCTAAACTAGATGGTTCTATTGAACGAAAGAACTAATACATAGTTGAATTAGTCTCACCCTTATACACTAAACCTCTATGTCACTAACTTTTAGTCATTAGTCTTTCAAACTGTGATATACTTCATTAACTATTTATTTAAATAACATAAATAATCAAATATCAATCATCATTTAAAAGATTATTTATGTTATCTCTGATTATACCCCTACGCTTTACATAAACTAACATTAAGATTCAAGTTTTACATCTTCATCGAGTAGTCCCTTAAATATAATACTTTTCGATGTTATAATTCTCAAACTCAAAAGATCTTTTTAGTATGTTATGTTGTTTTTGTTAAGTCCATCTTTCCTTTCCAAAATATTATCCTATCACTAATATGAGTCACTATAACAATTATCAATCACTAGGTTTATAAAAGTACATCTCAAACCTCCTCAAGTGCACCTCTCTCCACATTAATCAGTAGTTGCCCGCTAGACTTATCCTGGCTTATTACTCCAATTTAGCAACACCTCAACCCCTCTACAACTTCTCCATCTATCTCTCCACCAACTTACTTTGCAATGCATAATGAAGCAACGCCTTCAATACCACAACTAATCTAGCCCATGTTTCCTATCCAAATTAAATTCTATAGATGACTTATCATAGTCTATAACCTGTTCAAGTTAAATTCTATAGATTGATCTAGTCCATTTTCTTGTTCAGATTAAAATCCTTAATCTAGTCTAGGTTTCTTTCTATTTTATTTGATCTCTAATGTTATATGATGAGAAATATGTTTTGTTTAACATTAAGGAACTCATTGTCAAATATGGATATGCTACCACATTAGTGATCCACATCACCTATCACATTGATTGTTGCCATATCAGCACTGACACTACCACATGATTGTTGCCATATCAGCCTCTCCATGTCTATCCTTATCAACCTACCATATCAACACTTTCAACCTTCCATAAGAACCTTATGAACTAACTTCACTATTGAAGTGGTCGAGATAGGAATACTCTTAGTTCTAGTTTTGTAAGTGACTCTTATGACAAGAGAGACTCCTTCGAACCCTACATGAACAATTCATATTGGTATGCCTTGATGCCTTCTTATGTTTTCTGCATCTAATAATTTTTATACAAGTTATTTAAGTCTGTACGCCCTAAGGCCCTCACAAATCACCTATATTTGATACCCCTATTTAGGTATTTCATGTCTATATGCCCCAATCCCCTCGTGTATTTTCTATGTCCAACATCCTATACGTGATTGATTTCTATAGGTACATCTCGATATCGTTGCTTCCTAAAGCCCTTAACACGTCTCTCATGTTCAACACTTTCTATATAAGTGCTTTAAATAAACATGTCTTGATACTCTCATATGTCTTCTATGTCTGATAACGTTATAGCATCAAGTTAGCGTGCCTCAACGCACTTGTGCCTATCTTGTGTTTTGATACCCCTTATATGTCTTTCTGTTAGGATCAAGAGCTCACTAAGAGAGGAGGGGGGGGGGGGGTTTGAATTAGTGCAACGAAAAACTTTCGTCGGTTAAAACGACTTTCGTACGATGAAATCTGATTTCGATGAAAACCGTTTTAAAAAGATCTTTTAAGTTGAGAGCAAGCAGAAGTGTAGTTAATATAAAACAAAGACAGTTTGCAGTTAAGATAAAGAGCAGAAATTAAATGCAAACCAAGATTTAGAGTGGTTCGGTCAATCTTGGCCTATATCCACTTTTGGCTTCCTCCTCCGACAAGATCACTGACGTCCATTAGAAACCTTCCTTCAATAGGCGAAGGTCAATCACCTTTTACACACCTCTTCTCCTTTTACCGGGTTTAGGAGATAACCCTTACAAGCACTCACACTCCTCTCTTACAGATTTCTAACACTTAGAGTAGAGGAGGGAAATCTAAGGAGATTGCAAGAGCGTTTCTCTACTTTTAAACTCTCTGTGCTTGTGTGTTTTAACCAGGGATGAAAGGGGTATTTATATGCTTCAAGTTGATTCAAACTTAGAGCCTAAAACTTTTCCATCCCAGATTCCCCGGGCTCGAGCGGTACCACCGTCCAGTGTCAGTCTGAGGCTGACACTGCCCTGGGCAGTACCACCGCCTGGGGTCTAGTGCTGGACGGTACCATCGCCCAGACTGGCGATACCACCGCCTGGCACCCTGCTAGGGGCGGTACAACCGCCCAGACTGACGGTACCATCGCCTGACACAACCTCGAAGACTGTGCCATGACGGTGAGATTTCTTGGGGCACTGTTTGGGCAATCTATACAATTAATACTAAGCAATAATCAAGTTGTCCGGCATGTCATTGGTCCCTCGACGCTTCGTTCGATTCTTCGGCGTATCGTCCTCTTTTGCAGCCTATTGTCCAATCGGTCAGTTGACTCCGCAACTCTGATATCCTTGGCGCAATATCCGCTCTTATTGGCCCGATGCTTGAATCCACGGCTCGAAGCCTTCTGTCGATACGTCGACTGATCCTTCGGCTCGACGTCCAATCTTTTGACATGTTTTCCCCCAGCACAACATAATTCTTCCTACTTTAATTATCTTATTCTGATCGAAGCATCCTACGTCACTCAAAACGTAGATTAAAACATAAATATAATTATCAATTGGTTTCATTATCAAAATATGAGATTCTAACACTTTTAAACTAATGCACATCAATATCGTGAAAACATAAGTCGCAAAAGGTTCAATTGATTCTTTAAATATATGTATTTTTATCATAAAAGATTAAAATATAAGAAAATAAATACTATTACTACTATAAAATATGTAAATAATTATATATATATATATATATATATATATATATATATATATATATATATATATATATATATATATATAAGTTGAAGTTGAATAAAAAAAAAGTCAAAGTACACAAAATTTGATCGTGCAGTTTGAAGTCGTGAATAAATCCAAATAGACGATTAGATATTATTTTCGTGCGTGCATAAATATTGAATGAACCTATTTTTATTTTAACTATAAGATAAAATTACAGTGAAAGAAAATGAATTATGAAACTTGTTGTTTCATATTACAACAATTCGATTATTAACGTTTTAAGGTCAACAAAAACCTCGACAATCATAACATTAATCAGTATTTAAGTAATATAATATTATTAATGATATAAACAAAATATTAATCATGAAAATGATAAAATTGATTACTAATTTGTATTCAACCAATCTAAAATTAAACTCGTTAATTAATAAGAAAATTTAATCGTATATTGTTAAAGAAAAAGTAAAAGAATTAATGTATGATCTCAAGGCTCACGTTGGCAGCATTTAAATGGTTTTTCATCGACCCAAGAGTTCACCACCCCGATCGAGTAGATTACCTGGGATCGTCGACGATTGGGTGGACGCGGCCCCTTGTGCGGGACCCGTCTCACGTGCCAGTTTCTACCTTTGGGGCCCCACATCAACCGGAGCACATAGAATGGTTGTCCGCCTCTCCATATAAACCCCCCAAATCCTAACGTTTAACGAGCAGTTTCCTTTTCGATCCCTTCGTAAAGAAGGAAAGGAGGAACTCTCCCTTCCCCTTTCTCCTCGCGGAGCCCCAAATTAGCCGTCCTTGAAACCCTAAATCCATCTGAAACCCTCTCGCCACCCTTATCCTACACCATATCCATCCGATTCCAGGCGTCGAAGGCACACGCCGCGATTTCTTGGCGGATTCGCCCTCATCCGTATCGACCTAGGGTTCCATCGCCGCTCGATTTGGAGGAATTCCAAATCCGGGGAGCTCGCAGCTTGGATCGTTCGGATCGGCCCTCGCTTCGTGGGGCTTTGACCTTATCGGTTCCAGGGAGCCTCCTGCCGTGGCGAGATTCTGGTGAGGCGGTAACTCCTTTGGGTGAAGAGGCTTTCGTTCATCGAGGCTTGTCCCGCTGCAGCGATCGGTGGAAATTGCGCCTCGGAGGACCCGATTTGGAGTTTTTCAAGCCGTCTTGCTGCGGATCGTTGGTTTTTGCTGCTTCAACCGATCTTTCGCCTGATCGACCAAAGGAGTTCTTCTGCTGCTGTTTTTGATACTTTCTCGATCTCTCTTGGAGAATTGCGGTCTTGATCGAAGAACAGAGCGTGTCCCACAGCCTCAGGAAGGAATGAATCATCTGTATACAAGTCCATGATTTCTGTTGTTCTAGCTTAATACGAGGCCTGCTTTTATTCTTTTGGCCTTTAAGCAGTTTGCGGCTTATTTTTAGGGCAACAGTTTTGTTGTTTGTGGTTTATCTTGCTTGAAATTGGGACAGAGAGAAGAAAAGAGAAAAAAAAATAATGGCTGTGTATTATAAGTTTAAAAGTGCCAAAGATTACGATTCTATTCCCATTGAGGGGCAATTTATATCTGTTGCCAATTTGAAAGAAAGAATTTTTGAAACCAAGCTATTTGGAAAAGGCACCGATTTCGACCTCATGATCTCTAATGCACAGACTAATGAAGGTTGGTTTTTTCTCTAGAGTAAATTATGATGCAGTCTGGTTTACTAGCAAACCATTATTTTCATAATTGGCAATTAATAATAGACACTAGGACGAGTTATGCTTCCTTCAATTTAAGGAACATTAATGTCTAGGTGCTAAGTGTGAATGGTCTGAGGATCTATGCCCAGTTTTAGTTAAGCATAAGGAATAAATTTCTCTTGGATTACTTTTCTGGGTGAATAAGGGTTGAACAAATTCTCTGGAATTTATAGACTCTCTGCTCTTCCCTTTTCGGTTTCAGAATATGTAGATGAAGGAGCTATGATACCCAAAAACACATCGGTTTTGATTCGTCGGGTTCCAGGACAGCCACGGAAGCCTATTGTCACTGAAAGAAATGAGTACTATCTCAGACCTTAAATCTTCAATATTTAATAGTCTTTTTTCTTAGTATTTACTCTGCAATGTAGCCAACAGATTGTGATTTTAGTGGCAATGTTGCAGTGACAGTAGAAACTTGCAGGTTTATCTGCAACAGACTTGACATGAAGTTTGAGTATTGCTTTGTATATAAATCTGAGATAGAAAGTATATGTTTGACTACAGGATGAAAATTGTAGAGGATAAAGTAGAGGATCTTCCACCATCTAGTAGCTTGTTGGTTGATGCTTCTTCTACTACCAAATATGTAAGCTTGACTTCTGGCAGATCCATTAGGATACTTCTTTTTGACGTAATACGACAACTAGTAGCTTTTATTCTGCATGGTTGATGGATTTAAAGTTTTGGCATGACAAAAATAGATAATAACACAATGTTAAATTTTGCAGCCCGAAGAATTTGAATGGGATGAATTTGGGAATGATCTATATGCCATTCCTGAAGTTAATCCTGCTCAATCGAGTAATCCTGTTATAGATACTTCTCCTGCCAACAAGGTTGATGAAGATAGCAAGATTAAGGCTTTGATCGACACGCCTGCCCTTGACTGGAATCGGTGAGGCATATTCACCAGATCTTCTATTATTGTTATTATTATTTGCTTTTCGGTAGTTTTGTGAGAAATGAGCAGCATGCCATGGGACAGATGAGAATAAAGTTTCAGTTACATGATTACTGTCATTGAGCAATGAGTATACTATAAGTTGGTGTTTTAACTGAGTTGGATGAACTTTGCAGCCAAACACAAGATGCCTATGGTGCTGGAAGAGGCTTTGGGAGGGGGATTGGTGGCAGGATGATGGGTGGTCGTGGTTTTGGTAATTCTCTGATTATCATCTTTCTCTGCCATGAAAGAGAGTTTGGTTTGACCATTAGTTCAAGAATGCATGTATATTTGAATGAGGACGCAGACTGCCATGTACCAAACATGCTAAGAGTGTCTTTTATAACATACCGTGTTTGGTATAGAGAAGACAGTCAGTTACTCATGGCAGTTGCATCTTAAATTATAGTTTGCATAGTTAGATTATCTTGGACCTGAAATTTATTTGTTTCTGGAAAAATGCAGGGCGAGGTATGCTTGAACGTAAGACACCCCCAGCAGGCTATGTCTGTCATAGATGCAAAGTGCCTGGTACAACATATATTTGTTGTCTCGTAATTCCCTGTATTTTTCTCTTGCAATTTATTTAGGAAAAAACTAATATACCTGGTGAACGTTACTGTTTAGGCCACTTTATCCAGCATTGCCCCACAAATGGAGACCCTAACTATGACATCAAAAGGGTGAAACCTCCTACTGGAATTCCAAAATCAATGTTGATGGCGACTCCTGATGGCTCCTATGCATTGCCAAGTGGTGCAGTTGCTGTTTTGAAGCCAAACGAGTAGGTTTTTTTTTTTTTGTGCAGTAGTTGTTGAACAGATTATTTTGTACAACTTTCATATAATCTTTATTGTAACATATAGGGCTGCATTTGAGAAAGAAATTGAGGGGTTGCCAACCACTCGTTCCGTCAGTGATCTTCCACCAGAATTGCGTTGCCCTTTATGTAAAGAGGTGATGAAAGATGCTGTGCTAACTAGCAAGTGTTGTTTCAGGAGTTTTTGTGATAAATGTAAGTCTCACTGTTTGTGCATGTTGCTTTTTTGTGCTATAGTTATTGGTAGAGATATTACTTGGTAAATGTATTTGTTCAGTGTGTTCAATTTTTGAATTGCGGAAAACTATAAGTGATGATATAATATTGAGCTTTCATTTTTTTTTTGGTTTGCTCCTAATATGTCAGGAGTTGTTTCTTTGATTTTGCTATCAGGCATTAGAGACTACATAATTACAAAGCTGATGTGTGTGTGTGGGGCAACAAACATATTGGCGGATGACCTTCTTCCCAATAAAACACTCAGGGAAACAATAAGTCGGATTTTAGAATCAGCAACTAGTAGTACAGAAAATGCTGGAAGTATGGTACAGGTCCAAGGTATGAACACGTTTTTTCCTTTGATATATGCTCTGATTTTGTTCTTTCTATTAGTAGCTTTAACCATTATCCTTTTCAGATATGGAATCAGCTCGTCCTTTTCAGCCAAAAATTCCATCTCCTACCCTTTCTGTTGCTTCCAGAGATGAACCTAAGCAACCTACGATGGAGCAACCTTCTCATAAGAAAGAAGGTGAAGTTGCATGTGAAACCAAGGATTCAAACAATGAGATGAACTCTTTGGATAAGAAATCTGCGATAAATACTAATGTATCTGAAGCAACCCCAGAGCCTTTGAGTAAGGGACCAAAGTCACCTGAGAGTGCTCCAGTGCCTGAAGATGTCCAACAAGAAAAGCATCTTGCTGGAGACCTAGGTAAGATATTGTGTGTTTGCAATGTCACATTCGTTTTACTGATCGGCCGTTGAGGTAGGTGGTAGAGCATCATTTTGAGAGAATAGATCAGATTTTGTGGTTTTTTTTTTCCAGTTCCAGAGGTTAATTTACTTGTGTGTGTGTGTGTGTGTTAGAAACAATATATAGGAATATGTGTTATTAGAAGATCTTCCTTTTCTTTTAAGTTATAGGTCCATAGTTCATGTATGAATACTATCTAGAGATAGGTTGGACCACAGGGGTTTGTATGAGAGAATGATATTATTTTGATTTATTGTTTTTATACTTAACCTTTTTTTCTTCTAGAATATTTTCTATTAATTGTTCTTTTCTACAGGGAAGAAAAAGAAGAAGAAAAAGGCCCGTCTCCCTGGCACTGGTTTGTTCATCACCCTAAGATTCATTCAGTCTAGTTATATACTAGCAACTGTGGTTACTTGAGTCATAGCTTGAAATATAATGCAGTTTCAGATGATTGCTTCCTGTACTAGTAGGTAAATCAAGCACCATGCTGAATTGTTTTGCCTTTCTCCTGCCTTTCTCTAAAATGCAGCTGGTGACATGCAATGGAGAGCCTACCAGGATCCTGGAGCTGAAAATTTTGGCATGCCTGTGGCTGCTTCAGGCTACAATCCATACTGGGCTGGCGGTATGCCATTGGGTGTTGATGGCTACATGGCACCTTTTGGTGGTCCAATGCCATTTATGGGATATGCACCAGGTCCTTTTGATGTTCCTTTTGGTGGGGGGATTTTTCCGCAGGATCCATTTGCTGCGCAAGGTTTTATGATGCCTGCAGTTCCAAGGTATGTCACTGATAGACAGTCAGATGCTTAACGAAACAATTACCAGCTGACTTTTGCTTTAGCTATTCTGATAAGGTTTTATGCTTTGAGTGGGTTAGACTAGGTATGATGCATGGTTTGATGTGTAAATCATTATCTGTCCATGTGCTTCTAGTTTGTTCATTTAATAGTTTATTTTCATATCTTGTTTGTTTCTACTATATCTGTTGTACTTTGCAGTTTGTTAGCAGCAGATATATATGGATTGTTGACAAAGTTAGTACCTTCTACAGGGACCTATCTGAGTTAGGGATGGGCAGTATGGGCATGAAGCAGGGGCCTCCAGGTATGAGCAGAGATGACTTCGATGCAAGAAAGGCTGATCTGAGGCGCAAGCGTGAAATGGAGCGATTTAGTCAAAGGTAATTGCATTGCCTAGTATCTGCTGTTCATTGATTGCTTACTCGTTTAACATCTGTCCACTGTGTTGATGTGGTTAGAACCTGAGTAATTTGTGAAGGTCCTTATTTGATGAATCCATCTTGATTTTTTCCTTGATATGCTCTGATAGCTATGAATCTAGCAAAATTTTCATTTGGAACACGAATGTGCTTTTAATGTATATGACATATGCTCATTATTGTATGATTGTACTCATGATTTTTATGATTTTTGACTTTTTGTGTATTAAGTGTGAAGTCCGGAACTATAATAAAGAGGGGTTGAGTATCCTGATAGTCAAGATGAATATGGTTTATATTGGTGAGTTTTGCCAAGTAAATGACACATACACCAATACATGCAAAATATAGATTACAGCATGTAGTGGATTTCATAACAAAAATTTGGCCTTCAAGTGTAAGCAGAAGTTTATCACCATCATTAAGCATGAAGTATAGTTGATCGACTAATGTTGTTGGGTCTATGGTTCTATTCTATAGGTTGTTGGTTTATGTACAAGATGCTGATTTTGATTCATAGGTAGTGAATTTTATGATTATCTTGTTCTGTTGGTGAGGGGGCTTTTAGAGGTCTTTTTTGGGTGCTTTCCTTGGTCTGAAGTTGCCTTTTGTATATTAAGCCTGTAACACTTAGAAATTGGTTAAATGAGTCTTAGCTTGCTTATTCCTAGCTTAAGCCTGTAACGCAACTTAAATTGGTTAAATTCAACTAGGTTCCAGATATGCCTGTTCCTTAGGTATTTCGACCAACTCTTTACATTTAATAATGGAGAGAAAAGCCATTGCAATTCTGTTGCTGAGTTCTGGCCTGGGTTTATATCACTGTTGTATTTAATTAAAATTTTATCTTTTAACCATATGATAAATCTGAGGACTGGAACATAGATGAACTAGTCAAAATGCTGATGACATGCATAATTTTGGATAGTCTTAAATTCTTTCCTATTTGCAATGAGAATCTTTTTTGTAGTTAAACTCATTCCAGTTCCTTGATAAACTTGGCATTGTCATTGATCATCATATTGATCTTATGCTATGATACCTATAGGGGATATATTTTCTCCTTTTTGTCCTCTTGGTTCTATTTGAGTTTCACCTATGTATTCCAATCAAGGCTGAAACTCAGGCAGCATGTTGGTGTCTGTTGAACTCTTGGCACATCCAAATCAACCTGTTCTAATGATTGGGTGCCTTGCTTGGTGTTGAACTCGATGTTAATTGAATTCCTAATCTCATCATCCAAATCTGCTCCAATTTGTTTTACCTAATTTGGACTCTTGGCACCAAGTACCCTGTGCTCCTTTATACACATACGACTCTGGTACAAGCGTTTTGTTACTTCAATCTTTGATTCTGTCCCCAGAAAATGTCCTAATGAAGGTGTCATGCCTGACATCTATTTTCAGATTAGCCAAATCTCTGTCATCTGTGCGTGCTTTGTTGTTGGGAACAAAAGTAATCATATAATGTTTAAGGTGCTGTTCTGTAAGATTCATGTTTTTAGTGTTACTGTTTTGATGTTGTGCTCCCTTTTGGCATCTTGAACATTTTGTTATCGTGCAATGCCCCATTATCTTTTCATGTTCCATGCGCCTCCTGTTTTCCACGATGATGAAGATATATTACTTTGAAATCCAGTTGCAAGATCCTGTTTGCCTATGGATTGGCTTTTGTTAGCTTTGATTGCTGAAGCTCCTGTTGAATGAACGAACGCAGGGATCGGGAGCACTCCAAGGATCGGGAGTCAAGGAGGGAATCGAGCAGCGTTAATGATGCTTCTTCTATGAGACCAAAGCCCGTATGTCCTTTTTTGTTGTTTCATTTGCTTGCTCGTACTTGTAGTTTCGGCTTTTATCAACGTAGCTGCATTAGATATAAAAAGATAGGCAAACAAAGAACGGCTGCACTTCATGTTGGCAAGTGGTTTTTCATGCACGTGGCCCTCTTGAAGCGAAATCTACCACGAGCGATCGGGGCTCATTTCATGGTCGATATGGTCAGGCCCCTTGCCTCAGTGGTTGTCCATGTATCTGCATCGTCGATCACCAGGCGGACGTAGCCCGGCCGCCCGTTAGTAATTTTCCTTGCAAGATAGCGGTAATTTTTTTTTTTTTGTGATTCTTTTCATTGCCATTCAACACATTCTCTGAGTTCGCCGGTAAGTCAACATCTCAGTTAATGGATAACCACAAGGGGCAACCACCGTAATGAGGATGGTGAGACTGTCATGGGCTCATTGTCGCACGCACATTGGTGGTCAAATCAGCATATGAGGGTGATGATTCTCGAGGGCCCACTTCGGTAAGGGACAAAATGGACTACTGTTCCCGATCAATTGGGACCACCCCTACATTTTGGGCACTTGACTCGGCGATATTGATCTGACTATGTTTGATAATAACAGACATTGTGAAGGGCCAAAGTGACTTTTGCCACGTTGGTGGCACATTTGTGATTCTTTTTGCTTGAAATGCAACCTTGTTTTCTTCTTTCTTGTAATAATTATTTTCTCCTCGTGATTGCAGAGGCCGATGTTCCAGGCGGACCGGTTCGACCGGGAACGGGACCGGTCCGAGAGGTCCGCAAGCGTGGGCCGCCATGGACCGGCCCGCGACTCCGCCCGGCACTCGCCACCACGGCCCAGAAAGAGGAAAGCCGCGGAGGACCACGACGAGGCGCCCTCCGACGCAGCCGCCGAGGCCGCCAAGGCGGAGCGGAAGCAGAAGGGCAGCGTCTTCTCCCGCATCAGCTTCCCGGACCCAGGGGAGGGGGCGAGTAAGAAGAGGAAGTCCTCGTCGTCTGAGCTCGCACCGAGGAACGGGCTGAAGGAGCCGGCGGGACGCAAGGTCGGGTCCGAGGGGCATCGCGACGAGCCCAAGGGCGGGAAGAGCTCGTCGGTGAGCGCGAAGAGGGGGAGCGGCGGGCACGATCTTGAGTCGAGCGAGGAGGAGTACCACTTCAAGCGGAGGCCTTCGTCGTCGTCGTCGAGAAGGGACGCGGCGGTGGACCGGGAGGAAGAGGCTCCCCGGACATCCAGGCGTTCTCGGGAGCGGGAGCGGGAGCGCGAGCGCGGGCCTCATGAACGTGGTGGTAGGGAACGTGAACGCGGCCACGAGCGTCCTGCGAGCAAGCGAAGATGAGAGAGAGACAGCAATTTCGTAGATGTTTATGTAATTAATTACCTGGGGCTTTTATATTTACAGATCTATTGTAATAAGAATTCAACTTGGAATTTGGTCTTTCCCTTTTTTTATAATTTCCACTGGTAATTATCTTATCCCTCTTTGCCACCTCCTGTTCTGATGGATGGCAGAAATTGTGGGAGGAGTTTGTCACGAAATCTATATTTCAGAAGATAAGATTTACAGATAAATTAATTAATCTCATTTCTTTAAAAGATTCATATCAGGAAGGCAGATCATTTGTTTTTAATAACAATAATATAAATTTGATATCATTCCGCTCAACATTAAAAAAAAGTACTTTAGTAATGAGAAAGAATTACTATATATTTATAAGAATAAATTTGTTAAGAACAGCAGCTCGTATCCAATCCAATCACAAATCATGTTTCTCCAGTCTCGTACCTATGCTTAGCTTGTATCGGATTCGGGTTAACCCCATGTGCGATCCGACTAGGACCCGTTCTGACACCGCCCAGTTCCTGCTTCCTCGTTGATCGGCCACCGCTCGACGCGCCGAGGATTCATGCAAGGACAGGTTCGCCCACCGACATCCATTTTCCAAACCTTGCCACGTTTCATGTTACCACCATCCGTTCCCCTTCGTTCTGCCACGCGTGCGAACTCACCCGTAACGTGCCGATCTCCTGCGCTTCTCTATCTTCCTTGTCGTCCATATAATTGCGGTCGCAGCCACCACAGGTTTCACTGATAGCGCGACCCTTCCGTACGGCCGGGAACCATGAGCCAGAACCAACCTACGAGGCCTGTTCGGGGACAGGAGCAGCCGATACGGTACGGCGATGTGTTTGCGGTGTCGGGGAGCCTCGCCGGCGAGGCAATCTCCCCGAGGGACGCGGCCATGATGCAGTCGGCTGAGAACAGAGCGCTGGGCCAGACCCCCCAGGGCGGCGCGGCCTCTGTCATGGAATCGGCCGCCATGTGGAACGAGCAGTGTGGCCTCGTAGGCCATGAGCAGTTCAGCGATACCCCCGGCCGCCAGGGTGTGTCCGTCACCCAGACCGACATTCCCGGCTGCCCGGGCCAACGCCTCGTGACCGAGTTCGTCGCCGGTCAGGTACGCACACAACCATACGTCACGGCTTTTGACGGATCTCTTCAGAAAATCATGCCTTCTCTTCTAATCTTGGCGGTATCAGGCGGTGGGCCAGTACTTTTTCAACACGGCGCCGGGAGGTGGTGCTGACGAGGCAGGTGGCGTCGCCGTGGAAATGTGGACTGACAAGGTGTCGATCGGAGAGGCGCTAGAGGCGGCCGCAACGACGGCTGGTAACAAGCCGGTCGACGCAAGCGACGCTGCCGCGATCCAAGCTGCCGAGGCGACCGCAGCAGGCGCGAACGCCGTCACACCGGGTGGTGTTGCCGCCGCCGCGCAGGCGGCTGCTGCTGCCAACGCACTGAAGTATCGCGACGACGAGAAGACCAAGCTGGGGGACGTTGTGGCGGTAATATGATCTAACGAGACTCGGTGCGTGCACTTGGTCACCTTATCAAACTTAACGCATACGTGTTTCGCTGTGTTCCTGTGGCAGGATGCGTCGGTGTGGATGGCGATGGACAAAGAAGCAACGAGGGAGGACGCAGAGAGAGTGGTGGCGGCGGAGATGCGGAACAACCCCGAGCTGCGAGCGCATCCGGGCGGGGTTGGTGCTTCCATGGTTGCAGCGGCAAGGCTCAATCAAGAACGTTGACATGCTTGCTTTCGATTGTGGCGGTGTACAGGTAGACAAGTTTCGGAAGTGCCTGTGTGATGTCTACTATCTACAGCAGCAAGTGGGCTTTGTTGGTCTGTGGTGCATCTACGAACTTTGTTTTGGTGATGTCGAATAGTTGGAAGCCTTCGACAAAGCCATTTTGCTGTTCTCTTCGATGTAATAATCCTTTTTGCTCGTGTGGTTCTTTTCTTCCTATGGCTCAAATGAAGAGCAAACAGTCTTCCCGCTCATGCTTGCACGCAGACGAAAATAACAGGGGAACTCTGCGTGGTCACTGTTGCGGTGTGAGACACAGCTCGGCCATGGCATTGTGGCCACCGTGGGAGACTTCGATGATCGGACGCTCTCTCTGTCTCTCTCGCTCGCGTCGTACGAAGCTCAATGTTCACTTCTCACTCTCGCGTCGGACGAGTCTGTCAATTCTTACAACTACCGACATGTTTTGTGGTGCTTGAAGCTTAACCTAAGAATTAGACATACTCTTTAGGGTGCACATCCAATTCATTGGATCCTTAAAGTTCAGAACTGAAGTCATGTATTCTGACGGATTTTGTAGCATTTAATCTTTACTACAGCATGCAAAATGTATCTCTTGTTTTACTTTTTCACATGGTGTTGATCAGATCTCGAGTGATGAATCCATTGAAATGGCAAAGCTTCTTGCATTAAAAGAGGGTTGCTGGAATAAGTTTTTGTGAGGCATCTGTTGTTCATCGTTTCAAGGTGTTTGTACCAACTTGACTCCATTTGACATCTGCATGAGACTTTGATGGCAAGTGGAAACATTGTTACAGGTGGGAACATCATCTGGAGCTGCTATTATTATTGTTGTAAGTTCATTTTCTTTTTAATGTGTGCATAATTGAGATATAAAAGAAAAAATCACCACTTGGTAAGGGTAAAATTAATCCAAATGCATTTGCTCATCTTACAGTAGTGGATCCCTTCTAAGAGTCAGCATTCTCGGTTGCTAACTGGTCTCCATCACCGTAATCAAACATTTTTTTTTAGTATAAACAATGGAGATTTTTAATGAATGATGTGAGCTGTGGATCAAATTGTCAAATTCATACATCATACTGGAGATCTTTATCTGATCAATGACACAAAATAATAATAATAATAATTCTTGTACAAAGCAGAAAAGAGATGTCTTTATGTATCTTCTGTCGAGCTCTTAGGTATGATCAGTCCAAGACAAGGGTTGATGGCAACCTCTATCGATCAGAACAAGACGATTTCTTCTTGTCTGCCGCGTGGTTGGAGACCCCACTCTCCGTTCCATCAGCTATTCTTTCATCTTGTCATCTTTCTCAGGAGCAGCAGTGAAGCGATGAGATGAGACGCAACCGAGTGGCTCACAAGGAATGGCTACTTCCCACTCTCACCAGTCCATTCTTGCTTTTCGTATTAAATGAACCAAATCTTCGTACAGATTCTCGACGTCACGGGGTGGGAGGCCTCCATGGATGTCTCTATGCTCCTTCTTATCTTCATCCTTCTGCCGTTCTCTTCCTGTTGTCTTGATAACAGTTATGATATGTATACGTTCACAAACTCTCTCGATAGATCGATCATCGATACATGGAATCGATCAACTCGTTCTTTCAATACGTAAAAAAATATAAGGCTAATTTTTAATTCCTTTTAATTTTCATCTTACACATGATTATTATTATTATTTATTTCTTCTTTTTTTTCTAAGAAAGGTTAAAGAAAACATTTAACATTATATTCCTCCTAATTTTCTAATAATTATCAGTCTACTTATAATGCAACAAGCGAAGAAGAAATCGAAAGAGTTTACTGGAGGCAAACTACTACAGCCGTCAACGTAGTATCATGTGGCCCTCCAAGAAAGAAAGCAAGCTATCAAGTCTTCTTCCTAGCACTACGCACAGACCACCAATTGTGGTGGCCCTAAACAGCTCTCTGAAGAGATTCCAAGTAGTCGACGACGTCTCGCATGAATGGCCTTGCCTTGGGGTTCTGGTCGAGGCAATGGCAAGCCAGCCTTGCTACCTTCTGAGCATCTCTCTGGGGCCAGTCCGCGTCCAGCTTGGGATCCACGATGTGGAGGACCTTCTTCTTATCGGCGAGCGAGGGGACAGCCCAGTCGACCAGCGCCCGCTGCTTGACCGGGCGAGACTTGTCCAGCGATCTCTTCCCCGTGAGCAGCTCGAGCAGGACAACGCCAAAGCTGTAGACGTCACTGCTGGCCGTCAGATGCCCTGCACCGGAAGCAAACGTTTGGATTAGCCTTTTTGACCATTCAAAGGCAACGCAGACTTGACCAGTGGTTCCAAGGACGGCTGCTTTCCTCTCTCTCTCTCTTTCTTCTGAAACATGCATGAAAGGCTATAAAGCTTTTCGTCTACCTGTCATCATGTACTCGGGTGCTGCGTATCCACGAGTTCCCACTATCCGTGTTGAAACGTGAGATATCTCACCCACTGGTCCATCTTTTGCAAGCCCGAAATCAGATAGCTTTGCGTTGTAGTCCTGAGCATGGCGCACGACAACTAGTTATTATAGTAAGAAAGAAAGCTGCTTCTCTTTTAGAAGCAGCACAGCATCTCACGCTGCAATTACGCAGTGTCATGGACTTCAATTCATTGCCATAGTCGTCGAGAAGAGAAAGCAAAGCCATCACAAGATTTGGAGGAGTTTGATCGACTAACCTCGTCTAAGAGAATGTTTGATGTCTTGAAGTCGCGATATATGACTGGCTTTTCAGCTTCATGGAGAAAAGCAAGCCCTTTTGCTGCATCAAATGCAATCTTCATTCTGACACGCCAAGGAAGGGAGGGCACTTTTCCTGTCAAGCAGCAGCAAGCAGTACACAGCTACATCATAAGTGGAGGAACGAGCAACACGATCAGCATAACGTAATCTTCTTAATGATGTTTTCCATCCATTTATTCATGAACTATAGATTTGTTCAATGATCTTTCTGAGTAATCAACACAAAGTAGACATTTCAATCAAAATCTACATTTGAGTATAGAGAGAGGCGTTGAGAGTATATGTCATGTCAACTTGATTTCTGAACCTGCTTTTACTTATCATTGTGACAGGCAGCTTCAAATACCAGCTTAAATGTGAGTGCATGACCGACTAAGAGTTACAGGAAAGGCATATTGGCAATACCATTTACCCTACCAAGCCAAACATGCTGATCAAATCAGGAAGCAGTAAATGTGCACCGAAGAAAGAACATCATAACATTTGCAGATAATGACTATTAGAATGATGATGATAATAATAATAATAAAAGGACAGATGGATCAATCAAGCAACAAATAAACCGCTAGTAGTGGATTAGTAGACTTCAGACAAGAAAAGAATTACTGGAGAAGAGATGGGATTCCACACTGCCCCCAGCCATGTACTCATAGATCAGAACTCGGTGATCATCTTCACAGCAGTATCCAATTAATTTCACCAAATTTGGGTGAGAAAGTTGCCCGAGGAATACAACTTCAGCCTACAGGCATCATAAACTTCTCTTACAACTGGATGATGGTGTTGAACCAATCTGCAATATTACTAGCACTAGTGAGATGTATGTATAGAGTTCAGTACCAGCCATTCTCTGTGACCCTGGGAGCCGTTGGCAGCATCATGGACCTTCACAGCTACTTGATGAGGTTGAAGCCCCTCCTCAGGATCTTCTGTGATGAATCCTCTGTACACACTGCCAAATCCCCCTACACCTAAGATGTAGCTCTTTCTGAAATTTTCTGTAATGAGCTTGATTTCACTGAAAGAGAATGCCACAAGAGGATTTGCTGCCGAATCCCGTCGCAAGTCCTCGACTTCCTCTGGGTTTGATGGCAGGTTGCTGACCTCCTCCCTTTCCTCTGGACTCTGCACCTCCGGAGAGTCTAATGGAAGAACAAGTTTCAAGAAGTCTTGAGCTTAGAAGAAACAGAGATTTGTAGAAACAGTTGACATGATGTTTCCTTGACGATTTCCCTTTCAAAAAGCTATATTTTAGCTAAAAAGATTGCCAAAGATCAACCCAAACACAAAGATGCAGCGATTGAAGAAGTAGAAAAGCAACAGGGAACTCTGTGCTAATTCCTTTCTGACACAGAACAGTGGATAAATTGAAGTCAGGCAAGATTAAGCTTCAAAAAAATACTACAACTCCTCAAGTTATGTCAGCAAGGAGCGATCCAGACTCAAAATCCTATCACTAAAAGTGCCTAATCATAAGAGGAACAGCTTACACCAATTGCACGCTTCCGAGGAGGGACAAAGGATGGAAAGAAGTGACAGAAGAATCAGAGATATCCAAGGATCATGCCTACAGAGAATCACGAAGTACTGACCTGACTTTGCGTTGGAAGACACTCTGTTGGTGGATGGGTTTCCCCGAAGAGCGCAATTTCCCATCAGTACCCGCACAACCCACAAACAACCACTCACCAAGACAGCATGCTCCCTGCAAAACGAGATATTCTTATCTGGCTATGTACAGAGAAGAGAAGGTAAGATGAGTAATATATACCCAAAATCGATGAAGAGAGACTTAATCTACGCTTGGTTGTCATCTTGGAGCTTGGAATTAACATATTGAGGCAGGAAGACCAAGTCAAGGTAGCTTCAGCTCTATTTGTGGCTGTTCTTCGTCTCCTGAGGAAGAAAGTGATAGTATTCAAAGAATGTGTACGATTCAAGAGAAGGAATGATATAATCCCAGTAAATTAATGATATTTCTAGTGTAACATTCTCACTGAAAGGAAAAGAAAAAGAAAAGATGTAGCCCACCCACCGAAATGATAATGGTGGGACTGTGACCGCCATTTGGCTGTGTTATATTCTGCTGCCCTGCGGTGTTCATGCTGCAGGAGAGAGTCGAGCTGGCTTTTTGGCACCTTCCTCCGGGTCTCCGGCGGGACACAAGTTTCGGGATTGTGCTACAGAAACCCAGGAAAAGAAGTGTATGTCCACGGAGGTGAAACCAAGAATGGCATTGCCACTGGCACCGTGATGTAAATGATGCCTGACAAGACAAACTGGAGGTGGAATTAGATCAGTGTTCGACCACCTCAAAGCTCTGCGGCCATCTGTTTGTAACTTGAACCCCCCAAATCGGAGGAGGATGATCGATCTATCCTGTTTTTGTTCTTAAAGACAATTGACATGGGAATCCCATCCGTCACCACCTCACTCTAAAAAGGCAGTCAGTCCATCGATGAAACTAGACGACCGAAGGTTGAAGACATGTGAGGAGTGGTGAACGATCTCAATTCTAATTCACAAGATCTTTCATGGCCTAAACCCATCTCGAAAGAGACTTGTATCAGCAATTAGCGTGTGTGTGTGTGAGACCTGGCACATCTCCCTTGAATGAGCTCACAAAGATCATGTGAAGGAGTGAGATGGAGAATCCTTCAAACTGATTTCGCTGGCGCGTAAAAGGAAGAAAGAGCTTGAACTGGTCAGGTGATTTGGCGAGCAAGGCGTGGCCAACAGACGAATGCATTGATGAGAAAGATCACAACGGGTAACTGACCACGTCAACGAAACAGAAGCTATTGGATTCTCAGTCAAAGGCTACGATCCAATAATCATTGACTTCTATGATGAGGAATCAAACCAAAACTAGTCATTCGTTCTAGAAGAGCAGAACTAAATTGCTCTTGTCGTGTTCTCTGCAGCTTCGATGAGTAAATCGCTTCCTTGTTCTTCTGTAATCCAATTATCTACCAGCTTAGGTCTCCTCAGAGGGTAAACTAATCCAATTAAAATCTAACACAACACAATAAAAGAATTAAAGCAATAGGATTCGAGAAATCAGAACTCGAAATTACATAAGATAGCATCCTAAAAAAGCTCAACTAAAAGCCAATCAGACGTGTCTTATTACACCCCCATTATTTGTTTTATTAAAGCGCATTTGGATTGCCATTTATGATCGATCGGTCACAAACCTGTTTAATTGGATCAGAGCAATTCAATTCGGGCTCGGCCCATTTTGGGATGATTTATTTGGGCCTACAAATCGAGCCCGGGTCAATAATTCTTCGCCCGCATTGATAGATCGGGTCGGATCCGGACTCCGCGACACTCGACTCCTTTAATTGAATATATCTTAAATTAGAAAATTAATTTTCGAAAAATAATCTCGTCAAATGCAGTCTATATATATATATATATGAATTTTTATTGCATATATTTATTTACCAGTACGTTTGCGTGACGGCACAAAAAAGCAAACCCGATATTTTTGTTTCTTTTTATAGAACAAAAAAGAAAAATAGAAAAGAACAAGAATGTCCGGTTGCTGAGGGCGAGCCGTGGAGCGATTTGAATCACCGCTTGACGATGCCCTAATTTAAACCCCCCCACTCTTCCTCGCCTCTTTCTCACTCCGCTTTTGGATTCCTACCGTGGCGGCTCGTCTGCTCCCCTTCTCTGCCCACCTCTCTCTCTAGATTTGGATCGAGTCCATCGAAACCTCGCTTGTAAATCGCGCTTACTATCCATGGCTGCCGTCGCCCTCGCAGCTGACCGTATCCTTCCCTGGGGGTTCGGGTTCTTGTCGCTCTTTCCGCGGCACCCCTTCGTTTTCTTGAGCTGCGATGCGTTCGAGTGCGTTCTAGTTCGCATTTGGCTGTTGGTTTTGGGGGTTCTTGGGAGCGTTTGTGCGGGGAGTGTGTATCTGAGGCTTCTTCTTCACCTTTTTGGGTTATTGTCTCGCATATGAGCTCGTTTCTTAGTGAAATCAATAGCTGTCGTGTTCTTGTGTACTATTTTTCCTTCGAGAGAAGGCTTTGATTGTTTGATTTGTTTCTCTTCTTGTCTTCTTGTTCAAATTATTTAAATACTTTCTTTTGTGTGCTTTGTGCAGTAATCTTATTTGGGGATCAGTTCTTCGGTGATACTCAGTCATCCTGTATTTTAAGTTTTCGGTATTGTTGGAGTAATTTGTTAAGAAAGATTAGTTTTTTTGTCGGATTAATGCTGTCCTTAATTTAGTTATGACAGAAGCTTCAGATTTATTGCAGAAGCTGTCTTTGGATTCTCCGCCAAAGACTGATAACGCTGTTGAGGTTGCCAAAGAGGTGATTTTTATTTTTCTTGCAGATGATGTTCCTTTTCTTATTGTTTTTATCTTTGTATTTTTAGGAGTAGTCACTGTTAATATTCTCACAATATCTGATTTGATAGCCTCCTGCCCTCCAAAATGGATCGAGCGATTGTGAAACGCCAAACATGCCAATTCAATCAGAGCGTTCGCTGACACCTCTTCTGCCTGACTTTGTGGATCCAAGCATGTGTTATGTACCCGGTGGTTATGCATCCCCAGCTTATTTTTATGGAGGTAGTGTGTTGTATTTAATTACTACACCATAAAAAAAGGTCGTATACCAGGATTTTCCACCAGTTAGCTGCTATTATTTATTTTTTGTGAGAGTTTCATCTATTGCTATTCACTTATTATCACAAAATATTATTTGATTTGTATTTTGGCTAAAATCAGTTAGATGATCTGTTTGTTTTGTATGTTAACTTGTTTTAGTAACCTTTGTTAGTATCTTGATTGTGGGTATCATGAGTCTGGTGTTACATTCTCCAGGTTATGATCGTGCTGTTAATAAGTGGGGTGATTACTCCAGATACACAAACAATGATGGAGTGGAGATTCTACCTGTAAGTCACACTGAAACAACACATTATTTTGATTTGTTGATGACAATGAATAGCGTGTTAGAATGTTGCCATTAAAGGATTGTTATTAAGATTAGGATTCAAAATTATTATTGGTCTGATCTTCCATGGATGAGCATTTTGGATCCTTGCTTTGCTAGTGTCAGGTGTTGGAATTCTTTTCTCCTTACTTTCTTTTGGTACTACGTAGTAGTAAATGAAGGAAAAAATGAGTACTCAGATATGCATATAACTCTTAGTACTATTACTCAAATAGAGCTTCACTAGTTAAAAGGAAGTGACTCGGTTGAATGATTAATTTTTTTCATGCACGTATAACTCTTGATGCAATTTTTCTCTGTGTTTACCCAAATTGTTCTCGTGGTGAAATATTGTTGGTGATTAAAATTTATTGCTGTGAAATGTTTGGTTCTTCTTTATGTACATAACAATAACTAACTGCTTCATCATTCTTGGTAGGGAGTTTATGGGGACTTATATCAAGGATATGGATATGCTCCTTATAGTGCTTATCCTTCTAATGGGTCATCAGTTCCAACCATGGGGCATGATGGACAGCACTACGGCCCACAACAGTATCAGTACCCAGTTCCCTTTTTTGAGCAACCTACACCAACTAGTACAACTCAAACTCCAACTCCACCAACTTCCCAAGGAGAAGTTTCAACCTCTGTTGCTGCTAATCAACCTTCAATTTCAATGGATACAGCCAGAGTAGACTCCAGCAAAGTTTCGAATGTCAATGCAAATAGGAATAATGGACCAGGAACTATGAGGTCAAGCCACCAGCCTTCATCACTAACCTCAGGTGATTCACATGGGAAGGGAGGTTTCCCAGGTGGTTTTCATTCTGCTGGTTATCAAGACTCTCGATTTGGTTTTGGTGGACAACATAAACCAGCCACATCCAGCTCTCGCTCTTCCACTGTAACACATAAAGCTAATAATTTGTCTGAAAGAAATCAGAATCAACATTCCGTTCCCCACATTGTGGTATGTAATATTGTAATTGGCAGTTAATTATATGTATTTTCAAAAGTTGTCTGTTTTAGTAGCAACTGGTTGTTGGACATGTATGGTAGTGGTATTTTGGCTTTTGTATGCCTAGTATTTCTTTGGTTTTTGTTGACAGCATGTGTATCTTTTCTGGCTATCGGCAAAGATTTCTTACAGTTATTATTGTATATGTTTCCTCACATGGCATATTAACTGTTTACTTGTATGATTCTCAGGGTAAAAATGCTCCTGTTAGCAGGATGTATCCAATCAATCGATTCTATGGAGGGAATGGTCTGGGGAATGTATTTGGATATGGATTTAATGGCTATGATCATAGAATGAATGGACGCTGGGGTCCGCCTTTAGATAGCAAGTACAATCCTAGGGGCCGAGGAAATGGATTCTTTGGTTATGGCAATGAGATCCAGGACGGGTTCAGTGAGCTAAATAGAGGACCAAGAGCTGGGCGCTCTAAGAATCAGAAGGCAGCTGGCACTGCACCAGTCTTTGATTTGAAGGGTCAGAACCTTTCTTCCATCGGGAATGAGAATTCTAGTGTGACTTTGGACAGGGAACAATACAACGGAGATGACTTCCCTGATAAACACTCCGATGCAAGGTTCTTTGTCATCAAATCATACAGTGAGGATGATATTCACAAAAGTATCAAATACAATGTATGGACCAGCACCCCTAACGGAAACAAGAAGCTGGATGGTGGATATCAGGAAGCTCAAGAGAAAGATGGTGGATGTCCTGTCTTCTTGTTTTACTCTGTGAGTATGGTAGCATGCATTGGGAATCTGTTGTGCTTTGCTTTTTACAAGAAAAGGAGCTTACCTAGCCTTGTTTTAAAACTTTAGGTAAACGCCAGCGGACAATTTGTTGGTGTTGCAGAAATGGTTGGTCCGGTTGATTTTAACAAAACTGTGGATTATTGGCAGCAAGACAAGTGGATTGGCTGCTTCCCTGTCAAGTGGCACATTATCAAGGATGTTCCAAATAGCCTTCTGAAGCACATCACGCTAGAGAACAATGACAACAAACCCGTAACTAACAGTCGAGATACTCAAGAGGTAAACATTAACGTTTAATTGCCTTGTAATCAGTACATCAAATAAATATGAAATTCATATCTCAAATTTCGGCTATGCAGGTGAGGCTAGAGCAGGGCCTCCAAATGCTCAAGATTTTCAAGGAACATGTAAGCAAGACATCTGTTCTTGATGATTTTGACTTCTATGAAAACCGTCAGAATTTTATGCAGGAGAAACGGGTAAAACAGCAGCTTCAGAAACAGGTAAGTCGGAGTTCAGACCACTTGTGGAAATGATTTTACATTCAATTTCAGCCATTTTAATTTAGTCCATTGATGACAACCTCCTACGGTTCAGGTATGGACTGGAAAAGCTTCTCATGCTCCCAAGGAAGATGAACAAGACAGAACCAACGGGAAGCCTGGCTCGCAGCCTGTTTCTGTTTTGAACAAGGAATCAGCACAGGGCAGTCTTGGAGAAATAAATACGCCAGTGGAACTTGGTGTGGCTGCAGCGGCTGGTGCTCCTTTGAAGGTCTTAAAACCAGCAGTGGAGAAGCATGTTGTTGCAAATGGTGTTGCCAACGGTGTTGCTTGAGTTGATCCCATTGCTGTGGCAATCCTTATTTGTGTAGATGTGTCGGTTAGGAATAAGTCACTGATCACTCTTGGGCAACTAAATTCTGAGTTACAAGGAGGTTTGCAAAGGAATTGCAAGAGAGATGGAGTTTGGCAATAAGAATCCGGTGATGAACCCCCGGCGGGTGCAGTCTTGAGTTTGTTTTTTGCTCGACACAGTTAGGTTGACCCTTCGGCCTAGGTTTTAATGCTTTGGTGATATGAAGTGCTACGGTTGGTGGTAGCATACTGCTAGTCTTCTATATCCTTAGTGGATTGGAGGTAGGATTAGGTCGTCTTTCTACTTGTTTTTCCCCCCTTGTTTTTCCCCTTCAGTCGTCGTCTGTAGTATTTATGAACTTGGGTCAGCGTTGCAACAAAAATTGAATATAACAACAGTTTCTTGCCTGCTTTGCAATTTTCGTCTCTTACTTTCTTCTGCCTTCTCCAGCAATTAAATGTCTCAGCATATCCAAATATTCTTACTTTGAGCCGTGGCCTCGGGGCCGACGCGGCTCAGTTCGGGTCCGGACGACGGGGATCTCCATGAGGCGTTCCTCGAGTCCGCTGAGGCGGTCGGGTGCGGTGTCCGATCGGGACGGTGTAGCCGTCTCCTCCGAGCAGGAGCTCCTCGCCTGCGCGTCCGGAGGGGACCTTCGGCTTCGCACCTGCACAAAGGTCGGGTCCCGTCTCCTCCGGGCAGGAGCTCCTCGCTTGCGCATTCGGAGGGGACCTTCGGCTTCGCACCTGCACAAAGGTCGGCCCGAGCCCGACCCCTCCGACGATCAAGTTAGCAGATGTGGAGGGGGCTTCAGATGAAGAGGTGTTTTTTGTGTGTCTGTCTCTCCCTCCTCTCTCTGATGAACGAGAGGGCATTTATAGGGAAGCTTACTGCTTCCTGAGCTGCCCGCTTACAGGGGGCAGGCCGGTAGCGTCTGACTTTGTATTGGCGTGGCGTAAAGAATTGAACTTTGGCAGGATGTTAATGCGCCTCGGTCGGTGTTCCGATCTGCATTGACCAGATGCTGTTACGTGTGGCGTCATCTGATGTCAGCCGAGTCTTATCATAATTACTATCCTCATCATCAGGTAATTCAAATAAATAAATAAATATATATATATATATATATATATATATATATATATATATATAGTTTGGTATATTTCTTATTGAAATCAAGGTCAGGATTCGGGATTCAATTCGCCGCCTATTTCTTCATCTGACTCTTACGTGATAGGTAGAGCTAACATTGACGGACGCCTGAGAGGGATCTGCGATTCGGGAAACGTCTTTTGTGTTGTTGGCGATTGTAACGTGTTTCAGCTGCTCGAACTCATAAAAATCGTGTCCGTAAAATTTGAGATTTCTTGGTCGATAAGCTTCTCGACGGAACGGGGCACTCGTAAGACCATACCTTGTTTTTGCCGTGAAGGAAAGGCTTTGTTGCTTGCCTCTGACGTACCCAAACAGCCAAGAAGTCACATCATCGAAGGCACCAAAACTGGACGACTGCATCATCACATATTCGTTGTCGCATTCCCCTTCTGGTCCTCGAAAGCGTGAGTTATTATTATTCAGCAACAGGCGAACATTGTACCTGGACTCTTCCTCCTGCGTCCGCTTGCGCACTCACGATATCATACGTGTCGATCATTTAAAAGAAGGTTAAAATTGAGACTAATTATACACTATCATGTTGTAATTAGATTTTTTTAGTATTTAAAAAAAATATATATTAAAATCTTTATAATTATAAAAATAAAATATTTAATCATATTTATCCTAACGTATCGATTTTATTAATCATATTTATTTTGATAAACCTCAATTAGTCTATAATAATTATAGACTAATTGAGGTTTATCAAAATAATAGGTTGGTTATCCGATTGAGCCTCCACACCGGTAACGCAAACACACGTTCTCGTCTTAAAACATTCATATTTTATCCTCTCATCGTTGAAATCATCCTATTTATTATTCAAATAAATATCTAGTTGCTATTGTGCTGAACTAAAAAAAGTGTCATGTCATTAGTAATATTCATTTTCCCGTAATGGATACATTTTTGCGAAAATTCTCATGGCTTTGTTTTCGGATTAAGACACGCAAGATATTTCGTAGTCCTGTGGTACGTTCCTTCTCTGCATTTGATCATTTTGAGTTGTCCTGTCGTCTCGTCGTGCTGTTCCAACTTGTTCTCGACCACCGTCCCGAAGAAGATGCAGCTGTTGATATTATTCTCATCCTGTACTTTTCTGCGCCAAAAACGCTATGTCGAAGAACTTGTCGTATTATTCTCATCCAGTTTAGCATCAATCGAACCGGAACAAGATTTGGTGATCCTCGATTTAGATCCTTAGATACTGTAACAGATGACAAAAAAATTGTACGAATCCCCTCTAGATTACGAAGCGGCAGTTTCCTGGATCCTGAGAGAAACATTCAACAACAGTAATAACAACAACCAAAAGAAGATCATTCTATAAAAAAATCTTTTGGTATCTTCTTATGCAACTAACTACATGATTCAACCATTGTCTGGTGCAGTGTACAAATATGGCCTCATATTGAGGCCACTGTAGTCATGGCCTCATATTGCTGTTTCATGTGAACCTCGAAGCATCTTCGGGTCAGGATCAGCTAGTTTCAAACAGAGAGAGTCTAGTCACATAGAATTCCAAGTCATAGACATTCATGCCGGAAAAGAAAACATACAAAGAACATAGCTGCAATATACGCTAAAGTCTATTTTAGTACCTTGAATCATGTCAGAAAAGAGAGGGAGCCTCCTTGTTCCATAATCCACTAGTGCAAGTTTCATCTTTACAACTCTCAAGCCTTTAATAGACCTACAATTCATGCAACTATACTATCACCGGTGAACAAACATCAGGTAAAGATACAGCAGGGATGTTTTTCCTGTTCTGTTTCCTAGACACATTTTATTGTCATTCGTACATATCAGAAGTTGGTTTTATCCAGTATCGGTCCGAGGTCTTACCCTACGGCCATTGGAATCCTCACCATCCGAAAGCTCAGCCCACACGCTCCTGTTATTCCCACCACTGCTGCATTCCTCATCACAGCCTGCAATTATTTTCAAAAGTTCTGACTGCAGTGACGGACAATGGTCCTTAAGGTACTCGAATCCGCTCGAGCGCATCACAGCTGCACGTACGAATGAGAGTTACTCAATGAGGCTGCAGAATTCTTGGAGACCGAAACGAGAAATTATCCATCGCAACTTTTGCACCGAAATGATTCCCGAATGAACTATCTAGAACAATCAATAAAATCATAGCAAAAGATGCTTGGAAAGGATTTAATGAACTATCTAGAACACAAATTGAAAGATAAAAAAATTTCAAGGTGCTTGGAAAGGATTTAATGAATACTTGTTAACAATTTATTCTGATAACAAGCTAAGTACAGGATCATCTTATACCAAACTGCAGAAGCAAGATCCAAGTAATGAGCAACAAACAGGGAGCTCATAGCCCAATGTTTCATTGCCAATAGCTTGGTGCATATTACAACATAGAGTTCCATTTTTGGCTCTCGAGTTTCCTCTTTTTTTGGGGTGCACATCATGTAAACTTGTCTACACCAAGAACGAGAGCAACACTCGTATCTATCAAGATCATGCAACAAGAAGCTCCCAGATATTCTGAGACATCCAAAAACACTATACTAACAGCATAGCTCATTGCAACCATAAACTCTTTCCTGGGCTATGATATCAATCTAAGGTCTGATTACTTTTCTGCCTGAGTTTATTATCTTTAGTTCCTAAGCCATAAAAATCTTCTGGATGAGGTCCTGTTTTTAAGCAAAATATAATGGTCATGATGTTTGATTCCTTTCAACACTTGGGCCTGCTCCAGACAAATTTATACTCCCGATTGGAATCTAAAAAACTACATTATTCATTTAAATACAATGGTCATCATTTCTTTCTCACTAGGAATTGCATGCAACTATAACTACATGTTTCTTTACACAGATTTTCCCATGAAGGAAACTAGATAAAAATGGTAAACATATTTCAAAATAAGAATATTTCAGTCTTAAAAGCAAATCCAAGCTTTTGAACTCGGCCAGGACTCCACACTCACTGTCGGGTTCTACAATTTTGTTCATCCAATCTGACATCAGCTAATCACCACAGAGATTTTCTTAACTCCTGATCCTTCAGGTCACAAGTGTAGAATAGAAAGTATAACTTTCAGATTAAGAAGCACACATGGGCCACCCTTGGAAGGACTCGAGGCAACTGGCATTTGTCTGACAATTACAATCCACATGCCAGAACTGATTCTGAGTCACTAGACACACACTTGTTAGATGGATTCCGATCTTACTCAACTCAATAATTGTCAGAGCGCAAGGATGCTATATCAGAATTCTATTGCCAGTAGGAATAATTTAATTGGAAGTGCCACATTAGTGCCCAAGACATTTTGAACAACAACAGTTTATGGAAAAATAATGGGCTATAATTTGGATGCATACTTCCAGTAGGACACAACATTCCTTCTTAGAAAGTTTATATTACTTCATACTGAGAACCAAGGTTCATCTAAGTCGCTTACTTAAAGTGAATAAAAAACATTCATAATTGCAATTAACTGAAATGACAGTAAGATTCATTTACAGAATACTAATACTACTAATATCAAAATGAAGCAGCAATTTAATGACGATCAGAGTGCTGAACTTTAAGCAGGCTGCAACATTAGTTACTGGAAAAAGATTGTATATGGTGTTCATATTAGATAAATTCCAACCCAACTAATGTGAGCAAAGTATTCAGGAACTTCTAGCTATGAACAAAAGAAAAGAAAACATGAAACTGTTCATAAACTTTAAGAATAATTTAATGTCACTTAAAGGCATCCAAAGCAAAGCAATTGAATACCAAAAGATATTAATAGGAAAAAAATATCTCCAACTAGACCATATAAAAAGTTTAAGGCAAATAGTTTGACCAGTTTTATGATAACGCAAAATTGTCACTTACCTATGCTAAACCTAAAGTCTAAGATTTACCATGGATTTTGACATAAGAAAATGTGCAAAGTCACTTTATTCTCTCAGAACCTAGTTGGATAAGATTTTCATAGAGAACGCTTCATTAGCCGAGCGTTATTATGCACTCACAAATGGAAAGTCGAGACCAAAATCTTGTACATTAAACATTTAACTGTACAGATATGGATATCTGGACTTTCATATACAAAACTATTAAATTTTTAAGCCTCTTGTTCTGCCAGGTGACTCAAAATAGGGATTTTTATACATGGTTGTTGATCCTCGAGATAAATTTGCAGATATGACAAATCTAATTGTATCAAGTATGTACTGCCCTCGCATACTGGTGCTTATCTCTTCCACAATAAAGTATCCGAATTAAAAATACCTCTAATTCTTCACTTCCCAAAAAAATTCATAACTATACATCACATTTCCAAAATTAAATGTACAACTTAAGCCTTCAACATAGAAGTAATTGGGAATAATTCATAGGCAAGAAGGATTGCTGAAAAAAACATATGATAGCAGTATAGATAAAAGACAGAACTTGTTGGAAGTAAAATACCTGAAAGATTTTCTGCAACAAATTTAAGACAAGCAGCTTTTAATTCAATAGCATGACAACGATCAGCCAATGCAAGAGTGCTGGCAACTGAGTTCACAGATATTTCCCTGCATAAATGAGCCTCACAGAGAAGTCGAAGCCTTCCCAAACTATATCTGTCAGCTGCAGCTAACAGTTTTGCAACCAGTGTGTCTGAGATAGAAGATTCAGGAAGGTTTGGTGTAGCAAGCATATCATCGTCTACTAGAGTGTCTCTGTAGATGAAATGTAGGATTGCCTACTTGGGAGGAGATAAAAAAGTGATATGTGAACATAAATAGACCAACTCATATAAGGATTTAGCTGCACTTAACAAAAAATACTAAAAATTAAACGAAGGGGAACAAAAATGTATCCACACCTTAAAAACTGCTGGTTCCATATCTGTAACAATGATCTCATTACTTTCACCATCTAAACCATCAAAAAACTGTGTGTGAAATATTGGGGATCGGGCAGCCAGCACCAACTTATGGGCATGAAATTTTTCTCCAGCAACATCAAAAACAACGTCTGAACCTTCCTGTTCATCCAGAATCACACCAAAATGCATTCCAAAATCAGACTCTGGAACTTGTATGTGATGTAATCTGGGTGAGTCCACAACAGACACAACAACCCCCACAGTACAATTAATCTTCAAGCAGTCATCCTTAAGGTAATCTGATGTTTCAAGAGCCGTTCGTCTGAAGAAGCGTTTATAACCCCTGATGAATTAAAAGATGCAAAACTATATCATGCATGCATTTAACAGGATGGAATTATAAATACATGTAAAAATAACAATAAAAACCATCCCAAAACTAACTTTGAGACAGCCATGTTGCCACAACCTGACCAACTGAAAATAGTAAAATGAAGACAGCATCCATAATAGGTACAGGAAACCATATTCTTACTATTTAATAAGATTTGAAAAACCAAATTCCACATGACAAGGCAAACAACATGGATAATCCTTCTTTGACCAGAGAAGGATATCAGAAGATAATAGGCAAAGTGACTCTCTCTTCTCTCCACAGACAAGGACTTTATGCTCGTTAAGCTATATTTAGGGCCAAAACTAAGCCCTACTAAAAAATTCTTTTACATCCCCACATCTACATCATACTTGATCCAACTAAATTGAGTTAATCCTGAATACCCATCCAAAGCATAAGATGCAACCTAATCAAATTTTAGACTGTATAATAAAAAGGTCTCAATAATAAGCAATGCAATATGCCTCAAAATAAAACCTAAGAAGTTCAATCAGAGCTGATGGTCATGCAATCAAATTTATGTGAACACATAATAAATCCTGCAAGCTTACATGAAAGAGAGTATGCTGTTATCAATACATGAAAAAGTTCGATGCCAAAATAGTTTAGCAAGAACTAATAAACTCACACTCCAGGCAAATTTCAAAGAAAACGATCTGAATGCAACTAACCACACCAAATTAAGAAGACAGCCTTGGAAAGTAGAAAGCTCACAAAATCTACTTATTTGTACATGTTCCTGGGACAGAACCAGCAGTCAAGATATCAATAAAACTTAGAAAGCCAACTGCTTCTGGTGAGGAAGACAAAGAACAGCGAAAACTAGGCGCAATCGTTACCACATGCTACCGCGGTACTTGAGGGTGTAAGGCCCGCTCTCAAGAGATCGATCGAAGTGGCTGTGAACCTTGTGTTTCCCCTTGCCACTCTGATCCACAAGTGTCAGCTCGAAGAGCGCCCTCACGTCCGTCCCCTCACTGGCGAGGGCGATGAACACGGACACGTAAGCGGAGTTGTCCTCGGGGTTCTTCCCGTCGGGATAGAAGTAGATCGCCCACTGGAACCCTCCGACGGTGAAGGTATCACTGGCGATGTGCTTCCCGACACCGATGCCCTTAGCGAGGGAGTACCCCTTGATCACGAACTTGTGAGACCCGTTCACGGTCTCCGTCACCGACCGGGAGATTGTCGGCGAGGCTGCCATTTGCTTCTCCGGAGTCATCGGCCACGGCAGCTCCTTCTCATCGAAAGGCTAGAGAGGGGTTCCGTGGCGGCGGTGAAGAACGGGGAGCGAAAGCGGCGAAATCGATCGGGATTTGCGTCTCGGCGCAGATTGCCGACGAGGGAATCAATTGGTTGGGAAGAATTGGGGTTTAGGGCTGATCTCGGTTTTGAATCCGTCGAACCAAAGATATATATATATATATATATGTGTGTGTGTGTGTGTGTGTGTGTGTGTGTGTGTATATACATACATACATATATACATATATACATATATACATATTATATATATATATATTTGTATACATATATATGTATATTTATATATACATATATATGAATTTATATATGTATATATATTCAAAAAAGGAAAATTAATTATTCATAAATATGATATTTATTTAACACTTACTTGTTCTTCCAAATAAGAAGATTAAATAAAAAAAAGCTATGATCATAATTTTAGTCATAAGAAACACTCAATGATTCATTCTTGAAAACTATTACATAAACAGGCAAACAGGAGACTATTATTATTATTCTTATTATTATTAATTTTTTTGCATTCAATTGGTCATAAGTTTATAATTATCTTCTCATACTATTTATTATGATGCCTATAAATTTTCATATTATATAATTTCACACATTTTCACTTTTTGCATAATTTTTATACTTTTTTATATTGAATATTTGATTGTGTTGTCTAATGCATAAGTTTTGTCCTCTTATTCGATTGATGATAGATTGTTTTATCGGTAAACGTCCTAAATAAATTATAATCCTCATCATAGAATTTTTTTAGGGGCGTTGGATAACTCAAGTAAACTTTATAAACTAAATATTTCATTCACCACTTATTGTTTGGAAAAATTATAGAATAATTAAAAAATATACATATGGATGAATATCACAAGGTTTTTGAATCAAATTTCGTATTAATTACTTATTATTTGCTAAAAAAAGGTATTCATCGCTAGAAAGAGAGAAAGAAAGAGAGAGAGAGAGAGAGAGAGAGGGAGAGAGAGAATTTTGCCTGATACTCTTCTTTATCGTTGATGGGGAAGTAATTCGTGGTAGGACTCCATTTATCTTGAAGCAAAAAATTACACAAACTTGTCTTTGCCGATACTACGACAAGATCTTATGATTAGATCTCGTTTTATCATTTTAGTTGAAAAGCTAATGGTCTTTCATACATAAAACTGCTACTGAAAGTTAAACCAAGCCAGTGATTTAAATTCCCCTGGCTCTGAATTGATTTGCCAAACGATTTTTCAGCCAGACCATAATCGCAGTTAATTGTTTCATTTTCTCAGCAGCACAGCAGTTTACAGGGAACAGAAAGCATAAAATGGTATATAAAAGCATCAATGGTAGGTCGTGCTTCTGTTGCCCGAAGGAGGAAAAGCTTGACGCCGTCGAGCTTGCTGAGACCCTCTCGATCTCTCATCACCTTGTGCCTGACCTGATGCTCTGTGCATCTGCCTGGAGTCTGGTGAAGTCTTAATGCGATCTTCAGTTTTGGTTTCATCATCCCCATCATCATCAAACTTAACATTTTTCCTGGCGGCAGCATAGTTAAATGGCTTCAAATTGAAGTTAATCTCCGGCTTCTGAAATGATTTCTGGTTCCGTTGGCAGTTCCTCCTCTCGTTAATCGATTGAAAGCACTTCTCAAAACTGGAGGTAAGGTCTGATGGTGACATTGGCTCATCACTTGCAAGAGATTCTGGCTGAAGATCAAGATCACTGCCAATTTCAGGATGATGGGAATTATCACTTTCCTTTGTCCCATCATCTGTCATTGGACTGTCACAGGGTGATTGCTCGTGGCTTCCTCTATCAAGTGGTATGACCTCCTCCAATTTGGCTAAATCAGCAGGATGTTGCTGCAAAGTTTCTGCTACGGGGCAAACGATAACCTCCTTAAAGTGCAGTTCTGAAGTCTTTTCTCCACCAGGAAAATGATAGAAAGGGAGAGCTACAGTGGATTTAATCTGCTCCACTTTGTTCACATTCTTATTCTGATGAAAAGAAAGTAAATCAAGGACCAGTAGTTTGTATGACATAACAGGTCAAAGTTACAAATATCTTAACTGACAATCCTGGACAACGGAGGACCACACAATAATGCAGTAGTGACAGTTACTTTCAGCCATCAGGCTGGAAAACGTTGAAGGATAATTTGCTCTAGTCATGCAAAATGTCAAAAGCATGTAGAACCCAAGAATGGAATCTACTTAATGCATAAGAGACACAGCAACAGCCTTTCCAAGACTTAACTATAAAAGAAAAATCTATATTACAAGAAAACGAGATTCCATATTATAGATACCAGGATTGACTAAAAGGACACAGCAGCAGCCAGGATAAATATTTCACTTTATCACTATAATTATTTTCTCAGTAACACAACTTGATGCGTATGAGAAGCATTTCTAACATGTAGAATGCATAACTTCATGTGGTAATTCCATTATAAATTGGTCTGGACAAGTATCTCACAAGAAGTCGAAAAGAGAAATTTATTTTCAAATTTGCTTTCTGGGAAATGCAAGGTTGACTGAAAATCAGGTTTCGTTTTCCTGATAACTATGGTTCAAAATCTGCAGGGGACAAAACATTTAATCACATTATTTTTCCACTAGCCTGAACTCGCTATGTAAAAAATCTTCCAGATCTTATCCCATCACACTCTTATTGAGTTAGTCAGATGGTTAGACCTTGTAGATGTGATATACCCATAATGATTCAGTAGAATGATCTCCAACTAACTACAATTTTTCAACTGTGCAAATTGTAAGAAAAACCATAATGAACTGAGATGCTAAATTATTATGTATCTCACAAACTGATGTAAACAGTAAATAACACCTACTTCAGTTAAAGAACATAATAGAATTGTTATACAGGAGCTTAATTACCTGGTCAGGAAGACCCACTTTATCTAGGTAATGAACTGCATTGCTAAATTATTACGCATCTCACAAACTAATGTGAACAGTAAATGACATCTACTTCAGGTAAAGAACATAATAGATTTGTTATACAGGAGCTTAATTACCTGGCCAGCAAGACCCACTTTATCCAGGGTGGGCTTTTTCCTAGAAGATGAATTTCCAAATAAAGCTCCAAAAGCACAACTGGATTTTTTCTGCAGTTGGACAGATGCAATCCCACCCTACAAAGACAATCACTAATAAATCAATCAACTGACAAGGGGAAAAAACAGCAGAAGAATATACACCTCTCTTGATTGCAGGTAATTAGTGTTCCTGTTGTCCATCATTTCCTTCTCAACTCTTTTAGTTATGCCAGAATGCAAGAACGAGTGCCCAATTTCAGATGATGGCATCACTTTGAAGTTATTTTCTTGCTCGACTATGGCAGCTGAAGAGATGTTACTCAGGTTGTCTCTATATGCTTGTTTTAGACAGTCGTCTTTAGCAACCCGAACATGTCCAAAAGTTTTAACAGTTCCAACAGTGACAGTCATAGGATGGTTTCCAGCATTTTCAGAATTTTCAACAGTGGCAGTCATAGGATGGTTTCCAACATGTTCAACATGTCCCATGGGGTTGTCAGTAGCTGGAACTGATCCAGTGTTGCAATCACCTTCTTCTGAATTCTGCAGACACGAGCAACTGAGTCTATGCAAAATCATCCCAACATTCAATTATTGAAACTAAAGAATTCTACATCCATAGAATGTTCATGACTCACCGACTCCAGCCGCCCCTCCTTTAGTTGTTCTGTAATGCCTTCAAAAGCAGAAGAATTGGCAATCGAGCTCTTAATGATGCCAATGACAGAGTTGATATGGCGCTCAACAAATGGGTGCTTTGATTTTACCAGCCGCTGCAACTTTCCAGAAGTAACAGGCATCTGCCTTGCTTTTCAATCAAAAAACATTAATTCAAGTTACATAAGCCACCCACTGGAATATCTGATATTAACTAAAAAAAGGTGTTAAAAATTACCAATCTCAAGCAGAGTTTTGTTTGGTAATATGTACCCAGTACTCTCATCCTCTGCACGTGCAAGATTATCTCTCCATTGACAAAGACCCTGTCATAGATGCATGGCAGTCGCTAACTCATCCAAAAAATATGGTCGAATGAACTATGAATGTTAGGATTTCCAAAAAAGCATCAACTTTAATTTCTTGCATAGGAATGGGTCTCATATCCAAAAAATCTTAGAATTAATGAGTCTTATATGTCAATGTCTCTCATACCAAAAGAACATTTACACTTTAGTTCAAGAATAACTAGCTACAAGCATAGGGAAGCATTTAATTTCTGTGTCATTTCTCCGACAAAATATTGGATGACAAATATCAAGAACATAACATTCAGTCTCTGCAGGAAATGATGAGTTAATTGGACAAACAGTCCAACATTCCTGATGTTTTGTCGGTACGTAAAGCAGCCCATGCACTGATCCATCCTCCAAAACTATGTCAATTGTCGATTTCAAGATAAGTGTTATGCAAATGTAGCAGGCAACATACTTACAGCAGCAACTGCAAGCTGCTTTGAATTTAAATCAGCATCTGATAACCTGTTAATTTAATTGTAAAGAACACAGTCAGAAGATAGAATTCTCAAGACTAAATTGTAAAAAAACTAAATAGCAACAATAAATTTGGAAATTCTATTGTCAACCCGTAAATGTGGAGAAATGATGTATCTGTAAAGATCTCTTTCTCATAAAGTTGCATGCAGATTTCACTGCTGCGCTTGTAGACCTGCAAGGAATTACACATGCACACACATAAAGTTACTAAAAGAGCAATTAAAAACAAAAAGAATTTTTATGTAAACTCAGTAGAAAGTACAATAAATGGAATAGACAACAGCGAAGGTCATGTTATCATAAATGTAGTATAGGACAGGAAAGATAATGAAGTCCAGAAAGAAACAGAAACTTTTAGGTTCAGATTCATGACAAATCAAATAACTATCCACATGTACGAAAAACAACCAATCATAAAAGATTCACCTCCAACAGAAGATCGTTTTCATTCGAGGATGCGGCTAGCAACATTGATTTCATTTGGTCATATATATAAAACAGGTAATGTGTATCTTCTCTGGCATACCTACAAGAAGCAACTACATTCATAACATAATGGTGGTGCAGATGCCATCTCATGAGACAAACAGAAATTTGGACTCAACCATAGACTATATCAAAGATTGTATAACAAGATAGACTTTGAACTCTACTTAAGCATTTCCACGGGAAGAGGGCGCAATCTCCAATCTGCATTCTGGTATCTGTAAAAGTCAAAATTATGAGCATCATCCAGATGATGGTGCATAAAATCTGGGACATGTGAAAGAAAATCACCCGATAGAAACTTGATAAGGTCAAAACATGTAAAACATGACAAGGTCAAAACATGTGAAACGTACTCTTTGTTTGCACTAACTTCACAAAAGTGATGCAGTAGATACTCCAGACTGTTTCTTTCCAGTTGCAATACCCTCGATGCCTGCACAAGCAAAAATAGAGCAACAGCAACTTACTGAGTGGAGAATTTTGAATGTAAAACTAAAACATAAGCACTTCTAAACCATATGTGACGCAAGCATACAATTCAACAAAACAAGACATGCAAAGAGATTCAGAGTTTTATTGTCCTGCACGCACAAGTATATCACCCAAATCCAAAGTTTTTCAGTGTAAACAGAACTTTATACCACCACAACGACAAGCAGCCATAAACCTAAATTAATTTTTTTTTTATTAGGATCTTCACGTGCAAGGGAGTTTAAACAGTACCACTTCAAATTTAAACAAAGAACTGTATATTTCTTGTGAAAAACTCCAAAGTTCTTAGCCACATAAACAGTTAGTACAATAAATGCTGGAAATTTCTTGTAGAAATATAGCCATGGTACTTTTATGTTATTAAATCTTGCAATCGAAAATCAATATCTCAATGGTGACAAAAGATCCATGTAGCTGACTTCAATAATTGGGACTTTACGTGCGACTTTATGGTTTTGTTGTTATTTTCGTTGCAAAGGAAGCCAAATAAGCAACTGGCAAAAGTCAATACCTGTCCAGTGTCAAAAAGGTTGCACACATATATGCCAAAATCCCGTTGTAACCAAATAATGTCACGATCAGCCCCATGCATTATCTATTGAAGCGAAAAAAAAAGAAAGTATAATAAGCAAGCAGATCAAGTTATAGAAGTCAGTAAGTACAAAGGACAAAAAGTACAGATCACCTTCCTCTTTGAGGGATCCTTGAAAACTTCTCTCATGTGTGGACCAACATGAATCCGTAACTTGAGGGTGTCAATCACAAAGTCTTCTGTTCTGGTAGAGATTTGCATCAAACAAGTCAAACCCTGAAATGACCTATACTGATTGTGTTCTAAATCAACCTGGAAAAGAAAAGTTCTAATTGGTAAAAGCAGATAAGATTGTCAACTGCACAGCAATTTAAATCTCAATAGTCCTCTAAACAGTAAAACATTAAGCAAATAACTTAAGGTCAATGCTTCAGCAAATACAGCAAAGAGATACTAAAACATGAAACAGGATCAATAGATCTCTTAAACTTCAAACTTCAAGCAACAAATCAAGCAGACTGTGTGCTTTTGAAATAATATTCTTCAAATGAAAAAGGCAATGTACTCTTTAGAATAGGACATCACATATCTCCCTTCAAATAACAAAGAATCTGAATAAATATTGTTCCCAAATCAAATGCACCAGTAGATGACCGTACAACATGAAATGAGCTACTAATATGTAGCGCGTGCTTTCATCAACAAAATTTGCATTGAAAGAACACGTAGCAAGCAGCCCTTGCATTAAATACAGTCATAACTACGGAAATAAAATCCATTTAGCATAATAAGAACAAAAGAACAAATGGATCCTGAACAATCTCTTGAAGGACTAGTAAAGTTAGTTCTCAACAAAATCACACCACAGAGAAAGCAGAACAGGTTTTTTTTAATGAAAAAAACCTGCCTTATGGCAGTTCTCCTTACCTCTTAGATAATTAGTCTTCCTTCAACTGCTTAAAGAATAATTAGCTAAGGAGAGTTTGTTTTGACTATTTTTTTAACATAATAAATGTCAGAGTATTTATAAGACTAAGATTGATAACCAAATCAGCAATATGGTAGTATAGCGCAAAACTCAAAGTTGCAAAGATCCACAAATTTTTATAACCAGCTGTCAACCTAACCAAGATTCAAAATGATAGCAGCAAATAAGAAACAATCAAAGACCATCTTCCTGAATACAAGATAAAGGCACAACAGAACCAGATCATGGACTTAGTGTCCAAAATAGAAGCACGATTAGGTCGACAGAAGGTCTCAAAGCTGTTGTTATTAATATTTTAATTAAGCATTGTAAGAGCCAGTTCACGTCAGATCTGTTTGAGTTATTTTTAGTCTTCAATTATTTGGACTAATTCTGGTAGGATTTCGTCAACAAGCATCTCTTTCCTTGTTTCTTCTCTATTATTCTTGGTCATAATTTTAAATTGCTCTTCATTTTTCTCATTTCTCTTATACCGCCTACTTGTTAGTAGTTTTCCACCATCATTGCATATAATAATCTTATAACATAATCTTCATAATTTTTCCATATGATAATTTTTTATCATTTCTTTGCTCCTCCATTATAACAGAAGTACAGAATAAAAGGATACACAACGTAAAAGTGCAATAGCAGCATTATGCATGTCATTTATCGTAAATACAAGAATTGTTCCACTGTTTGATACCAAATCCACATAATCCTTTAAGAAGGGTCAACAATGCACTTTTTTCAAAGTCATCCAAATTACTCCAATAAGATGAAGCTGAGGGAGCCATTGATGTTAAATTTTAAAATTCTGCTTAATGTTTTCACTTGAAGAATGATAGTTTTAAAGGCTACCAATCCTTATGTAGCAACCTGACAAAGTAAAACTATTAAATCACAAGCAATACAATGCTGCAATAAAGTAGACCTCCAACCGGTGACTGCATCTAACCACATTAAAAAGTTTCATTATCCAGTAGAATAATAAAACACTTACCTATGGTAACACAAACTACCTAGGCTCTACAAGTTTCAAATAAATCGATAGATAAATCAATTGCCACCTCAAATTTAAATTTGTTTAAAAATCACATGGTAAAGAAATACTGAAGATCCTACAATAAAATCAAATAGAAGAACATTAGAGCTATCAAATGATGAAAACGAGAAAAGATAAAACGCAAACCACCAAAAAATGCCAGAGTGATAAAAATGTGAACCGTCTGAGAGTTAAACAGCATATCATCACAATGAGCGAGAATCATAGATATATCGCCTATACTAACCGCAAATTCATCTACACCCCGCAACTTAGCAGCTACCATTTTTAACTCATTCACACTTTCAACCTGCTTAAATGGGGTACTTTCTAGAGGAAGTGGTTGAACTGGCTCGCCTTCTTCATGCTTTCTATCAATAAAATTTGGAACACCAAGATTCTCCTGTTTATAAAAAAAATCAATAAATTGATGATATAAAATAGAATAAAACTCACAAACAAAGAAATAATTGCAAATAACAAAGAAAAGCACAAATAACAGAGCATATAATTTTCTGAATTGAGTCAAATGAATCATCAAGAAAATCACAGATACAAATGATCCTATAAGAACTCTACCAATAAAAGCCAAGATTTGACAAACCACATCTTATAATCAAGTGAAACTAATGCTTCAAAACAATTTTTGATCATATACACCACATATGATAAAAAATTGCACAGAGAAGTAAAATGCTCATGTTTGTTATTTCTAGATGCATGGTCGGCGACCAAGTATATAACAATGAGTCATAGTGTTTCAATTATTTGAGGTCATCTACATGGATCCTTTCTATCATTCAGCTCTAACTAGGGCAATATCACTTGTCATACTTAAAGCTAATGAAAATTCTTTTTATTGTCTCCAATAAAGTTTTCTAAAATCTCCCTCCCTCCATGTCTCCTCAAATCATTAACCTTAATTAATACACCTTGTCTAATCACGGCATCATAGAGTCCCTTTGGACATGTTTGAACCATTTTGAATGGTTTCCCGTAATCTTATCTATAATTAGCTATAGCGAGTTGTTCACGAATGTTAACAGTTTTTGTTTCCTAGCAGCCTAACATTTTGACCCATAAACTATCACCAATCTTATAACTATTCATGGGGAATGCAACAGCCACATAAAATAGTGGGTTATCTTCATTTTAACCATCCAACTCTAACTTTATAAATAATGTCGATTGATCTTTTCATTCTACCAAATAATAAGTCCAAGATATCTACTATTACATCAAGGAATGTCCTAGTTTCTATTTTAATTATATTCTCAATTCTTCTCTTGCCATTGTTAATGTTACTTCATATATCCAGTTTGTTCCTACTTAGCTTAAAACCCTTAGTTTTAGTATTTTTCTTCGTTACTCGAGTTTATAATTATGCCATCTAAATTTTCTTCAATCTACATAGTATCATTAGCAGGTAACATACACCATTTTAACTTATCCTGAATATGCTTGGTAAGTTCATCCATAATCAAAGTGAAAGTATTTCGACTTAGCATAGGTCCTTGATAAATACACCTATAATTAAAACAAACTCAGTAAAAATTTCTATGGTCCTAATCCTAGTGATTAGGATGCATAAGTTTTATCACACCAAAATAACTACTAGATGTCCTTTCTTTCTAAACCCACCATGATAAATCTTTAAGGACTATCATAGACATTTTCTAGATCAACTAAAGACATGCATGTGTTTCTTCTTCTTTCAGAAATTTTCAATTAAAAAGGTTTCTGTAGTTGATCTTCCAAGAAAGAAAAAAAATAGAAACTAATATTCATATATACTCCTCTCATATCTAGGATTCTTCCCAATTATCCTATCCCAAAGTTCCATAGTAGAGTGTTTAGCTCAATTTATCTATAATTTAAGGAGCTACGAACACCTCTTATTCTCACACTTCCATTAAAGGCCATGGCAGTGATGATTCTATCTTGACATCATAAATTAAACTGAATTAAAAAGCAATTGACCAATATGGAGATTACTATTTGCAATCACTCTTTACTAGTTACAATCCCAGTTTAAAAAATTTTAATTTCATAAATTAAACTGGATTAAAAATCAATTACCAATATGGAGATTACTATTTGCAATCACTCTTTACTATTTACAATCCCATATTAAAAAATTTAATTTTTCTAAACTATCCCTTTGCAGCGCAGGGGAGAAACAGCATCAGCATGGAGTGCGGGGTTGTGGGGAAGGGAAAAAAAAAAGATAAAATCGATAATACTAGGACTGTAAATAATAAAATAATATTTAATATTTTTAAAGGTATTATCAATAACAAAGGGTTGTCCATAGTAAAAGGGGACTGTGAATAGTAAGCTTCGAGCAATAATATGTAAACCAGCAAACATACAAGAGAACCAAATATGGAAATTAAAAAATTCAAGAAAAACTAACCAGCGGATGAATGAACCTTCCATCCCTGCTCCTCTCCAACCATACATGTTCAAATGGTTGGTTATTGTTGTTCACGAGTATATTATACTGATCTTGTGGGCGTGGAATAGTGGGAATGTGAAAAGGCACCTTCGAACGTGCTGCTGTTGTTCTCTTGTCCTTCGTTGCCACATTAACCACAGTCGATGAGCTAGAACCAGAAAACCCCTCATCTTTCTCAGCGTCACGCATGGCCCCCTTCTTTTTCTTCCCATAAACCAACTGAAATCCACCTTCCAAGTCCATCGCCCCTATCTTCCCACCAGTCTCTTCTTCTTTCTCCCTCAAATTCTTGAATTCGTCCATAGAAACCGCGAGACGATCAAGAAACTCGTCGTTGAGGTTCACGACCCAATCGTAGGCGTCATCGAGATCGTCAGGAAACTGCGGCGGCTTCTTGCTCCCCCACAGACTGCTCGACGCGGCGATGCTCCTCAAGGAGGACTCCGATTTATCCTTGATCTCCTTGACCGGGGCCTTGAACTCATCGAAGTTGTAAAAGAAATGGAAGTCCTTACCGGAGGGAATACCCCGGGAGCGACCGAATGCCTTGTCCACGGCCGCAGCGAGGGGACCGGACACCAGCGCGTGGAGGTCGTCCGCCTTCTGCTTCAGGGACGTCTCGGAGTCTGGGGCGTCCTCTTCCATGGATCGAAGGGGTTCGGTGGAGGGGCTCGCGTTCCTGCTCAGGGAACGGGGACAGCGACGAGAGACAGACGAATCTGAGCTTCTTGGTCCGGGATTAGGGTTTTGAGTCCGCCATGGACGACATAGCTCGACGAGGGGTTTCCTTCCTTTACGTTTCGCTTTCGGCGGACTGGGGTTGGGGTTTTTAAGCGCAGCCGACGTTTTATATACCCGATGTCTTTCTGTAGGGACCGTAACCGAGAACCAAATAAACCCGATCCGATATCCATTTAAAAGTCTCGTATAATGAATGAATCGGAGGACCCTATAGGATTGGGATTTACATTATCAACGGGTACGGCCTGAATCCGTTATTAGATAGCTGAATACGAATTCAATGCCAAGCGTAGAAATCTCACATGACATGGGGACACGCTAAGGGTATTGATGTTCATATTAAGTGCATGCAATTTTCTTCAGCATGATTGGAGGAGAAAGGCATTAATTCGAATAATAATTACATTACTGGTGGATGAGTTGTTCTTGCAAGGACGATGATGATGGAGACTAAAAGATTTGATCTTCCGGTAATGCTGACACGAAAGCAAAATGTCTTTGATCTCCAGCGGTACTCCAATTGGGCTTTCTTCCCCAATTCGCCGACTCAGCTAAATCCACCTTCCCTTCTTTTTGTCCAAAAGTCAAAAAAGCAAAAGGAGATAATTGAGATGACTTTAAAGTAGCTAAATGGTGTATAATTTGACTCAAAACGTTATCGTCCAAAACGGATAATAACTCATTAATTAAAATTTTTTTATTTAATTGTTATCCTTTAATGATGAACTCGATTCATGAATCGAATTCACCGAATGAGTCTTATCAATTTTAAGCACAAAATTAAAGGTTAGAAGAACTCCGTGTGTTGGTAACGAGGCATTTCCATACATGTTTTTGAGGTAAGTCAGAACCTTATATGAATGGGGGATTACATAACTTGGCATCGTTCCTATTATTATTCACCCACGGTTAACTTACTTAAAAAGCCAATGATGTCATCGGAGATCGTTTAAACCACCCTTTGATGTTAGCGAAATCGACATCTGGACCGTAGGGTCGCAGGATCCTACGGCCCAGATCAATCCTAGCGAGTCACCGAACCGGATTCTATATGAACTGGGGCTCGGCGCGCGAGTCGACTCAAAAGGCCTTGTTCGACGAAACAACGTTCCCGAGTCCAGACGCGCGACGAGCCCTAAGCCTCTTCGCCTTCCTCTCTGCCGCTGCTTCACCACTCCTCCGTGTCGGTGCCGTAGGCCGAGTACCTCCTCCCTCCGGTACTCTTCTTCTCTTCTCTCCTCTCCTCTCCTCTCCTCTCCGTCCTGATCTCCTCTCCCCCCTCCTGTCTCGCATCTCCTCCTCTCGCATTATATTTCTGTCACCAATGCTGACATGGACATAATCGTTCGTCTGTAGAAGGACCACACAATTCAATGCTCAAGAATGAGCCTTGCAGCAGAATCTCCATTGCAATCGTCAAGTAGCAGTGAAGATTTTGCTGCCTTACTCGATGCGGAGTTGGAATTAGCTTCTTCCGACACTTCTCCCAATGAAGAGGAAGCCGAAAATGATGATGAAAATGATTTGCAAGAGCCAAGGTATGCTTTGGGCTGCTAAATGGGTATGCAATCCCCCTGTTGTTTTAAATTGGCATCAAATTCCCTTAGTATTACAGCTTTTAGGGTTTATTTTTAGACCATGATAACATTGTCGTTTTGTCCACGACATGGGCCATTATTCATGAAAGAAATGGAAGATCGATGTTCTCATAGCTTACATCTGTCAGATACTTGTTCTATGTCTCCAGAGCATTATCTTAGTCTATTAAACAACGCGGCAACCTAATAACTTAATTTCTATTAGCTCCACCCATATGTGATCGTTGTTGGTCCCTTGCATCTCTTTCTCGACTATTTTAGGAGTTTTATCTTCTTTTGGTTGTCATCCAACCAATGCTAGTATCTGCTTCTAAGTGGGATTTCAAATTACTCATTCTTCTGTACTCAAGAACTTCGCACGTAATTTGGATGTGTACACTGTTATGTCTTTATATGTATTTATGTATTGCACATACACTAGTGACCCTTATCTTGTTACTTGCTTTTGCAGGACTAAGAGACGCAAAGTTGAGGACTTTGAGAGTTTAGAAGATCTTGAAACACCAACGACGGTTGAGACAAATCAAGAACATATTGGTATCCCTAATTAGTTTGATGAGATAGATAATTTTATCATTCTCTTACAGATTTACCTGTATTCTAGTCTAAAAAAGAACATGACTGTCGATACCAAAAATCTAGCAAACATTAGTTGCATGAAAATCCATATTATTAAGATACATTAAATAAAACCTCAGAACATGATCCAGGAGGGCAGATTATTGTTAGTTCATGCAGTCATTGGACCCTATATTGTTAACTAGATTCTGTATGCTACTGAGAAGTCTGACGAACATTGAGCTGGACGTATGTACATGTTGGAACTGCAAGAACGAAATAACATCATTTACGTTTTTGCCCCACATATATGCATGCAATTCTGACATAGTATGTTTACTAGGGTGCATAATCGATAGTCGTAGGCTCCAGTATGTGATTAAATCTTTACCTTGTTTGTATATTGCCTGTAAAGGTAAACTTTGAGAAAGCCTCTTGACCCAGGTAATTGGGGTAGATATTCTGAACAAGAAGTTGGCTGTGACAGAAAACTTGCTCTTGCCTAGAAAGTGGCATCGAAATATTAGAAAATCCTGTAGTTGCATCTTTCAATTTGGGACAGGAGTTGCTGCTTGTGTTTGCGGTTATAGCATAATAGTAATTTAGTTGTACGTGAGGACTTGAGAAAGAAGAATCACCTCATGGATATGAGAAAGCAGTTCAGGTTACATTAAAATGATGGACTTGAGGACCTACCAACTAATTTTGAGAATGTGAAAGGAGATTTTTCTTGAAATGTTTAGTGGTCTGAAATTAACACTCAGAACTCATATTCTAAGGAAACAATGATTGGATTTTCTTGGTATGAACATCTGGCTCTTGTGGTTCCTGGCTGGCAGGCTTCTAAATTAGTTTTTTTTTTTTTCATAAAAAGTCGAGCAGTTCAGCTTATATAAAAATGATGGACTTGAGGACCTACCAACTAACATTGAGAATGTGAAAGGAGATTTTTCTTGAAATTTTGGTGGTCTGTAATTAATGCTCGGAACTCATATTCAAAGGAAACAATGATTTGATTTTCTTGGTGTGGACATCTGGTTCTTATGATTTCTGGCTGGCAGACTTCTAAATTAGTTTTTTTTTTAAAGAAAAATTAACATGGCCTGCTGGTTGTCGTGAGACTATCCAAGTAGAAGAATCCAGTGGGTTTTGATAGAGCCATAGAGGTTGTCAACAAAAGAAATTGCAGCTTTGCCATTTTGTTTGGCGTTGATGAAACTTGAACTGGAGGCTAGAAAAAAAGAGTTCTTATCATGACATTGGAGGCGAAAGAACTTATGCAGCTGAAGACGCCTCTGCTTGGCAACCATATTTGGTGTGCTTATAAAATGATAGATAAGTTCTGATACACAGGAGTTGTGTGTGAGTATATATGTACGTGAGCCTTTTCAGAAGCAACTGTAAAAGAAAAATGAAGAAGTGAAGGAAGCCATTAGTTTTAATTAATATGTACATGCTAACATGTGGAAGCTTGTGTGGGAAAGTAAAAAAAAAGTTATGTTTGACCAAGTTAACCTTCCTCTGATTATATAGAGATGCTAGATTTCAGTAAATGCTATTTGTCTTTTGTAACTTCCTATTAATATATGGGCTGCAGAAAATCCAATTGGTAATGGAAGGATAATGTTCTCTTACTGTAGCAAATTAGAACAAGAAACATTAGTGGTTGAGATTAGTGTAAACCATGTTTATTTCTGAAAAATATGAGATGCTTTCCACCTACGAGGAAATCACAAAGAGAACCTGTTTCAAGGTGTGTAGTAGTGAGCTTAAGGTTATTTAGTAGAATTAAGACTTTTGCACTTTGAAATGTTGACCTGAGATGCTCCCGATGTTTCAATACTTTGGAGAATATAGGAGCAATTATTTAGTAATTGGTCTGTTGTTTTCCTTTTAAATATGATATTGTTTGCCCTAGTTTTGTCCAGATCAGATGTGGATGCTGGTCTTCCAAAAGATATCTTAGCTTTTCAGAAGGAAGTTTTGTCTCGACAACCTTAAACTTACCTGACCTAATTTAATCATCTAGGGGATACGTAAACACACCAAATTTGGCAAAAAAAAAAAGGTGTATCATGCATCAGATGGAACCCATTGTGTTTCACCGGTATGGAATACTAAAGAAAATGGTTGTGCGTTTAGATATTTCAAATTTTCAAGTAGTTGAATGTGTACAATTCCATATATTGCAACCCCAGCTTCCATCCTTTTAAAAGAGTTATACTTTTTATAGTTCACACAAAATTGTCCTTTATTTTGTCACATTCTGAGTTCTGACAAAATGATAGATAGCTAACTAAAGGTATTTGTTCATCTTGTGTAATCTGTTTCAGGTACATCTGCTGTTGGAAAAAATGATATATGCCCTCCACATCCTGGATTCTTTAAAGGATTATGCATGAGATGTGGGCAGCTAGAAGAGGACGATGGATCAGGAGTTGCATTTGGTTACATTCATAAAGTACATATATATGCCCATCACAATGTGGAGAATTTTTTAACTAATTCATTTATTTTCTTCTTTTTGATTAATTACTCGAAGCAACCTAACTACAAGGAATGTGATAACTTCATGCGGCTTACCTGCTACTATCCTGAAATGTTTAGTTTCACAAAGAAAGCATAGTGTTGCTACACGGTTCTGGTACACTAGGAACATAAGGAACAAAACTTTTAAGGCAAATGAAGTATATAAACATTTCTATACATAGGTAATTCTGTAGAGGACTATAGAGGATGGTTAGCCATTTTTCAGTCATTTTCATGCGTTGGTCATATCAGTTCTTGAGAAAACAAATAGTGGTAATCAGCGCATATATGAGATCTTATTAGAAGTTCCTATGGGTGCACAAACATGATGATCTGCAACTGACATAATATCTATTATCATCTTTAATATTTTGATGGCGAAAGTAGACATAATGAAGAGGAAAAAGCTTGATTACAGCCACAAATTTAAAAGGATAAAAGAGTAATTAGAAAGAACATACAAGTAGAAAGGGGAAGGATTAGCAGATAATCTGAACACCATACAGAAAGTTTGAAGAGAGGAAAATACTTTTTAAGACTGTATCTTGAGAGAAACTCGTGGTAGTTATGGTATACAAAGTTTAGTATTCTGTAGTATTCAGATTTTTAATCTGATTCATAGCTAGAACTAGAAGCATACTTTCTCTTGATCCTGCTTTTTGTTTTGAGAGAAGTCACATCACAAATTGTGTTGTCATCTGGTAAGTAGAATCTGAAGAAAGTAGAATAAAATTGTTCTTGTATTCATTAAGGTGGTGCCCTGGCATTCTAACCAGATGTTTGGAGGTGAAAACAAATCTGAATAAACATTTTTTAATTCATAACTATGTTTACGATGTTATAAATCTGAAAAAGAAAGAAGAATAAGATTTTCTAATATAGTTTAGATTTATTCTTTATAAATTTTTTTGCCAAAAAAAGGTTTACTTTGACATTTCTTTGAAACTGAAGAAAGAAAAATAAAAAATTAGAGTGCATTGTGTGGGTTTTATTTTCTTTGACATTGAATTTATTTTCTAAACAACTTTGTTTTGTACGGTTACCTTTTATACTTAAAAAACTTGGAAGTTGTATTCAACAATATGACATGCTGTTATTTGCAGGATTTAAAGCTAGGTACGAGGGAAATTGAGAGACTTCGTGGTGCAGATCATAAAAAATTATTGCGTGAGAAAAAGTTGGTATTGATCTTAGATTTGGACCATACTCTACTCAACTCAACACGCCTTGCTGACATCTCTTCCGAAGAAGAATATTTGTTAAGACAGGTTGATTCCATGAAAGGTACTATGCACCCTTCTTTGGTTCCTGAATCATGTTGGAATCTTTTTTTTTGTCTCTCTACATATCGAGTTACAGGAGGTAGACAGGGAAAGAGTCGTGAACATATGGGTTGTCCAGGATATTTGTCATGTATGTTCAGAGTTCAGACATTTGTGTCTACTTCTATAGTACAAGTTTCTATATTGAAATATTTGCCTGTGCTGGCTGGTTTCATAGTCTTTGGAATATAAACCATAGGAATCTTGAGATAAATACTTGGGTTCATCCCTTCCATTTTGGCTCTCCAAATTCTGGATGGTTTATTTGGATCATTATATGTCAAGCTTTTTTGCAGAAGTCTATGATCTTATTGAGACCTTAAATTTTATTTTCATGTGGTAATTGACTCACTTTTTACATGTCCTGTAGATGACCCAGACAGAAGCTTATTTAAGTTGGACTCTATGCATATGTTGACAAAATTGAGGCCCTTTGTTCATAACTTTCTGAAAGAAGCAAGTTCTTTCTTTGAGATGTATGTTTACACTATGGCAGAGCGTTCTTATGCAATGGAAATAGTCAAGCTTCTTGACCCTGGTAAAGTCTACTTTGATTCAAAGGTAATTACTCAAGCTGATTGCACCCAGCGACATCAGAAAGGCTTAGATGTGGTACTAGGTGCAGAAAGCATTGTGGTGATTCTTGATGACACCGAAGCTGTAAGTTTAGTTTTGATTCAAGTGTTCAACATTTTGTTTTGTCAGACTCACATGTTTCTTTCGCAATCCTTTGCTTGGTCTTGTGGATTGATGATGTCATTTAAACCATTTAGAAGATTTTGTGCCTTGTCTGCATAAATATCTTTTTCTGTAGTTGCCATTGTTAACTCTACTTTCATCCAATAAATCTTTGTAAACATGATGTGATTGTTGGCCCACACTGTTATTACCGCAAACTCACATTATAAAATTTGTGATGTCAGCCTTACCTTGAGAAAATCCACTTGGAGAAGAAAATTCTCTTAAATTTAGTTGGGAGTTGATTGTTTTATGCAATATTGCAATGCATGAATAAGTTTCATGAATATACACAAATACAAGCTACTAAAATAATATGCTAGAAATATACCACATCATGTTGCTTTGAAGGTGGAAAACTTCATCTGTTTATTAAACTTGGCCTGCAAACAACCTTGGTGAATGTACTTTGTACTTGGATGGTTCTTAAAAGTTTTATCAAGTATTTCGACTTCTAACTGTATATGAAACTGAAGGAGCAGTGGAAGTTTTATAATACTGACTGCTGGAGTAGAAAAAGCAATGAAAGATATGTAAGTTGGAGTGGAAACTAAATATGATATATTTTACCCTGTTGGTGCCAGACCATTGCCTTATGGTATTTCTATATTCTTCATGCTGTTAAAAGATATTATAAAATTATTTTTGATTTACTGAATTTCATACATAATCTAAGATTGGCCTATAGTATATAAGTTCATGTATTATATTAAGACTTAAAAATATGATTGTTTTGATAGTGAGCCATCATGTATACATATGGCAGTCTTTCACAAAGCTCTTCTATTAAATAATATTTTGTTCCTATGATTTTCCTACATCATGCCATGTTCCTCTGGAGCAACTTGTATTGTTGGTGTTCCCCATAGCTTTTTAAAACATCAGCTCTTGTAGCTTATATTCACGAGCACATGATAAGGTTAGTTCTTTCATATTGTTAGTTGCATGCAATCAAACCTTGGAGGTGGATTAACATATGCAAAAAGGATGCACTATCAAGGTATTTGGAGTCAAGGTTCGCCATTTTGGTTATCGGATCTGTCTTGGAGATTTGTCAAACCGGTTTGTATTGCTCTGTACCAGTGTTCTGAGACATGATACATCAGTAGGTATTGGTGTTTCAGGGAATAAGAAAAAGTGGGAGAAGAGGAAGGGAAGGTGGAGGAAGGAGGAAAAAGAGCGAAGAAGAGGAAACGGTGGAGGAGGAAGAGGAAGAGGAGAAGAGACATACCTGAAAAGTGATCAGGGCAAATATCATGTGTGGCGGTGTGTAATGAGGTCGTGATAAGCGGAGGTCATCAGTAGGCGCCTGCGTGAGAGGTGGAGGCATCGATCGCGGTGAGAAGATAGAGGTGAGAAGCAAGGTTCGCAATACCGTACTGTACCGGTGTTTCGACTTGGGCTCGGTACCGGTACGATACGGTATACCGAGCGGTACACCCAGGTGTACCGAGCGGTATACTCAGGTGTGCCTAGTACTGTAGCTCTGCTACAGTGCTACAGTGCACATGGACCGGTAACAGGCGGTCCGCGTACCGGCAACCTGTCGAACCGGTACGTACCGCCCGTACCGGGCGGTACAGTTTGGTACTGCAGACCATGGTGAGAAGTCACGGTGAGAAGTCGTAGCATCGATCACGGCTGCGTGAGAAGTGTAGGTGTCGATCACGATGAGAAGATAGAGGCGAGAAGTTGCAGCATCGATCACGGCTGAATGAGAAGCGGAGGCCGCGCTGTCACGAACGGTTGTTGCGCACCCGCAACAACTCCGTTCAACAAACCGTTCGTCGCTCACCCGTGCATGTACGGCTGCTTGACAGCATGTTTTCTCTTGGTTTTGGGTCATTTTGCTTGTAAAAATGTAAGTTCGAACAAGCTGCAGCGTTACAAAGCGACCGCTCACCGAACTGAGCAAAACAACCCCAAAACAGCCCAAAACAGCTCCGTTTTCGCGTGCCGCGGGAGGGTTGCGGTGATCTGCCTCCGTTCACCAAAACGCCAACCATCTCAGCCCCTTTGAACCCCCCGGGTGGCACAGGGCTGGATGGGGCTTCGGTTATATACCAGGCGTTGAACTCTCTTTCGCAAGTTCGCACGTGGCCTTTACGGGAACTTGTTTTCGCGCCCGGGACCAGGTGAGCGGCTGTTTGTGGGCTTGCAACTATTCGTTCATCCTTCTAAAGCCTTGTTTTCCCCCTCTCCCTCTTTTCTCTTGTGCACGCAAGGTGCTCGCTGAATTGCTTGTAAAGCTTCCTCTTTTCGCGAGACTTCGGGACTTGTCCGTTGCTTGTTCCTTCGAACTAACCAACTTTCTCTTTTACAGGTCATTCGGGACCTGCGAGAGGTTACAAGTGGGCTGATTCTTGCGGAGCAATATTGCAAGGGCAAAGCGCGACTTAGGCAACGCAAGCTAAGTTCGCGTCTTTGCCGCAAGGGTGACTCGCGACTTAGGCAACCCAAGCTAAGTTCGCGTCTTTGGCCGCAAGGGTGCCTCACGCCTTAGGCAATTCCAGCTAAGGCCGTGACAGCGCGGAAGTGGGATTTAGGGTTTCCCACTATCCCTTCTATAAGGCAGACCAGACTGGGGTGGGTCCACATATTGGTTAGCACTCGAACTGGTACGTGTTGCCTATTTCATATGGGTTTGGGCGAAATGGAAGTCCTTGTCTTAAACTTGCAATGATCTGTGGCTACATGCCCTGCCTTCGAATTGGAAAGTTATTTAACCTTACCCATTACAAGATGCAAAACAGTAATTTCTACCTTTTGTGTCAGTTGAAAATGCTTATTCTTGGTGAAGATTTTGGACCTCATTTAAGTTACAAACCTTCAGCCTATCGGAAAACTGGCATATATAAATATAAATATTATCTTGAAGTGAATACAGTCGTTTGCACTTCTTCACCATTTATTATTTTGAAGAGTAACAACATAAGTGTGCATAGCAGCAAATTTGGAAAGATGCTTGCTTTGGTAATGAGCTGTTAGGTCTTTTACCCTGCCAAATAAAGAATTTGTAGCATATATGCTTATGCTAAATCATAGGTAGGTCATATATCATATAAAATGCAGAAAAGAGGTCTCAGTAGATGAGAAATATGTAGTGAAAAGAGGGGAAAAAATGCTTTCATATTTATTATATGTTGATAAGGTGATCTTGATATATTATAATTTATTGCTATGTTTTTAACATAATCAGTTGTTCCTTTTCTGTTTTCCTTGTAGCTTGGCTTATGCAGAAGTTGTCATTACTGCAGGTGTGGCATAGACACAAAGAGAATTTGATTCAAATGGAGAGATACCATTTCTTTGCTTCTAGTTGTCGGCAATTTGGTTTTGGTGCCAAATCTTTATCGGAGTTGATGAAAGATGAAAGAGAGTCTGATGGTGCACTTGCAACCGTCCTTAATGTTCTAAAGCGGGCTCACCAAATGTTTTTCGATCCTGTGAGTTTCATTGCCACTCTTTCAAATCTAGTTGTGTTTGGACTTTCCTTTTTTTTCCTTGATACTTATTAGTAGCCTATTTCAGGTCGTTGGTCCTGATACGTCAAGAGATGTAAGGCAGGTAAATCAGTGTTATCGTACAACTCATCTTATACATATTTTTGTGTCTTGTCTTCAAACCTTTAAAAAAGGATGCACAATGGCTCCATTTTAGTTGATCTCTAACTTCTGTTAATCCAACTGCAGGTTTCTTTTTGTAGCTTTACCTTTAAGGCTTTAACCCATTTTCCTGATCTGAGTTTGTTCTAAATTTTAGAAATTTTATATATTTTGTTTTGTGGCTTTACATTTAATCCATTTTATCTGTACCATCATGGATGGTACAGATATTGTGATCCTATGATTTTGCCATCATACACGGGATTTGATTTTGAATGTTCTTATAATATGCATTGATTGTTAGATTAAAAGAACTTCAAGCAAAGCATGAGCCCTGCAGACTTGGTTAACCTCTCTGCCCAGCTAAGACTTCTAGGTGGGTCGTTAGGATGTTTTTTATTACTTTTTTATTTTCTGTAGGTCCTCAAAGGCATCAGACATGAGATATTACAAGGATGCAAAATAGTATTTAGTAGGGTCTTTCCATCCAAGTCACCAGCTCAAGATCAGCCAATCTGGAAGATGGCTGAACGATTAGGTGCAACATGCTGCGCAGAGGTGGACCCATCCGTAACGCATGTCGTTTCAATGGACACAGGCACACAGAAGTCGCGTTGGGCTTTGCAGAATGAGAAGTTTTTGGTCAGTCCATACTGGATCGAAGCAACAAACTTCTTATGGCAACGTCAAAAGGAGGATGATTTCCCTATTAGTAATCTACGAAGTCGTAATGCTTGACTTCTCTTCAAATTCTGAAAAGCCTTAGGATGGATCTTCTATCTGCCCATGTATTGATGACCCAGATAGTCATGGACGATCAATCACTATTCCTGTAACAATCTTATATGCCAGCTGGAATGCGAGGATTGTTGATTGTCATACAAACATGTAAATTTTTCTCTCTTGCTTTCTTTGTTAGTCGAAGAAAAAGTTTAAATTTCTTAAAATGGCTTCTACTTTTTCACTTTATGCTCATTCTCTATGTTATTTCAGGCATATCTTTGCATGATATGGTAGCCGTGTCGTATGTGGTCATTAGAAGTTTGATTCTGGTTTTTCAGATCCTTGATGACCGGAGGCCGAGCAGCAATACTTTGTTTCACTCTAATTTGCGTGTGTGATTTGGATTAATATGTTGTTATGATCTATGACTTATAGACCTGATCGTGGTTTTAGAGTTGATGGTTCCCATTGTGTGAAAAATTGGATTGACGGTTCCAAATTTCATGGAAAATGGAATCGATGGTTTTGGTTCCATTTGTCATGGAATTGGAACTCAGTTGGTTTTAGTTAGTTTCGTTCTGGAACTATTGGTTTTTGTTTCAATTCAAAACAATTTGTTTTGTTTTCAATTTCGATTTAAACAAACAGTTTAAATTGTTAAAAAAGAAAAAGGAAAAAAAAAGGTTTCATAAGGTTTATCGTATCGTGACATATTATTCCGGGCGATTGATACATTCCGGGCGATATGTATCAATCGAACGGATGATCGATATAATTGATACATCGATTTGTTTTCATGTTGGTATGGTTTGATATAACTTAGTTCGGATCAATAGGACAAATCATGCCACCAAATATGAAGTGCAAGCTATTAGAACTGAACTGTCAAACCTCAGTTCCGATTTGATTCGTAATCACCAACTCGTGATCAGGGCTAACTTGTTATAAACGAAAGAGTATCGATACTTTGAATTTTTGTCTTTTAAAGCTAGATGAATCAAAATTTATTTATCAGAAATATGTAATGATAACTAGAGCACTTTGAATCTTTGTCTTTTAAAGCTAGACGAATCAAAATTATCGAGTCCCGATTCACCGAAAATAATGACCATTTCCAGATAGATGTGCCATAAACATCTCATTCGATTCGAATCCCAAGCATGAATTTTGTTCACACAGAATGCTCGATTAGATACCACGAGACAGTGGACTTAGAGGTAACAATTAAGAAAAGAATAAAAATCATTGGGTAAATTTTACGAAGGAAATACTTCAAAATTTTTAAAGTCTAAACAGTGATACTCGTTAAAGCTCCAACAGACATCCATCCAATTTAAATGGCATGAAACATTTGAGGAACTAGCATATAACAAGGAATATTTTTTCCTTTATTTGGAACCTCACACCAAAGTCAAAGTTATTGACAAGTTAGAGTAGTAGAGCGGATCACAGTTTGATTACTCAATAACAACGACAAAGAGCAATTGGGAGCCAATAGCAACGTTGTAATTGGAGCAGAAGATTAAAGATTTAACCAAGGTGAAGAGATGCAGTGTCTACAAAGGCTTCGATGTGGATGTCGAAGGAATAAGTGGGGAAGAATATCACGGACAAAGCTATAAATAGGATATTTGATGTAATGCTTGTGTATATCTGTGTCTTTCGATTTTATTCATTTTTTGCACAACATGTAAAAGGTTTGCAGTAGGTTTGATAGCCCCATTTTGGTTGACTTTTGTGATTATTTCATGCTTATGAACATAGGTTTTATGCAATTATTATGTAAAGATAAAATTATCCAAAAATAAACTATCCGAATAACTATTTTGATGATTTTCTAGCTTCATAGAGTGATATGAAGTGACAACCAACAAAACACCTAGGAGCTACCAAGGTGACACATGACTGGTTGGACATTTTGGATAATATTCAGGAATTGTTCATTGTCTTATTTTATAATAGTATCATATGGACACTTGTGAATATTTTTTATCATGACAGATCACCTTGGACCTTTTGTCGACTATTTAGAATTTGCAAAGTTTATGATTGTAATTTGTGTTGTCTATTAAATGTTTGTTGAAAATAATTACTTGTTGGATCCTCGAACAGAGTGATCCCTTTTACGAGTGATCCCTTTTACGAATGAACATACAAGCATGCTATATGACTCGGATAAAACTAACTAAATTTATAACAAGTTAGTCGATATGCCAATACGAACCGATAAAACAAAAACAAATCATGAATAACAGCGGATCAAAGATAGAAGGAAGCTCGCTCATCAAATGTCTAGACCCCACACATCAGGCTTGAAAAATCTGTAGGGTATGGTGTTGACCGGACGGTAAATACCGATCAGAAGAACAACTCAGTATGGTACATTATTCTGATTAATAAGATTAAATTTGCTTAGAAACATAAATGTCAAACAACCCTTAAAAAGAAACTCAGTAGTGCTTTTGAATGGTGATGTTTTACACTGTCTACGGACAGTCTCTCTAATACTTCCGTCAAGGCTTCTAAACAATCCACAAGGATTGCATAATCTAGAGCCAAAATTAGACTTTGACATAAAACCAAAACGAAACCACAAAACGGACTGTAGCCATTGCACATTCAATAAGAAACGACGACGCCAGTTCGCCTGGGTACCCCAAAAGGTTAAACCATTTTACATCAGCACACCAGCTACATTATTGAGTGCTTTCTTGGCGATCTTGAATTTTCCAGCAACAGATTTTTCACTGCTTACAGTGACCACATACTGCTTGATGAAGTAGACGAGGCTGTTCCTTAATTCCTCTAGCTCAGGAATGGCACCAATTCGGGTGAAGATGTTCCATACCAAGGCGTCGCTGTTGTTGAAAACAGCCTCAAAGAGCATTCTGAAATGCATGACCCTTTTCGGGGTTAGGTTCATGGGATTTGTCAGATTGACAGTCTTTAGGATAGCAAGGGAGAGAGAGAAGCTGGATAACATCTCGGCGATAAATCTTGCAAGGTTCATGGAGCGGTTTAACTCCATCGATTCCAGTTCTTTAAAATGGTCCCATAAGCAGTACTGTCAATACCAGAAAAATAAGAATAACATTAGAGAATCATGAGAAACAGGGAGAACATGAACTAACATGCCATAGCTTTAACTTCCTCGCATCGACGGAATTGAATATTATTATGATAGGACAATTCCACATCATCTAACCAAAAACAAGATGGAACCATGAGGAGCTCATTGACAGCTTTTCAAATATTATTTTGTACAATCAAAGTAAAGATAACCATGAGGAGCTCGCTCAAAAACTTTAGAAACATCAACACCTTTCGACTTTCTCCAGTGTACAGGCCTGAGCATTCTATTGTGATTGACTAGTACAGGATCCCCATAAGACAACAGACGTATACTAAATGCCTAATTGGAGAACTTATTCAACAACACATAAACATATCATATATCCAACTTAAATTTTCCCGCTAGTTGCCAAAAGCCATATGTCAATGTGATTTGTACATTTGCATTCTTACATTCTTCTTTGGTAAAAATCATGAGATCTTGTCTGACAACTGCATTTATTTGTAGGGCTAGATATGACCGTAGCATACGATGGAAAATTTAGTACATTATGGCCTATGGCCTATGGAGAACTAAAAACTATGTTAATAGGAGTAAAGACAAATATCATGGCTCCATCAACAAGTAGAGTCTCTTTTTAGCACATAAATCCAGTTGGGAAATGAATGCATGCACATCAGACAAATTTACACAAAATCTCAAGAACCAAATTTAACAAAATTTTTTAAAAAACAAATAAGAGAAATAATTATGACGAGCTACAACAATGATGACTATTATCACCATATTACATAATGATTATACTATTGATAATTAGTTAGTCTACTGCCATGATTAATATTTAAAAAGCTGCTTTCAGGTTAATCGGGAGCAAATAATAAGCAGCAATAATGGAACAATTAGACAAACAGATGAATGAGCAGCATACCTGCAAGCTGAACTTGTTATTTTTATCATGGCTACATAACTTAGAAGCCAAGACTGTGTAATACTTATTGAAAACCTTTTCTTGCAGACAACATTCAACAAGGACCCTCATAATCTCCCTGTCCTGTGGATTGGTATTTAAAAAGACAAGAGTTTAATGAGGTTGAAACTGAACACTCCCCTCCCCTCAAAATGATGAAGAAAAATACATGAGAATAGAACAAACCTGCTTCCCAGTTAGATCGAGTCTCAAAAGTTTCTCAAAAGCATCAAGGTAGTCTTCCCCACTCATGATAATGCAGAATATCGCTCTTCTAATATCAGTATTCATCCTTTGTGCAGCCGCAAGCTGAACGAATTTTTGAGCTTCTACAACCTCCTTGATTATTGTAGTCTGCATATCCTCGACATCATTAATACCAGAGGCAACGTCCCCTGAAATCCACCATTGGCCTTTCTTTTCAGTATCAAGCAGCTTGCTCCACTTGAGCCCTCGAAGGAGAATGTCCTCTCCTCTTAGCTGCAAAAGATTGATCCAACGTTTAGGAAATTTAAAGCATAGGAAGTATGGTGTCCACAAAAGTTGCTAGATGAAGACAGAGAACAGAAAGGTATAGCTCTTCATTTGTATGCATGAAAGATGTCCTGATTCTTTTGGGTAAGAGATGCACCTAACTAGCGACAGAATGCAGAATATGAAAAAGCTAAGACAACAATAACTATCTTTGGCACTACTCTCATTTTTGCCTACTCACAAACTTTGACTTTACTTTCTCTAACTACAATTTTTATACACATGACAAAAAAATCAAAATATAGTTTGCAGTTATTTCATATACACATGTACCTACAGAGCTGTCCACCTGACTTAACTTTCTGCCCCTATGTGTAGATTTTCACACTAAAACTAAGGGTGAAAATTTAAGAACCCAAAATTTAGGGAGCATGGATAAAGTTTCAGGCAAAAAGGGCTTCTGCTTACAACTTGATTTGGCCTAGAAAAAAATTCCTACACGATTTAAAAGAAAATTGGCCAATCTACAAAGGTTATCAACAAAAGCACAATACAAGACCTTCTGCAGCCATTTTTTCAACCGTGTATGATGTGCAGGGACCTCTTTAAGCCTTATCTTATTGTTCTTAATGTCGCATATTCTCTCGAGCATGAAGTCCATCTGCAAAGAAAGAAAACCAGAAAAGAAAAAGGCATGTTCAGATTGACATGGAGATGCTAAGATCAACAAATATATGAGGAGCTTACTTTACTAATACTTCGCTTCCCATCTCGTGTGCCATCAGAATGAGATCTAAACTCATTTACTCTATTCTGAATATTGAAGATGAAATCTTTCATGGCAGCAGGATCATCAACCCTAAGTTTCATTCCACAATCTGTCCATTCATCATAAATAAAAATGTGAAATTAATATGGAGCTACTTTGGCTTTTGCAAATGATAGGTGAGAAGAACCAAGAATTTCAAAATTTTCACAACATAACTTGATGCCAACTAAATCACAAAGTTAAAATTGAGTTTCAAAAGAGCATACAATCTAGTATTGTATCTATAACGGACACATCCAACTCCGTCAAACGCTTGCTCAATACTGAAAGCAGGTCATATATGAGATCACTGCAGATAGAATCAGATGATCAAATATCAGCACTGATGACAAGAATCACTGCAAACTCAGAAAAAAGCAATAATGAGTGGCAACTTCTTCAAGTTAGAATTCATAGGACAGTCAGATTATCCTATCTGAAAGGCATATAGAAGAAGGTATTTCTAGCACAAACTATACAACAGCATAAAGGTTACCAAAATGGAAAAGAAAGAACCAAAAACCAAAGATAAAACGTGTAACGTGTAACCAGTAATGCTTCTACTAGAACTCTCTCGATTGCCATTTTTGCAAAATGCCATTTGTCACAAATGCATCCATGCTATTTGTACCAAGGACCTCATCATGGATGCTACTCAGCAATGATATCTTAATTCAAAGAAAAGAAATGACTAGAGACTCAAGGATAATTTCAAAAAGTATAAATTTCCTAAGTGTCATGCATATGCACCTCCAAACAATAAAATTTCCTCCATAAACAGCTTTTAGCGCGTAAAGAAAAACTTGAAATGAATAAAACAAACTACGAAAGGTAAATGCAGACTTAGGAACCATGTCCAATACTGCAGTCTACAAACCTGGAACAGACACCAAAAATGCACATATCACAAAGAATCTTTGCATAATTCTTCAGAAACATGCAATTGTCCTTCGAGTACTCATCCTAAAATGAAAATGAAATGGTTAAGTATACAAATCCACCAACAAAAATCCTAGGAAAAGAAAAAACCAGAGCACAATATTTGGCAACGATGTAAAAAATAATTATTAAAAAGATCTAAATAATTAGTGGTTGAAATAATTCACTGAAGCAGCAATAGAGAAGAATTACCATTACAGAATGACTATTCAAAAAAATTAAGTCAAATATAAAGAAGTATAAGTAGTCTGATAAAACCCAGTATATATCTCGAAGATTGTACTAGTGATGTCAAGAGTCGTTTGGTTGGTCGTCTAGGTGCTTGGGCAAGGGGAGGCAAGGCTTAAGCACCTTGATGGGCCCTAGGCAAGGTGCTTTAACAAGGCATTGCCTAGGTGAATGCGTCGGTTGAGATGTTGGGCATCCCAACCACTCACCTGGATGGCATAGGCAACCTAACTCCCCACCAACCTGGTACAAACCCAATTGCATCCCCTCCAACACAGTCACCATCCTCTCTTCTCTCTTCCCTGTTCTCTATACTCTTGTTTGTGCATGACCAGCATCCACCATCCCGGGCCTCTCTTTCCTCGTCTCTCCCCTTTCTCTTCTTCTTCTCTTCTCCTCTCTCTACGGCCAGCACTGATTGTTGTCACCCTCTCTGCCCTCTTCTCCCCCCTCTTCTTTCTCCACTATCCACAATCAAAGCCAATCCTCAACTACCTTCTCTGTATTATTTCCTCTCTCTCTCTCTCTCTCTCTCTCTCTCTCTCTCTCTTGGTTTAATTAATCAAGTTGACATGGCAATTCAAGTTACCTTGAAGGACAAGGACGACTGTATGTCAATAAGATAAAACATCAAGAAATATTAAAAGGGATTTTGGATGAAATTAAAAGATTCAAAAGACTATAATACAATCATTTAAAATGTTTAATGATAAAACTACTAAACATAAAATATTTCTGTTAGAACAGCATAAAGTTCCTGTTTTGACATAATGATGATATAAAACTCATGTCTTGATTGAAGTTTCTGTTTTAATCATTATATGTTTTTATAATTTTTGTAAGGTAAGCATCTTGTTTTCCTCAAGAGGCAAGCAACAAGCATCTCAAACAATAAGGCACATTGGTGCTTTAAGTGCCTAGCACTTTTGACAATACTGGACTTTACATACACAACCACACATCACTTTCAAACTGATTGAAGTGATTGATAAATTGACACTTGGACTTGATTCTTAATCATACCTCAAATGACTGAGCGAGAGAAGCAATGAGCTTTGCGCTAAAATCAATTCCAACTGAACATGCCATGCCTGCAACAAAAGCTGCAAAAGCAGCAGAAAAACTGAAAAGGAACCAACCTATGTTCAGAATTATGTTGCAGATTCTAGCAAATCACTTCACTAAACAAATTACAAGATCAATCATTTGATGGAAGAATCTAAAATAACTATAACAAATAAGAATCTGACGAGAATCCAATTGTAAGAAAAGAAAAGGCCAAACAGCAGACTCGTACTCTTTCTTCCTTCGCCTTATAGATGCTAGCAGAAGTACTCAAACAAACAATAGAAGAAATAGAGAAAGAAATAAACAAAAATAAGAAAGAAGCCAAAATAGGTTGGCAAGCAATTAGATCTTTTGCCACTTCAAGGAGGTACCAAAAATTCGTCAATGTGTTTCCTAAATGCAAGAATCTAACCGTTTTGGAAGGCTATGTGCATATTACTTGACCCATTAGGGAATGGACAAGTAATTTACAGTCTTTTATTCTCACAATCCTTAAAATACTGACTTCACCAGTGGTTGCACATTGTCGAGCTGAACCGAAATATTTTCCTAGCCCATCTCTTTGGTTGTTAGTGAAGAAGTAAAATGTTCCAAATTATCTCCAAACAACAACTATATATTTTCATTTTTGTGCCATTTCCAGTGAGCTTATCATTTTGTATGAATACTATGGATAAAATTGTAGTACAAGTTCTCCCGAACAGAAAAGATCAAATGTTTTTCTTATTTTCAATATACGTGACAAATAAGTAATGTTGTATACTAAGTCATAAGTGAAAAAATAAATACATTGGTCAGCCCAGTAACCCAAGTAAATATCATGATGTCTTCGATGTCACAATAAAAATTACAGACGATAGCTACAATTTTATACCACAAACACATATGAATAAACCACTTCATAGGTGTACAGAGATCCAAATTTGTCCTGTTGGTGGTCCTGAGTTTCAAGTTTTAACTACTACTTAAGACTCTCAAAACTTAAGTACCTCAGCCTTAGGTCAAATGACAGCAACTGACAGCAGTGAACTCATACACATACTATTTCAGTTGGCACTTATGAAAATAACAACACAATCTCCACATTACAGTATCGTGCTACAGAAGACACAAAGCTATCACCACCAAAACCACTCTTCAGTATAAGCTCAGCATCTAAGTTCCTTTTCTTCAAGTTTTAACATCTTACTCTAAACATCTAAATATCTAAAAACTCTAGCATTATTTGAAGCATTAATAGCAAACAAGAACTATCATTTTTATATTTATAACAGCCTATTTGTACCTATTTTATTTAAAATACACAGAGAAATCAGCAATCCAATAAATCCAAATATGACAAGGTTTATCATAGCCCAAAATCATTCCACAAACAGTTAGAACTTAGTAAAACGCACCAACACAAAACTAATGTAAGACAAGGTGCAAGATTTTATGTTAGTTTATACAAAGGATTGTAGTTTCAATTTCAAATGTCAGACCCGTGCCAGTCCATAGCGGGACTGATACTGGTTCAGTTCATGCCGACATTTCAGTACACCGACACATACCATGGTACCAAAAAGGGTGGTAAGGGGGAGGAGAAAGAAAGAGGAAGAGGTGGAGACAAAGCAGAGGAGGAAAAGGGGAGCACTAGGATATTGAGCAGGTTGGCGGTCGATGGTTGAACGGGCTGGCGGTGGGATCAGTGATGGCAGGACTGACACTGGCACAGGGTGAGGGCCCTCGCATGTCTCTCAAGATGCAATTAGGGTCTTGTTGACTCTTGCTTCTTTTTAAATCAAGAGCTTAAAAAGAACAAGCTGGACCAGACCGTCTGAAAAGGATCGATCCACAACCCAATTGATGATCAGATTGGTAAATATTATCCGGTACATACCGTTTCAGATGAAATCACATTCCATGGTTTAAGCACATCCGGAGAGCAACCTGAGTTAAATGATTTGGATCATTACATATATATAGTATTGAAGCATTAACTAATTTTGGTATGGACACCACTTGAAGCTCTAAATTGGTGAAGGTACGACACCAAGAATGTTGATTGCAACTTGGTAGGTTTACAACATCATGAGATCCCACATCACCAATGGGAATCAACTAGTTGAACAAAGGAGCATGTGTATTCCTAGTGGCTACATGTGGGCCGCTATAAGAGGTTCTATACAACCCCAAATATTTGAGTACTCTTTTGGAGCAAAACCAATATGGTTTAAGCTGAGCTTATCACAATTTCCCAAGGCTTTGCCATCATTCTAGCGTAGAAATTTATGTCCAACATATGGTTCAATCTAAGAAAAAACACCAAGTATCAAATCTTTTGTAAGAAAAAAGGTGCAGACTAATAAATGCCTAATTTCAATTCCAAGTCTGCGATGGGTAACACAGCAAAATACCTAGGAGTCAAAACTATTCCTCCATGTTTTGTGCGAACATTATGTCATGAAAAAGTTCAAATTGTGTTTGTATGTTGGAAAAATATTAAACACTTCAATTTAGCTTGCTATTGAGGTTGGAAAAGGTACTCTTGAATATAAAAAGAAGAAAAAACATTCTATCTTTACATTGGTCTCATAAAATGTTTTCTGCACTTTAACTTCTAATTATGATGAGACATCAAAAACACTGTGCAATAAGATTGACATGTAGCACTTAAGAAATCTCAATTTAGTAGCTTAAAGAACTAGAATATGGCACTACTATGCTTGCATTCACTAAGAGGAGGAAAGAGGCAAAACCTTTCATTTTTGGTAGATGATTCCAGAAATGCCTGACCAATTATCTGACAGCCATCACTGCGAGAGAGTGACTGTCGAAGTCTCAGCCATGATATTGTAAACATTACCATGAAACACAAAAGACAAATACACGATCTAATATTAGAGTAGTACTCGAAAGATTGTAGCCACTTCTTTGGTAATTGATTCCACATTGGAATCATTAAGCTGGTTCAGAAGTCCTGAAAAAGCAAGTTATCAACAACAAAAATTGTCAGTCTTACTGAAAATAAACTAGAGGCATATTTTTATATAACATAAAATTTGATCTTCAACCAGATAAGTGTTCATACTTTTCACCCTACGACGAATCTCAAGAAGCTCATCGAATTCGATACCCAGACGAGCTCGCACCTGAGGAGGCATATATTTCACACTTGGAACTGTTGCAGGTTCTACAGAATGAGTTTCTTCTGTGTCCAATACATCAAGCTTCTTTGCATCCCCGTCCACCACTGGATGCTCTTGTGAAGCAGCAAGTGAATTCTTTTTCTTACGCTTCTTCTGACCCACATCCACATGTGAGGTATTGACCTTCTCTGGAGTCCCCTTCTCAACGGCAGCAACTTCACATTCTGATTGCTCCATTGAAGCATGACACAACTTTTTCTTATTCTTGTGCTTCTTCTTCATCGATGAGACATTCTCCTCTATTACATCATCATCATCTACTTCATCCTCTCCACCAGCAACTTCATGTTCTGATAGCTCTATTGAAGCATCAGATGACTTTTTCTTCTTCTTGTGCTTCTTCTTCATCGATGAAACATCCTCCTCTATTACATCATCATCTACTTCATCCTCTCCACAAGTGTCATCATCGAACATGGAGTATGGTTCAGATGGGCTCCCACCAATTAGAAAATTTATCCCGTCATCAGGCCCGCGCAGCTTCGTGTCCTTGACTTTGAGCTTCTTTGACAGCCTCTTCTCCATCTCGAGATCCTCCTCACCGCTTAAAACGCCCTTGCCCGTCTCCAATTCCAGAAATTCCTGAAACTTAGTTTTAGACTTCCCCTTCTTCAAAGAATATGACATCTTCATCTTCTTAATTTTCCTCTCCGAAGCCACCATTTCAGACTGTGGTTCCGAATCCAATGATGACTTCTTCTTCTTCTTCTTGTTCTTACCACTCTTTGTTCAGAAGAATTTCAAAAAACAAAATCAGCAAAAAAAAAAAAAAGCTCCACAGATTAAAGCAAGAACAGTAGTGACTATATATACTTGATGCTGGATCCACGAGACGAATCGGTTATGTTGCTTTGCCAACCGGGCTTCTTTCCTCTTCTCTCGCCGAGATGTTTCTGCAGGTCTCTCTGTGAAGAACAACAATATAAGAGACACGATTAAAAAAAACGATTTTTGTTGGCAAAATTTTCAGTAAAATTTCAGCGTGAAGAATCGAGAAAACACATATAGTAATTCACTATACCCATAATCGAGTTCCTCAGCGGTTTTCTTTCAAACAGGAGGTCGAGATGTCGGGCAATTCCGAACCCCAGAAAACCCTTCAAATCAAAACCCTAAACACAGGAGAGACCGGTGTGGTTCGGTCCGCAAAATCCCATAACGGGTTTCAGACCGCGTGAAGGCCGGTCAAGCGGATCCAGACCTGCGTCGGATATCTAAAACCAAGAAAAGAATTGACGTCAACACTAAAGCAAACGGCTAACTCCGGGTCGGATCCGGATGATCGGGTATTCGATCCGCAACAAATCGATCATTGCCACATCCATTACCTTCCCTAATTCTCCTCGGTCGTCGCACGTGCTCGCGACGCCCACCGCCGGCGGAAACGGCGCAGGGAACCCGTCGACGCCGCGTCTACTACCTCCTACTTCCCCTCCCTTCCATGGTCACCCACCTCCACAACGACTGCATCGTCCTCGAGGTCAGATCCACCTTGGAGATGTACGCCGCGTCTCCAGCAGCGACGCGACCGCCTCGACTACGTCACGCTCGGAGAGACCAAGGGAAGGGAGGCTGCTCTTGGAGGGAGACAATGGGAGGGAATGAGAGAGAGAGAGAGGGAGGAAGAATAATTCCCGTAGGGGGGTCGCCGCCGAGGTGGAGGCAGCGCACGGCCGCGGGAAGGAGAGGATCGACCTGAAACGAAGGCGTACGGCGGTGGGGGAGGAGAGCGCGACTGGTTCGGGTCAGTAACTTAATGGATTTATATTTAGTGTGATTAAAATATATGGGGTCGGGTCAGTTCGACCTCGATCCATATCGGATCAAATCGCCATCGGGTTATTCGGATCGTATTGTATGATCCACGACAATAAAAATGGAAACGGATCTCGGATTCGGATCAGGACAGATCAGATGTTCGACATGCGAGAATGACTTACGTGATAACGTAGATCCATGTTGATATAATCCCTATTAAATCAAATTTGTCCTTCAGATAATAGATACTGATGCAAGGTTGTTGTAACTCCACATGAGATCAACTAGTAGACATTGATTTATTAGTCTTGTAATATGAAGTCAAAAGATAGATCTTCTTAGGGCATTCGGAACTGCAGCTAATGCAGACGTATATGCATCAGAGATACAAGTATCCTTTATGAGCGGGTGAGCTTGTAAGCTGCAAAAGCTCCAAGTCCTGCTACAAGCACAATGGCCGCAACTCCAGTCAGAATCAGTCTGCGCTTACTTAGAGCCTTTAGAACACCTCCGGATTGCTTCATCTCATTTGTAGGTTTTGGCAGAATTACGTAGAGGATTTCTTGATCAAATTTGGCTCCGAGCTCTCTGATGTTGCAATGCTTTGGAAGCTGAAAGCTCCTGAGAAAGCGACGCCATTGACCGTCTCTTAGAGCTCGCTCTCCACTGATCGTTAGTTTCCTCGAAGTGTCGACTAAAACCTTTAGTTCTTCCTTCTTGAATCCTAATCCTGTATCAAAAAGCAGATGGAGGAGGAAAGATGTTTGAAGTTCGTTGATCATGTCATCACAAGAAGCGTGCAAAGTGTTTTCGGTCTAATCAAGAAATTGTACCGAACAAATTGGACTACAGAATCATATGGATTCATTCTGATTCATATTTAATCATTCGGATTCATATAAGAGGTGTTTAAAGTCTCATAATTGCTCGGAAAAAGAAGAATAAAAAAGAGGAAGACTAAATGGAGAAAGCCTGCCTGAGAGGTCAACTGTCAGTGCATCGAACTCGCCCACTTCTGTCCAGTCACATTTCGGGTTGCACTCCGAGTGAGTTCGCGATCCTGAAGCGGCTTCCATGAATGAGCTTTCTTGTTCTTGGTGGTGCTTCTTTTTGGGCAACTTCAATCAGCGACAGAAGAGCCATGGATGTATGTTCCTTTATACGTGCAGCGAATGCATCGGGGGAGATAGATGCCTTGCCTTTAAGGCCTTTGCTTGGGAGAAGAAATGTTCCTTGCTGATTCCTGTGAGGTTGGGTTACTCCAAACCTTTTAGTTGGAACTCCCTTAACTAGTGTGTACTCTACTGTAGGAATGTGGTTACCCATTTGGCTTCTTCGATGAAGATGCTAAACATTAGCTTAGGAACCTAATTAGTTTCTCCATCGTCAATCAACTATGTGCCTTTATTCTAACTCTTGACTATCATTTGGACTATTGGAATCAGTGTTCATAATGAATGTACAACATACATTATCATGTAATTGCAATCCTTCAGGGAATTATTTGTTCTGTCAGCTCTCTTGATCGGGCAGACTCATTATGAATGGCAAAGGATCATTACATCACACTGCAACAGGTATGAATACCTCTGTAAGCCTGTCATCTTTTCACATCTTTCTTCTCTTTGAATTGCTAAAAGACAATAATATATTGGGAGTTGTAAATAAAATGGACTAAAATAGGGAAAATAATAATATTATCTATGGAGCTAATGATATTCGAATAGAACTTCGTCGAAAAGGGAGATCACTTGCCCCGGAAACTGGTTATGATTAATGGAACACTTGTAATTGTGGTCATCACTTCAAAAGTAATGGAAGATTCAGATGTTAACACGTACCTGAAATTTATCAGCATTCTACCCTTCGGCAAGCATCGGAGATCCTTCCCAAGAGTGAAGTCCTCCTACAAGAATATTATTTGAGGGAGGGTGATGTTGTGTCAGGACTGCCACTGCAAGAACATTACTCGGATAAACGGATTGTTCTAGTAAAATGATTCCTCTTGAAATTTCTAAATCCGTGCAGAAAACAATACTGTTCCAATGATCCGGTCTTGTGTATTACTCGTTTGTGATGAGGTTTTGGGATTTTGCCAATGCAGAGCTAACATTTTTCTGATAGTCTTGAAGATATAATTTACATACAATATAGCACCAAATGTCTCTTTCAAAGCAGTATTTCAACGTGAACGATTGACCTCCTTTTCCTTTATTTCCTTTATATATCATTTACATGTACTTGCACAGATTCTTCAGCTCGAAATGGAACTACGGAGACTCGTAGTTATCCATCTGCATGGGCCTTTTCAGTGAATATGTTACATACAACACTACTCCCACGAAGACCACAATGGCTAAAGCTCCACTGACCATGACTCGCATGCGCCTATACAAGCCAGATCCCAATCGTTGCACCTTCTTCGGATCCCCCAGCATGCGTCCATGCCCAGCTGCGGTTGCTTGCTCCTGCGTCATTGCCTTCTTCTTCTTGGTTTCAGCATCCTCCTCATGTAGTTTCGCATCCTCGTTGCCCTTCTTTTTCTCTTCGACCTTGTGCACATCTTTGCTTGCATCGAGCGACTCCTTCCTCCTCTCGTCCTTCGGTTGCTTGTTGATGCTGTAGTCAGACTCTTGATCTGGTCTTGACTTGGTTTTCTGGGTCGTGTCACTTTTGCTGCCATCAGCTTTCGTCTCCGTCGTAGCTTTTGGATCCGGTGCAGCTTCTGGGGCCTTTGCGGCCTCATCTTTTGTGCTAGTTTCGGCGACAAACTTTGGAAGTAAGATACGAAGAAGCCCATTCTCAAACTTACCGCTGATCTCACTGACATTGCAGTAATCCGGTACGTAGAACTCCTTGAGAAAGCGTTTCCACCGGTCGTTGATCAGGGGGCGTTCTCCGCTGATCTTTAGCTTGCCATAGTTGTCGATTTGGAGCTTGATTTGCTCCCTGTTGAAATCTACATGTATACAGAAACTGAACATGTTATAGCAGCAACAAGAACAAGTAGGCTCTCTCCTTTGTTGCTGACAACAAAATAGAAGGGCGTAGAGAAAGAGAATGCGAGCCTGGGAGCTGGAGAACGAAAGTCTCTGCGTCTTTTCCTCTAAAGACTTCGTGTGGAGGAACAAAATCATCGTAGATTCGTCGCCCGGGAGCAGCTGAAGGCCGTCTCTCCATGAAACCCTTTCAGTTTGCTTCCTTCCCCTTGAAACTTGAATCACATGCCTTCACGAACGAAGGCAATAAATAGGCGAGAGAGATCCCTTTGGGTGTTGCTCTGCTCATACCCACTGATGTCGTTCCTTGGGAGGTTACGCCTTCTTCTTATGGTTCCTTGGGAGGTCGCTATACCTTTCATTCTGCTTCTGGTCGGGTCATCTCCGCGCAAAGCAAAGGAAAGAGAAGGTTCCTTGTCTCGCCTGCACTCTTCTCTTCCATGTTACTCCCACGATTATCGACGAAGCCAACCACAAGATTCCAGTCTCATCGTCATGTTCATCCCTCTCCGGGTTAAAACTAATATTGTAATATTCAAATCCTGTCCTTACTGTTTACTAATCACAAAAAAAATATAGTAATTTATCTGACAACATTAAATTCATGTTTTAGTTTTTAATTATTTTTATTAGACAGTAATCAGACCATATTTAGATGACCAATTCAAAGTCAAAAGTTCAATTTCTGCATGAGTTAGGCTGTAGCTGATGCTTATAAAAGCCTGAAATCACAACATAAACTACTCATGTAGAACGACTTTCTTCTCCTTTGGCATTTCTAATGGAGGAAACAGATCTCATGTGCTTGTTGACTTTTGGAATGCCCAATCCTCTTGAAAGAACTGAAAAATCAGATTTCCATGAGTTTTGGGTGTAAACCTTTTGACTTTGATGAGAAAATTCCAAATGCTTTTCTCTTCTCCATCTGCAAATGAATTTGGTATTTGCTCACGCATGGCCTTTGCAGCTTGAGGCTATTAAGATCCAACTATTCACTCTCAGTTCCTTTGACCAATGATGATCGATGTCAAATCCCTCGTGATCCTTGAACACAATTTTGCTCCTCTGCAAATCTTTAGTAAGTACTTTACAAGAGAAATGTATATAATTTATTTTCATTGAGAAATACAATTGATTGAATCACAAGTTTGTTATTTTTAAAGATAAAATCTAATTATTTATAATATATAAAACATATAGATAATTTTATAAAGATAATTTGTGTAGGATAGAAAAGGATAATGATAGGGATACTTAATAAGAGGGTAACCAACATATATTTCCTCTCCTTCGTTATTATAATAATAAAAACTTAAATACTTTTTAAAGATAAATATACTTAATAATAGATAAGATATCAAAAATATTCCAATCCATTGTGATATTAAAATATATTATAACTATTTTTCAACTTCCAACCCAAGTAAAATTTGGTTAGCAATAATTACAATTGGCAACCCTCATTGTTGTTGACATTCACTTACTCTATATAGTCATTAAAAAAAATAAAATATAATTTTATTAAATATAATATCTTAATTACTAATTATATATATTTTTTATTTTTACAAAATTAAAAAAATATTACTCACCTCTTCTCTTTGTTTTATTTAATTATCTAATAATTTTTTATCACCTTTTCTTATATTAATTTAATAAAAGATCGTATAAAAGTGAAAGAGTTTATTAGAATTAAGTGATAAATTTAAAATATTTATATTTATTTATACAAAGATATCTATTATGATGATGATGGATCATGTTAGATCCCTTATCATGTGATCATTTAAAGTTTACAAAGTCTATATTTATAATTTATATTATTTATCATATATTTACTTGTGAAATTATAAGTTAAATATTTTCTCTGACTCTTATTCTTTTTGTTAGAATTTGAGATATCTTATAAGAGGTTTCGAGAATATTGATATCTTACGGATGAATACGTAAGAGTATCATACAACTTAGACAGGATCAATTAAGTCCATAAGATATGATATAATAATAAAATTTATTGATGAATACGTAAGGGTACCGTACGATTCAAACAAGATCAATTAAACAACGAAACAAAAAGTCTTGTTAATAGAGACTCTACTTAGCTGCATCGCAACATCTCACATCTCAAACGCTGTCAATTAGGTAGGTTGGGCTCGGTCGCTGCCAGCGTTACATGGTCAATCACAATCACGTCATCGCCAAAATTGGCAGCCATTTTTGGTCCTGTTTATGTGGATTAAGTATTTAGGAGACAGTGCCTTCAATGTTAGACATATCAGGACAGGGTTTGACATTCTGTATCATTAATCTAGAAGCTGATAGACTTCGTAACCCCCTATCCAATAATTCCATAATATTAAGTGAAATCATAAAATTATAATATGTATGACTAGATTGGCTAATTATTGTTAATTTAGACTCGTCAAATTAATGAGTTGGCATGAAATTGTCATCCAATCGAGCTTCACGTATTAAGCTAATAAAGCATAATTTTGGACATTGACAAAGAAATTTAGCAACTACTTGAATATTCTAATCATGAAACAAAGTAACTTTGACGTATGACTTCCTAATCGAGGTTCTGACCATCCGATCAATCTAGCAAAAATAATAATATAATGAATATGTCGCGTTAGCCGCAATGGAGAAAAATATATTCATTTGGATGTTGGAGCGGTTTAATCTCGAATCCAATTCACTATGATATTATATAAAATTATACGAGAATATCAACATTCAATCAAACTTATAAGTTCTTTTGATTGATTACTGTCTTGGTTCGATCAAATCGGCCATTTAGTTTTGGTAGCAAGTAACCAAAACGTTAAGAGAGAGAACGAGGACTAGATTCACTAACTCGCCCTGGAAATTTGATTCGGGATGATATGCTCTCTCTCAAAGATGGCAATGTTCCCAAAACACATTCTATCTAAATGGTGCAATCCCGAATTATGTTGGATCCAAGTCGAGCCTAAATGCATATTGATCGAGTGCGAAATGACGTGATCGCCCACCTTATTTATCCGTGGCGTCCCTTCGGGTGATCTCTGCAGCGCGACGAACATGGCATCCTGCGATCTCGGTCAAATGCCTTCCCAACCCCAACCGCGACCGGATTTCCTCGGATCTACTCACCGCCCCCTCTCTCATAGGGGGGTGGCACCGTCGAAAAATAGAGTAAGTATAACATTCCTAATCCGGCGTTGCGAAACACGGCGCGAATTCGAATCACAGCCGTCCGACTCAGCGTCACGTGGTAGGGCACGTGTCCCGGAGGCTTGTGTTTGGTGACCGACGAGTCTATAAGTAGCGGCCGATGCTCCCTCCACTCCTCACCTCTGCATCGCGACCGCGAGGCGATCATTCCCCCCTCCCCCCCCCCTCTCTCTCTCTCTCTCTCGGAAGCACTCGCAAGCGGCTGCCCTTTCTCCCGGCCCCCTTTGCTCCCCCCGCGCGCGTTTCTGGGTGAGATCTCGCCTCCTTGGTTCCTTCCTCGTGCTTTTGATCGCTGCAAGATGCCCTAGGACAGCCGGTTGCCCGTGCCTGCGAAACCCTAGTTATCGCCCGAGCTAGGACTGTTCTCGCGGCCGGCTGCGAATTTACCGAGGATTCCGGGTGGAAATTTGTCCTTTTCTGGTGGATTGATTACCAGGGTTGGTGGAGCACGTGTTCTGATCTATGTGATCGGCACTATGAACTTGTGATCTCATAATTTAACAAGTAGGGCAAAATGGGTGCCCCCTCAGTGGGGGTTGATCCGATTATCATCTTCGAGAGGTCAATGATGGTTTTTTAGTGGACAATTGATTCCATTTAGCAACCATTTTTGTTTAGCTCAAGTATATGTGGTACCGAGTAGTTGTTCTGACGATTGATCCTTTGTTGATTAGGGTTAGTAATAGTAAATTAGCCTAACATTGCAAAAAAATGGGATTGTTAGATCTATGATTTTCTTTGATATGTAAAGCAATAGCCCCTAATGATCATGAACTGTTTGATCACTTTCTTATTCCTCTGTTTTTCAGCTGTCATGATATACTTGAAAATTGCAACGCTTTACTGTTTAACACTCTGCATGTATGTTTAGGTACAATAATATTGTCGTACACAAGATTTGTGCTACAATGTTGTTACATATCACTTACGATGTTGTATTATGACTTCTATTTTCATGATTTTAACAGTTTGATGGAAGTATAGTGTTGTTTACACCATGAACAAAATGTCAGACTTGTTTTTCACTATTGGTAAGTTATGTAGGTTGGTTCTGTAGGGTCTAAATGGTCTTATTTTGGTTGCGAGTTGACTTACCTATGCACAATGAACATATGATGATCAATAAAACAGTGAGGTAATATGTTATTATGTGTGATATGTCAGGTGTACATGAGGAGAATGCCATATTACTGGCTTTATGCGTGGGTTATATACAAAATTTTCTTGGTTTATAGACACAATAATGTTAAAGGTTGGCCTTATGAATCCTGCAATAATGGAGCATCCAATAAATACATGTTTATGAAAAAAATTTCCTTCTGTAATTGGTCATTTATTGAGAATTTTAGCGCTGGAACTTGTTTCATGAAAACATTTAGAAGGTAATTTGCTTTTAGATCTTGATAATCACAAGTCAGCAACCTGATTATACAAGACCAACTGTAGAGGATTTCAACCTATGAATGTGGGCTAGAATGTGAATGTCAAGTCACATTCATCTCATTGATGATTTCTAATTGTATCTACTCTTCTGGAGAAGCCTGCCTACAAACGTATAATTCTGTCTGTCCAAATGAATACCTTAATCTATGTAGCAATTGGTGATCCCCACTGATATAGGGTCATGTCAGGTTTGATTCTCTTCTTTCTTGATATGCTTGTTTTATATTAATGACTGTCAACTTTCATTCACATTTCACAATGCAGAGAATTATGTAATGTTTACTCTACATGCAACTTTGAATATCTGAACATGCATTCTATTGAAGTTGTGATAATCTGGATACTAGCATTTGGACATTTTCTTTCAGTCCAGGAAACTATCATGATCATTATTTTGACATTTTCAGCTAAACGAGCTAAATTTGCTTTTGTAGTACGTATGTAGACCACATCATTGGATATAGATAGACAATAATTCGAAATAACTAGGAATTTAGATTTTTTTTCCCTTTCATCTCTGAAATGATAGCTGGTAATTTTCTTTGTTACTTCAGTTCAATGTTGTGGCCTCTTCAATACTTATTCTAAACTTGATTTGCAGAAAATTTGCTCAGGAGGTACGCTTTCCAAAAAAATTAAAAAATGAAGAAGGTTCAGGAATGATGCTCTATATATAACGCAGATCGAATTACCTTTTATGTGTATACACATGAGATGGGGTGTCATCAAAGGCCTTTTTTTGATCTTAATGAGCTACCAGTGGAAGAGGAAGATGAGAATGATAATCCTCTCATCTATCAGTCCCAAAAATCTCTTCCAGATGCCAATTTAAACAGCTCAAATCTGCTTTCACCATCAGAAGGATGTCAAGGAATGCTGAATAGCCATGCATTCTCACATGCATCGACAGGTTCAGGTTTTCAACCTTTTGTTAGAAAAAATGACTTGCAGAAATCAAAAGTGCTTAAGCTATCTGGTAGTGAATCAAATGCCAACCAAACTTTGACTTCTATAGCTGCAAGTTTTGAGGATGATAATAAAAACAGCAAGCTAGTGTCATCAGGTAGTCAGGATGTCCAAACGGTTGAAAGAGAAGATGGCGAATGGTCTGATATGGATGGCAACATAGATCAAAGTGTAGGCATTACAAGCAGTTTACACGAGTCCCTTGGTGCTGAATTTGCAGAGAAGCAGATTGTGGATGAAGAAAGTGAGCCTGATTTTGTTAAAGCTGATGAGAATAGTCAGAATGATTCTAATAGCTTTGTTGGAACTAGCGATAATGAAGTTGGTGAATCTTTAAAAAACCTGCAAGATAATGGCTCTATGGTGTTAGAGAGCCACAGAAATACAGATTTTGACTCAAAGGTAGAGGTACCTGTTGATTGTGTGGAGGAATCTTCAGTTGCAAAAGTAAAAGAAGTTAGAGGAGTTGAAGCCAGTCATGCTCTGAGATTTGCAAATAATCCTGTGAAAAGGCCTAAACTTGATGAGCACAAGGAGGCAATGCTAGGGAAGAAAAGAGCCAGACAAACTGTCTTTATAAATGTGGAGGATGCTAAGCGAGCGAGTACTGTGAAAACAACAACACCTAGAAGGCAAACTTCTTTTCCGGCACCTATTGTTACACGTCCCTCTAAGGATTCATTTCGTGCTAACAATTCTGTTGTTGACCGGAGTCTTGAAAGACAGAATCAGCCGATAACCAAAGACCAGAATCAATCTGATATCCTGGGCATTGAGGGTAGTTCACTCATGGAAATTGACCAAAAAAATGAATTAAATGGGGATGTAGTCTCAGGAGGTCTAGTTCGCTCTAAGAAGCTAAACCACAATGATTGCTCTTCGGAAATATATGCACCACCAGGTCCAAGGCCTCCATGGAAGCAATCTGTGGACAACAGACTGTTAAAAAATTCTGCAGTGTCATCTAGGAAGCCTCCTGTCTCTGGGCAAGGTAACACAGATCAAAAATTGGGAACAAAGAGGAATTCTTCTTCCAAGAGGCAGATTTCGACAAACCCACAGTACCAAGATACATCAGTAGAACGCCTATTGAGGGAGGTGACAAATGAAAAGTTTTGGCATCATCCAGGTTTGGCACGTGCTTTGCTTCTTCTCATTGCTCAGTCCCAAGAGACATCTTGCTTTTGTCTTTTGATCTTAGTTGTACTCCAGATTAATGACACTGAAATATGAGATGTTTTCTGTTAGTTTTATTGGAAGAAAAGTGGAGGAAGGTCAGGTTTCTCTCAGGTTCCTTAGGACTCTATTTGCAGGATTTTTGGATGCTAGAATTGGTGTCTTCTTTGAGACACCAAAATTGGTGTGAACGCCTATACTTCTTTCTTTTTTACCAAGATAACAACTGAGGCATCAGTGAGAACTGAACCTTAGGGTTGACTACTTGATGCCTGGTGGTTGTAACTCTCATCGTAGCTTATTTTGCAGTCATTTGTGGGAATAAGAGAAACTTTGTGATAGTGCGCACTAAGGATGTTAAGTATGTTTATTAGGTGAACTGGATTTCTAGCATTAAGTTGTTAGTGATAATTACCGTGAACACAACGCATTTGATAACCATGTGGAGATGTTATTTTTAATGGAATTTACTTGGACTTCTATTTGTTAGGCTTGAGTTATTGAGATTATTAAGTTCTATTGGATCTAAACTTAGAACTTTTTTGTGTTTGCTATGAATTTTAGCTTACTTTTCTTTCATGTACATGGAAAACTTCTTGATTTGTAATGCTCTTCCTGTGATTTGTTGGTGATACTACGGATGTACTTATCAAAATTATTTTGTTACAAAGTACATAGAATGTCTTTTTCTCCAGTTGTATTACTGCTTATGTTGACTGGTCATCCTAGATGTATATTTGTTAGGATCACATATGTAGGATTTTTGTCAAGAATGTTTTGGCCTTTGTTATTGACTATAACCTTATAGTGACTCGTCTTATAATAGTTTATGTGAATTAGGTTTCTTGTTTTATTTGAATGCTCTTGATTTAACTAGTGATATTACCCTACTTGTAGCTCATAGTGTTGAATATAACAAATATCTGGTTTTTAGCAGAGGAGACGGAACTGCAGCGTGTGCCTGGGCATTTTGAGTCTGTTGAAGAGTATGTGAGAGTCCTTGAGCCTTTGCTTTTTGAGGAATGCCGAGCGCAATTGTACAGCACCTATGAGGAGCTTCAGGAGACTATAACAAGGGATGCACATATAATGGTCCGTGTAAAAAATGTTGAAAGACGAGAAAGAGGTGAGCACATTGCAGTCATAGGTTATCCCTTTCTGACATATCATCATGAAGTTGTTTACTTTCATCTTCTATCTTCATTGGCAGACCTAGTATTGATCAAGTCAATACGGGCACAAATCTAACTATAAATGTTGTACATGATGCTTTACATTGTGAGTTTACATAAGCAAAATTTTGTGTTTTTAATCCTTAATGAATATAAGCTGTTCATTGGTCTTTAGTCTATTATTTCTAAGTAGTCATTATATCTCTTCATGTAGTCTAGTCACAATGTTCTTAATTTTTTTATTTCCTTGGTAGTGTTCTGTCCTTTTGCCTCTATGCTTTATATGTTTGTCTTTATCAAGGATTGCTGTACCACTCAAAATGGTATGTACTAGTCCGGGTGTGAATCAATATGTGGACCACCCTGTTTCCGGTGGTCTGAATTAAAATAACAAAAAAAATCAAAAAGTGGTGGGTCTTAGTCCATGTCAGTGTTAAAAAAAAGGCAGATTAGGGCTCTTCTTGTGTACGAAGCCGTGGCATTGCCTCTTCGCTGTTGTGGTGCTGCAGCGGCGCTACCTCTTTGCTGCTTTGCCACTGCGATACTGCAGCAGCATTGCCGCTTTGATGCTGTGATGTTACAACTTCCGTTCGACACTGTTGCTACTGTTGTTGCTTCCCAGGTGTCGCTGCACTTCTCCTTTTCTTTTTCTTCTTTTTCTTCCTTCTTCCTTTCTTCTTCTTCCTCATTTGTTCCTCCACCGGACCTTCCTCTTCAACCTCTTTTTCTTCCTCGTCAAAACAGTAGTATGCATCAGCATATCGTACGTCGATACACCGATACGGGGCAGCACATGTCGTGTCGTCGGTCGGTCAGCACATTGGCTCGGACCGGTAAGTCAAACCTTGGTCCTGATCTTTTAGCCTTAATTTTATTCAACAACATATAGATAGGTGATTGATAATGGTACCATCAATTAAGTAGACTAAAATGGTGAAACTCAATATTTTAGTAGTGAATTTAGCCTCTAGAAGAGTGTTAGGAAGTCTACCTGATTGTTTAATGTCTACAATAATTGTGTTGCCGATTTGACACAAATTGGAATCTTGATTCTCTGGTCATTTGATATGAGCTTAACTGAGGAATGTAATGCATGTTGCATAAGGTGATGCTAAATAGATTTCCATCCTTCACCATAGAAGGTCAATGGCTCCTCAAAAGGTCAAGGTGGACATTGGAGGTCTTTTATGTTAGACTAAGAAATGTTATATGAAGGCTTCTAGTGACAACCTAAGGCATAGTTATTTTGTTTAAATTAATGTTAGTCAAACAACTCGCAGATTATCTGATGGAGGTTCTTTTTTCTCGTTGCTCATTTACTGATTATTTATATTTTCATACAAATGGTTATAAAATTTTCTGGTGGTATAACTATTATGGTCCAAATTTGATCACTGATGGATCTTTTGATCTGTAATGGAATTGGATTAAGCATTGACTTTCTGTAGGGTACAGAACTTGCTTAGAAGATAATATGCCGGTTTTATGCAGGTCAAGCTAGCCAGTGATCTGTGAAAGTATATGTTCTGCAAAGGAACAATACTTGCTGCTACAGTGGCTGGCTGACTAGTTTTTCTTCCTTCAAGAGAGTATTGACTGGTACAAGTTAATGCTTAAATGTTCATTAACTTTTCTTCTTAATTCTTGCCGGGTGGGACTTTAGTTTATTTAGATTATGCATCATTTACACTGTATTCACACTGATTGTTATTTTTTTTTTCAATGTGCAACTAATAAGTTATTTGCTCAGTTATGTGCACGCTGATTACTCCTGAATTAGCATAATATGGTTGCTGCATGCTCGTCTGAATGTCCTGTTAATGTCGTTTCATATTGTTAAAATTCAGGGTGGTATGATGCCATAGTTCTTCCAGTTCATGATTGCAAATGGAATTTTAAGGAAGGTGATGTTGCAGTTTTGGCATACCCAAGGGCTGGTGCAGGTATGACTTTTGTCCTTTAACTCTTTTATGCTGGTTATAACATGATATTATGCATGAGCTTGTATATGCTTTATCATTTACTAGGATTTGAGTTCTGAAAAATGTGATATACTCTGATATTTTTTGTTATGACATGTTTTTATATGTCTCACACTAATGCCTTGTCCTTCTGGAAGCAGCCAGATCTGGTAGGAGAAATAGTTTTGCTGCAAACGAAGATGATATTGAACATGAGGTTAATGGACGTGTTGTGGGTACGGTTAGACGTCATATCCCCATTGACACACGTGACCCCCTTGGAGCAATTCTTCATTTCTTTGTTGGGGATTTGTATGATTCTAGTAGGTAATATCCACCTTTGTGTTTGTAAACTTTACTTTTTCAATGAATACATAAGGGCTACCAGGAATTCTAGATTGGTTTTTTTACTAGTTAATATTGCACTTGTAAAACAGTCAATTAGTAAAGATAATGCAATCACTCAATGGAATACAAATTTTCATCAGGTGACTTTCTTCTTACATGGAAATATAACATAAGTTAAACTCACATAAATTTATTATATGCTAAACTTGTTGGTGACATCTAGTGAGCTATACATGCCTAGACATCTAGTGAGCTAAACTCACATGGTGAGGTTAAATGGCTGATGCCATTGTTGATGTATACACCATATGTGCCTCAATATTATATGAATATATCTCATCCCTTTCCTGTTAAAGGGCATATAGACATCTGTAGACATCTGTATGTGTCCGTGTGTAAATCTGGTTTGTTCTTCTGCGTTGAGTTTGATACGATATTTTGGCCTTGGGTTGTGTTTGCTGCTAACATTACAGAGGTTATATTTACTTTTAGATATGCCTGCAACTGTGTTTCAATATGTTGACAGACATTGACAGGATGACACTGCAAAACAATATTCTAACAGCAATAATATTTTGACCTCAGCAGCAGGATGGATGATGATCATATCCTTAGGAAGCTTCAACCCAAGAGTACTTGGTATCTATCTGTCCTTGGATCCCTTGCAACTACTCAGCGTGAATACATTGCACTGCATGCATTTCGCCGTCTTAATTTGCAGGTGACGTACCACACCTATCTTATGGCATAAAGTTCTTCAATTTACATTTCCATTTCCACTCATGCTGATGAAATCTACTTATATAGATGCAAGCTGCAATATTGAAGCCTAGTCCAGAACATTTCCCTAAGTATGAAGAGCAGACTCCTGCTATGCCTGATTGTTTTACTCAAAATTTTGTTGATCATCTGCATAGGACGTTTAATGGTCCACAGCTGGCTGCAATTCAGTGGGCTGCTATGCACACCGCTGCAGGTACAAACAGTGGAGCAACAAAGCGGCAAGATCCTTGGCCTTTTACGCTTGTTCAAGGCCCACCAGGAACTGGGAAAACACATACTGTTTGGGGAATGCTTAATGTCATTCATCTCGTCCAGTATCAGCATTACTACACTGCACTTCTCAAGAAACTTGCTCCAGAAAGTTATAAGCAAACAATTGAGAGCAATTCTGAGAGTGTTATTTCAGGATCAATAGATGAAGTCTTGCAGAATATGGACCAAAGTCTCTTACGCACTCTGCCAAAACTTTGTCCTAAACCAAGAATGCTTGTGTGTGCTCCTTCAAATGCTGCCACAGATGAGTTGGTAGCACGTGTTCTCGATCGTGGTTTCATCGATGGAGAAATGAAGGTCTATCGGCCTGATGTTGCTCGTGTTGGAGTAGATTCACAAACCAGGGCTGCACAGGCAGTTTCTGTTGAGCGAAGAACTGAACAGCTTTTGCTGAAGAGCCGTGAAGAAGTAGCTGGCTGGTTGCATCAGTTCAAAGTTCGTGAATCTGCTCTCGCGCAGGAAATACTTTCTCTGCAGCGAGATCTTAGTGTTGCAGCTGCTGCAAGTCGGTCACAAGGATCTGTTGGTGTGGATCCTGATGTCCTGGCTGCCCGTGACCAGAATCGTGATGTGCTACTTCAGAAGCTTGCTGCAGCTATAGAGAACAGAGACAAAGTTTTAGTTGAGTTGTCACGCCTCGCTATTTTAGAAAGTAAATTCCGTGCTGGAAGTAACTTTAATTTGGAAGATGCTCGGGCCAGCCTTGAAGCAAGTTTTGCCAATGAAGCTGAAATTGTTTTCACAACAGTGTCAAGCAGTGGCCGCAAGATATTCTCTCGCCTCACTCATGGATTTGATATGGTGGTTATTGATGAGGCTGCACAGGCCAGTGAGGTTGCAGTCCTTCCGCCACTCTCACTTGGTGCAGCAAGATGTGTTTTGGTCGGTGATCCGCAGCAACTTCCTGCAACTGTTATAAGTAAAGCTGCTGGAACTTTGCTTTATAGCAGAAGCCTTTTTGAGAGATTTCAACAGGCAGGATGCCCAACTCTGCTATTGTCTGTACAGTACAGGATGCATCCTCAGATCCGTGATTTCCCATCACGATACTTCTATCAAGGACGCTTGACAGACAGTGAGAGCATTGCCAATTTAGCTGATGAAGTTTACTATAAAGATCCTTTATTGCGGCCTTATGTCTTTTATGATGTCATGCACGGACGGGAATCCCATAGGGGTGGATCTGTCTCCTACCAGAATGTTCATGAAGCACAATTTTCATTGCGGTTGTATGAACATCTTCGGAAGTTTGTGAAAGCAAGTAGTGGAAAAAAGGTCTCTGTTGGGATAATTACGCCATATAAACTTCAGTTGAAGTGTCTTCAACGAGAATTTGAGGAGGTTTTGAACTCAGAGGAGGGGAAGGATATCTATATCAACACTATTGATGCATTTCAGGGTCAAGAGCGTGATGTAATAATTATGTCATGTGTCCGGGCCTCAAACCATGGGGTAGGATTTGTTGCTGATATTCGACGCATGAATGTTGCTCTTACTCGTGCTAGGAGGGCACTTTGGGTAACCTTTTTTACTCTCATACTATATTTGATACATCATGTTATCTTTGGAAACTTGTCGACTAATGTTGTATGATCAATTTGATTATAGGTGGTTGGCAATGCCAATGCTCTCATTCAGTCAGAGGACTGGGCTGCTCTGATTGCTGATGCTAAATCAAGAGAATGCTTTGTTGACATGGAAAACATCCCCAAGGAATTCTTGGTACTGAAGGGGTCCACTGCATCTCCTGCAAAGGGTTCCTCGAATAACATGAGGAATTCAAGAACTGGTGGGCAAAGACAACGACATTTGGATATGCTCGCTGGACCCAAGTCTGGAGCACAGTCTGAAGATGAAGACAAGTCAAACTCTTTTCTGCCAAGAAATGGTGGCTATAGGAATTTAAAATTCAACGCGATATCTTTGGATCTGGGGCATTCAAATGAAAGGTCTCGAGATGGTTCTCATTATGGCGTTACGAGGAGGCAAAATACTTCTGTTGCTTCACGAAAGGAGATATAATGTGGAGTTGAGACCTCCAGGCAGCTATCTGGTTCCTCAAGTAGAAACATCTGACCGGGCTATATCTGGGACCTCAGACACTCAAAACAGATTCATTTGAACTGGCAGGACAAGGAGCTTTCTCTGTAGGTTGTACATGTTCCTTCCTTTTTTTGTCTCTCGCAGGAAAGCCCCTTTGTAATGCTGATATGCCTGGTCAGATGGATGGAAGTGGTAGAAACATGTGCTAATCTAATCACAAGGGTAAGCGAAGGGATTTATTTTTTGGAGATAGATCGAGGAGGCTGAGTATAGGTTGTCTGCATGGTTGGAAGTTGGAAAGAAGCATGCGTCATGAGCCTAAGAGATCTAAAACTGCATCCGTCGTGTAAAGAGTTTGTACCTCGATGTTAAATATGAAGCCTCAATATACATCAACTGTCAAGCAAGAATCATGTTGCTTCTGGTAGTTGAAGTGGGGCTCCAACAAGAAGAATCTGGAGGTTATGTGAATGAGAGTTGGCATACCATTGTCGGTGCAGGCTTAAGGTAAGGGTGCAGGACCGTGGGCTTAAGTCCATGAAAACTTTATAACATCGGCAGCTCGCAGCTCGAATGGGTTTAAATTTGCAGCAGAATTTAAACTTCATTATCACTGTGCAGTAGAATATGCTTTATATACTGGCCATGTTCTGTGTCCAAGTGTATTGTACAAAAGCAACTGACGTCAAATTTGTAGGGGAAACACGATATTATGTGAAGGGTGAACTTTGACTGGGAGTTGGCTTCTTCAGGGAACAAGCCAGCGTTTTTTTTTTTGTACTTGGAACACAGGCTATCTTTAGGCCACCCTTCTTTTGTATCTTACAAGTAAGATTGAATAGAAATTTTATTCTTTCATTGCTAAAACTTTTCTTTTGCTTTGTTACTTCTGATATAACATCAACAATTGCTCTGTATGCGTACGTATCCATATGTTTAATACCTCACTCTCGCTCAAATTGCTATAGAACAGGTTTAGCTCTGGTTCTCTGCTGTCTGTCATGATCATCAGTCTAGTGTCTCTTACGGGGAACATTGAGGCCTTTGATCTTCAACGGATCCTCGTCTGACCCTTGGAAACCTGATGCGATTTTGAACGTATAAACTGCTTCAGATAGATCGGCTACTGAAAGGGAACAACAACTAGTTGTAGGGCTCATCTTCAGATAGATGATGCATACCACAGCAGTTCGTGCTGATCATGATCTAACGGTCGGGAATGATGGACACCGTAGCTATATTAAGGCCAGTTCTGGAATCAGGAAACATCCAAACCTCCCGCGCGGCTGTCCGTCCCGGGGGGCAGCGGCGCACCGCATTCTCCCTATCCTCCACCATCATCACCACCTCCCAAATCTAATGCACTAAGATTAAACGATCCCTGTGCATCGACAACGCCAATCAACGGTTCGTTACCAATTTCAACCCCAACGATCTCGCTTTTCCTCGATGTAATGGTTCCATTCAGCTGTCCATAGAGCATCGAGTGCTGCTCGTGTTTGCAAACTTCTCACCCGCGAAGAAGTCTCAAAGGGGTTTTCCTTCTCTGTGAGTTAGTTCTCTCTTCCTCCTTGTGGTCTTGAGAAGTGATGATTTCACACCTTTTGTATATTCTTGATAAAAAGATTGCATCTTTCTTGCGTTCAAAGTTCGATCAGTTAAACCTTTAAAATTATATCTAGGAAGCTTTTAAGATTTTTCTCTTTTAGATAAATTGATTAGATAGAATTTTAGTCGATTTAAGATTTTTATCTTTTAGATAAGTTGATTATATAGAGTTTTAATTGATTAAAATAAGAGATCTAATAAAATTTTCTTGTTTTAAGCTATTATGCTACATCTATAAATATAAATGGTAGTAGATGTGTAGATCATCCAAAGTCTCAAGTATTCAAGCTAATTTTCTTTTTGAAAAATTAAATATGTTTTTTTTTTTTTACTTTTGCCTCGGTTTCTTCTTCTTCTTCTTCTTCTACTTGACTAGATGGGTTAGTAGTACATTATTATTACTATTTCAAAAAGGATTGCACTTCGCATATGATCCTCCCTTTCTTCACACACGATCCATGCTTCTTTTCGTGCATCTCTTGAGGTTCTCTGTATTTTAATATTTCTTATGGTAATATTTGGGTTTTCTTGGATTTTCTGGCACTCCCTAATGCTCTTTGGTTATTGAAGTTGTCCTATTCTCAGAAAAGCTTGAATTTTTATGTGATCCACAAAAGTTGTTTGATGCATTTCACCATAAATGTTACTAAGAACAGATTTTCGAATTGGATACTGTGAATTTCTTGAGCTAAGCTGATTTAATTTTGTATAAACAGTATGCAAAGGTCTACAAGATAGTTTCTGCTGATTATATACTTCTATTTTGAACTATCTGCTTTCTCCCCCAAAGGTTTCTCATGGAACTGAAAGCCAAATGTCTTAATATATTTGAACTCAAGAACACTAGAATGAACAAGCTTTAGACTTTAGCTCTTTTTTGAGGATTGTTAGTAGTTGCGATATGCCCTTGTCACATTGTCAAGAAAATAATTTGGGATTTGTGCATTTTTAGACAACAGAAGAAGCCCTCAAAGCGTCACTTTTTTTGGCTAGTTCATAATTGTGTATTTTTTACTGAATCTTTCATCTGAGTTTCTCTATTATCTTTGTTCTTATTGTATTACAACATATCAGAGCTGCTAGACACAAGTTCTTATTGTATTGCAACTTCATATGATCTTATAATTATAAATACTCATTTAAAAAAATTAATATTTAATTATTTATAAGATTAATCATAACTATAGTCAAATAGAGTTTTTTTCTCACTATAAAGATAAATGAAATTATTTGTAAGAATTGTAAAGTTATACTTGGCAAAAGTTTGATGAGTCAATATAGATTGATGATATTAGATATTTACTGTAGAAAATAAAAAAAAGATAGTAAAAAAATTTACTTGGACTAGATGATGAAATTTTAAAGATAATAGTGTAAACACTTTTACGAATGTGATAGAAAGGGAGATGACTATGAATTTAGATGCAGATGATATTAATATTATTTGGATTATGATGATTAATAAGATTTGGAACTTAACAAAGGAGATTGGTGTAACTAAATCTAAAATTTTCTAATCAATGGCGTTGTAGTCCATTCATTTCCTTCTTCTCTTGTATCTATGCTTCATTTTAAATCTGAGAGTGGGGCAAAGGTAGGAGACGAGGCGTACATGTAGTTTCTCCTCACAACTTTGACTGCATGTAGTTGCACAGAGAATTGGCAAGGGAGGAGGCTGTGTGGAAATCACTTGTGCTGCTGAAAATGGAAAGTCTAGTGATAAGCCACTGCTGCCCCTACCTAAGAAGGCCAAGAAGATCCTAGTTGCCGGAAGTCATGCTGATAACCTGGGTTAGCGATGTGGTAGGTGGACAATCGAGTGGCAAGGTGGTAGTGGAAATATCACTGGTGGTATGTCTAAACACCTCTTTCTCCTCTCATTTCATAGTTGCCATAGATAGATATTGCTTCTTGGACATTAATTAGGATTCTTGTACTCCATCATCTTCCTGATTCATCCTCTGGAAACTGCAAGTTCTGCAATCTTTGCTAGCTAAGATCCTTATAAAAGTTTCTTTATGCACTTGATTGTTGTCTATTGTGTTAAAATCTTCATTATGGTACCTCATATTTGACTGCCCCCTCAACATCAGTTGTGCAGGTTTTATGATTATGTTCTTACATCATTCTTTACCTACAAGTTGTGTTTCAAGTGCCTGCAGCTCAAACAGCGAGCTACAGATTTAAAAGCCACTAGTACATACATTCAACCACACTGTGAGCAAAGAGTTCATACTAGAGAAGAGAGTTTAGTGAATCCTAGCATATGATCTGAAGCACAACTAAAAGCTTATCTTCCTCTCTACAGGTACCACAATCCTGGATGCCATCAGATCCACAGTTGACCCAGCAACCGATGTCATCTTCTCTAAGAAGCCTGACGCTGACTTCATGAAAAGCAATGACTTCTCTCACGCCATCGTCGTCGTTGGGGAACCATTCCTGAACCGGGCCCCAGCACAATCAAAGACGGTCTGCGGTGGTCATCATCTCCGGCAGGGCCGTCGACATGTAGAATTTTAGCTCCAGCGAAGACCTCAGCATTGCTGGCTGATGCTTGAAGCAACATTTCTACTATATATTTACAGCAAAGATTTAGTTTGAAGTAATGAAGCCAAATTCACCTCCAATATCAGCAACGTTGCATCGGTTTTACTGTATATATTGACCCACATTTGACTTAATTATTGGATATACGAAGCAAATATATAAAGAATCTTCATATTTTGGGGGATATATATATATATATATATATATATATATATATATATATATATATATATATATATAGAGAGAGAGAGAGAGAGAGAGAGAGAGAGAGAGAGAGAGGGGTATAAAGAATGTAGAAGGGGTATAAATGTCAAATTATTTTTGGTATAAAAGAATATGCTATAACGAATTACTTCTGTGCTCTCTGGTCTCTCTCTCTCTCTCTCTCATTGTTGGTCGCTCCATAGCTTCGTATTGCCGCCGGGGATTTGCTTCCCGTCGCTTCTTTCCTTTCCCCTTCGTTCTCCAGTACGATATCCCCAAAATTTCTCTTCACGATTTCCCTTCGTCTTCCTCTCACGGAATAAGGAAATTGATACGACAGATTGCTGCTTTCTGCTTGTAACCGCTCCCAATGCCCTCTTCCTTACAATCTGTTGGCTCCCCTTTTTCGATCTAGTCTTTTCCCTTTGTTTACTTTTTTATGTATTAACCTTCTTTTGTTCCCTTTGCTTGTGTTCCTTTTGAATTGTTCTTAGATTTTTTTATTTTTTGGTTGGGCGTTGAAAATGCCATTTTTTGATCCGATTGATATTCTTTTCGGTCTGGCAAGTTTAAAGGAGACATCGTGACATGAGGCATGATAGGAAAATTTGACATGTAGCTCTTGATTTCGATGTTTGAGCTAAAGGCATGCTGTTTCGATGTTTGCCACCTATTTGCGAATGAGTTTTGTTTAATGGGGGGGTGTTCTGCTTAACGAAATTGCCTTGCATTTTTTGCTGCTTGAGGGATTAGATATACTTCTGTGGTTGCGAATTCTGCTTGCAGTTGTATTTTGATCCCTTTTGTTCATTTCCACGAGGATGGAAATTGAATAGGTACCTGGTTAATATTTTGTATATGTGGCTATCAAGTTCTACTGGATGATAGACTAAATGAGTGTCTATGCCATTTTTACGGCTTTTATCTAGCTTGAAATGAATTTTCCAGTGAAAATAGGATTTTCATGCATGTTTACATTTTTTTTTTGTTCTGCAGATGGATTCTATTCATTCGACATTCCATGAATGCTAATTTAATGTTTGTTTCTAGCTTTTGTATGGCATAAAAACCTTCAAGATGTTAACCACAATTTAGAATGCTTCATTGTTCAGCTACTAACACCTTATGAATTTGGCCTTTTCTCTTCTTGCACATATTTTATTTTATTAAAGCAAGACTACATAAATTATAATTAACATTTCACAACTAGATGCCTAGCCGTTCCATTTGAATTAGCATATCCTTTTACTTCAGGTCAAATGGATCGTCTTGATGGCCACGCCCGTCTCATGATTGTCTCCGATCTTGATTATACAATGGTGACGTTCCTTCCGTTTTCTCTAGGTAGGAGTTCCTCTGCTTTGTTGTTTTTATATGTTGTGATGCCAGTTGTCATACACTGCAGGTTGATCATGATGACCAGGAGAATCTTTCGTTGCTTAGATTCAATGCATTATGGGAATCAGACTTTCGTCACAATTCATTGGTGGTTTTCTCAACTGGGAGATCACCTACGATGTACAAGCAGCTCAGAAAAGAAAAACCTTTATTGACTCCAGATATAACAATTATGTCTGTGGGTACAGAGATAACCTATGGTGAGTCCATGGTACCCGATGATGGTTGGGAGCAGTATTTGAATCATAAGTGGGATAGAGATGTTGTCCTCGAGGAAACAGCTAAGTTTCCTCAACTATCATTTCAGGTAATCTGATGTTCATCATCTCTTTGGTCCTTCCTTATAACTTTTTAGCAAGTAACCATTATAAAATCTGGGAAAAAGCTTTCTTGTAAGATTTGTGTATGAGCTCAAATGTTTCCTTGATATGGATGCAGTCATCAACAGAGCAGAGACCACATAAGGTTAGCTTTTTCATACAGAAGGGTTATGCAGAGGAAGTGATGAAATCCCTTTCTGAACTCTTGGTAAATCGTGGGGTGAGAACACTTGAGGCTGAATAATTATATAATACTCTTCTTGCCTAGGAGATATTTGACATAAATCATTTGACGAATTGACTAATTTGTAAATTTCTGTTGGTTCTCCTGTTTGTGATCAGTTAGATGTGAAAATTATTTATAGTGGTGGCATATGTCTTGATATATTACCCCTGGGTGCTGGAAAAGGAGAAGCACTTGCATATTTGCACAAGAAGTTTAAGGCTGATGGAAAGCTACCAACCAATACTCTTGTTTGTGGTGACTCTGGAAATGATACTGAGTTGTTCAGTGTCCCAGACGTTTATGGTGTGGTGGTATGTAGCCTGAGATTTCTTTCTGCTCTCTTTTTTTGATGATGGTAATAAATACTTTTCTGCAAAGGTTTATATCATTTTCTGCCTGGTTCTTTTCAGGTAAGCAATGCCCATGAGGAACTACTGAAGTGGTATGCACAGAATTCTAAAGATAACCCTAAGATCATTCATGCGACTGAAAGGTGTGCTGCTGGTATTATTCAGGCTATAGGGCATTTTGGGATAGGCCCTAATATATCCCCCAGGGATGTCATGGACTCTGGTTGCAAGATCAAGAGTTTCAACCCTGGACATGAAATTGTCATGTTTTACTTGCTGTACGAGAGATGGCGTCGAGCTGAAGTTGAAAACTCTGATTTGACCATACACAATATGATAAGTATCGCTGTACGTGAGTGACTAGTTTGCTATTTACAATTTTAGATGGTTTTTATTTCTGTTCATAAAAATAAAAATTAATTGGAATGTTTCTTAATGCTTTTCTAGCATCGTTAAATATAAAGAATAGACTTTTAATTGATGTTGTCACTAGTTGCCAACTTTTGTCTTCCCCACTTATGATCACAGCATCCAAGCGGAATACTTGTTCATCCCTCTGGAGTTGAGCATTCAATTCTAGAGTGCATAGACACACTTGTGCCATGTTATGGTGATAAACGTGGAAAGCAGTTCAGAGTGTGGGTGGATAGAGTTTCTTCTTCTCAGATCAGTTCAGATTCCTGGCTTGTCAAATTTGATAAGTGGGAATTGTCTGGTAAGATCTTCTACCTTTAGTTTTCATCCATTGCCAAGTTCTTATAATATATTAGTTTTTAAGTCACATCACATGCCTTGTATAGAATATTTTACAATGGCAACAACCATAAAAGAAACACAGACTCCCTGAAGACATATCTGAGTGAACCAGAGTCTATATATGTAAGCATGAAGGCTGGAGCTTTTAAGTGTCATCTCATTGGATCAATTAATAAAGAAAGAACAAGAGGTTTGACTACCATGATTTCTTTAATCAGATAATAGTTTCTGAAGTCTTCTTTTGCCTTTTTTTTTTTTAACTATTTGTTATTTTCCTAGTATCTGTATTCTTTCTCGGGGTGATCGAGATAAGATCAAAGTTTTATACTTTTCTCTATTTGCTTGTACTATTCAGATGCTATAGAGGATTTTGCAGTGAATTATAATATATATAATTGTTTAAACATCGTCTTCCACGGTCCATGTAAATAATTTAATGTTTGACATTGTTTGAGAATACTGGACTGCTCATTTTATAATTTGTTTTTTCCAACCTGTATCGTGCAAATATAAGCATTCCTTTTGTCTGATGTAAAATCAGAGTACGTGAAGTCATAAACCTTTTATAGCATTTACTTCCTGTCTGACATGTCATAGTCTAATCTTTAATGCTTCTTTGATGTTAAGGTTTCCTAAATGCCCGAATCTGAAGCTTGAGCTAAATGCTCCACTAGATCAATTCCAGATTATGTCATGAGATAGTTTTGCTTTTTGAACCAAAATATCATTTGAATCATGCCAAATTTTAGATTCACTGTGACTTTTATTTTCTGATTTTAGTAAATATTTTGTTTCTCAACCTCTATATGATTTATTCGTGAACTTTACAATCTGAACATGGCATTAATAATATAATCTTTCCTATCGCTCTCATGTATTATTGTTTTTCTGTAGCTTTTCGGATTTTGTTCAATTTGGTGTTTTTTTTTAGACTATCCGTAACTTGATTTTAGTAACTCTTGTGAACCATAAGCCTTGGTAGATTCAGTAGGTCCGTTATTTCTCTCATCTTAATAATAATTTTTTGCTTCAGTTGGGTTGAGTTTTTTCTTTTTTATACTCCACTTCAGTGCATGTTCTTCTTTGATTTAAGTTATGCCAATTATATGATCTTGCACAAGAAAACAAAAATATATGTTTTTGTTGCTTATAAAAATATAAGTGACATTTGGCCTAGTGGTTCCAGCACAAATTGCTCATGGTGACCATAGTGAGGAGTCATCTTCTACAGACACAGGGATACTTATCTGTGATACTTAGTGGCCTTTATATTACGGATGATAATTTTCTAAATGGAAAGTGGTGATTTGTTGATGCTGCTAGAGTAGAAAAAACATTCTCCAACCTTGGCAACATCTTATATATTGCTTTATTTTTTTTTCTTTTTCTCTTCTCCCACTAGTAAGCAATCAGTCATCAAGTCCTAGTATGAACATTGCAGAGTACATTTAGATATTAGGTTATTTAACGAAACTTGATCCCTCACATTTGTCAAGGCTAAACATCTAGATCATTGTTCGACAACCCAAAATATTTTGTTCTAATAAGTTGCTCCAGGTTATTCAAGAATGGGTGTTTAAGCTGCCGATTTGGACTAGGAAGAATATATGTGTAAAACTTGGTATGAGATACTTCCAGACATGTAGCAAAGATACATGATGGGGAGGAAGTGTTCATTAGTACTCATTTTCTCTAGATTTTCCCCTTAACACCAATTATTCTGGTTCTGGACCCAATGTCACAGGATAAGTGACATACAAAATCCACAAGGCATTATGACTGCTCTTGGAGTTAATCCTCTCATTTATTCTTTAGATACTCCTTTAACCAATACTGGTCCTGATGTTGAGTGGTATTGCAGACGAAGGGCGGCATTGTTGCCTGACAACGGTTTTGCTGAACTCTAAGGTAACAGACTGCGACAATTCTCTTTCTCGTAAAACTTGGTCTTGCATCTGATGTGCCGAGGGCAACTGATCAACATAGTTTTGCAGCCTGAGACTCCAAAAGGATTTGCTTTGGTGAATGTTCATCAGACTTGGCTGGATGGCTATGCTGCAGGAGATCATACAACATGGATCTTCTAAGGTCCAGTTTGGGTATTTATCAAAAGAGGGAATCTTTTGTCTCAAGGGAATTGATTCCTATGGATCCATTCCAATTAATCAATCATCAGTATAGAGCGAAAACTAGTGATTGAAGTTTGTGCTTGATATGTAGTCAGTGTTGGGGGGTCTATGATACTACGAAGTCTACAATACAAGTATAATTTTATGTTTACTGAAGGAAAAAATAAATGTAACAAGCATGACTTCGTTTTTTCTTTAGTTCTCTTTTCCACACCACCAATCTATGGATGATTTATATAGTTTTATGTTTACTGAAGGATACAATGTTACCTATCATCTTGCTTGCGTTCGTGTACTACGACGTCAGTCATCAGCCTGGTATCAGAGACTAGCGTAGACCTGATGTGAAATGAGATAAAAATGTCAGTCTCTCCCACTTCTTAGGCCATCAATACTAATTTGGTGGTGCGTAACTTTAGTCCCACATCGCCAGTATCGGTGGTTCGAGGGAGCAGGCGGTCTATAAATGCAGATGCCTTGGTTACGTTTGAGTTATCTTTGCGCTTGGGGCAATGTCGCAGCTAGTGAGGTTATAACCGAGGCGCGACAATTGCTGGTTGAAAACTATTTCCAAACCCCCTCGTAGGCCTGGGTTCAGCCCAGCGCCTTCGAGAATTTCTGGAAGGGCTCCCTCTAACCCAGGGGAAAGCCCTACAATACTTAATTGACGTAAGCTTTAATCTTAATTTATTTGTATTTCTACTGTGAATGTAATCTTAATCACGATATCAATATAATGTTAATTAAATTAATTTTAATGGGCTCGGTAAATGCTTCTTTCTATCTTTTCTTCTGCGGGAGTTCAAATCTGTGGAGACGCGTTGTTCCTCTCCGAAATTGGTGCCGAATAACCCACGATTCGGCGCTTCCGGCTCTGTTATTTGGCGATTCGCCTCAGGTGTGGCTTCGATTTCCCCTGTGTATTTTGATGCATTTGCTTCTTCCCTGCCTCGGGAACCTTATTTGATTTGTGTACCTCTGATGTCACCCTGTAGCTATTCATTCCGCTGCCGCATGATTCTTCTCCTTTTCCCCGTCGCTGCCCTCGGCTCTTCTTGTCCTTGATTGAGCCGTAGTGATTGCGGTTAAAGGTTCCGGGTCATAAAGAATCGGTGATTACGCCTTGCTTTCGGTTTGATTTCGGTTGGAATCGATCGATGGGATTTTGCATGAAAGATTTCTGTTGATTAGTTGTTTCATTTTTTTGTCTTTCGCAATCTTCATGAGATCCTCGGTTAGGGCTTGCAGATGGAGGAGACCGCAAAGATGGAGAGACATCTACCGATTCTTATACCTTTGACGCAACCTAAATCCACGGAGCTTCGACATCACCTGACAATATGCTCCAAAAATAATATTTTCAAAGCATGGCCAATCGTAACCCATAGTGAACATACAAGTCATGTGTGAGAAATACAATACCATACTTCAATCATGTCATATGAACTCTTGTACTATCTATCTCACATAAAATATCATCGGATATAAGTAAATATTTTGAATTAAGTAGATCTTAAATAAGATTCATTGCTAGATATAAAACACATCTAGTGGCAAAGGGTTTCACCGATGATCAAGTGTTGATTTCACAAAAACCTTCAATCTAATTATTATATTGATGATACTTCGACTTGTCTTGAGTTTGAGTATTACATAAGATTAGCATATACAACAACTAGATATTAACAATATTTTCTTACAAGGGATTTTAACTAAAGATGAATTTATGCAGCAACTCATAACTTCATCCACCCTCAGCATTCAAACTATGAAAAGCTATTTATAAATTTTGCTAAGCTTTAAGAGTATGATATACTGAACTCAACTCATTTTTTATATCAGTTGACTTAGTCAACTCTAAGTATGACATATTTTTATTTTTATGATAATAAAATAGATGTATTATATATCTTCTGGTCTATGTGGATGATATTATCATTACAAGTAATAATTCCATAGAGATTAAATAATTTTAAAAACAATTGACAAATCGATTCTCCATGAAAGACTTAAGAACCTTAGAACATTCATATCTTCTGAACTTTTTTTTTATCTCAAAAGAAATACATTAGAGATCTATCATCAAAGATGAACATGTAAAATGCCAAAGAAGTCGCCACTTCACTTTATATCATTGAGTCACTCAAATTATATAATGATAGTTTTACTATAGATCTCATAATAAGTACTTGATTCCTTATAACATTTATTTCTCACACGTCTAGACATTTCATTTATAGTTAACAAATTATCACAATTCATACGTCACATTGGCTTACATCAAAACGTGTTCTGCAATTTTTTAAAAAGACTCAATCACGGACTTCTCATTCGTAAACACTTGTCACTTTATCTTCGTACCTTCATTGATACTGATTAGATAGGCAATAAATAGATCCATCACGGAACTGAATACTGAGCAATCACTATCAAAACTTAATTGGATCACTAATCTATTACATGAACTTAGTATCATTTTCTAATCAACTCCTATAATATACACCCCCGATGTTCCTGTGATAATATCGTAGTTACAAAAACCTAACTACTTCCTGACATTAATGTCTTAAGACTTGTTGATGTTGGACTAGATTGATTACGAATCTCATCCCAACACATCGAATAATCAAAATCAACCATAACACCACCATTCATTAGATATTGCATGAAGAATAAAGATTAAAGTAATATATTTATCAATTGAATTACATAAGACAACTAACTAGTCACATACTCTATATGTTCGATTAAAACAGCAATATTGGTTGGAAATGTCTTTACTACAACAATAAAGTGACATTCTTGAGGGCATATCCTGCATTTCCCGATCCAATCCATTCAACACTCAGAAAACAATCTTTGATTTGTGAAAACAATTTCATCTTACGAAGCTCGAACCTCCTCCAGCATACACCAAAACTTATCGCCTGATGGCGATGGGGCAGCTTTTACTTGTTCTGTTTCTTCATCAGACCAATGGCTAAACCTGAACCCTTTTTATCTTTAGATTTCTGATCAAAGCGTGTGCTTCACACAGACAAGATCATCCAGTTTGTTCCCATCCATTTTGTAAAGAGAAACACCACCCATCTGAGCATAATGTTCTTGTGCTTCCTTCCTCAATCTCTCGAGCAGCACAAGCTCCCACTTATTGTAATTAGAATTCTTACGGGTATCGCTCATGTCGAGCGATCCAGACACTGGTCCATCTCCGTCCATCGTACCCCATACCTTGCAATTACCAAAGGGTCCTAAGTCACCTTCTTGACCAGTTTGCTCTCTTTTTAAACGCAACGCGACAGTATGAGCGCTTCTTATGATTTCTTTACTTGGTACATCTGACCAATCCTGCTTCCTCTCAGCTCTCATAGGAGAATGAATCCTGATGACCTACATGGATAACAATTTGGCAGGTTAGTGAGATCTATGACTTTGTTATGTGTGAGCCAACTCAATGTGTCAAAGAGGTCTTACACCGAGGCACTCCAGAAGTTGATAATAAGCTCTTCCTTGCAATGGATTGTGCCCTTTTCGGGGGGTTGAGAAGTACCGTGTCCTGGGAGAAACAAATATCAAGCAACAGTTTTCCAAAATCAGCAGGAAAGAAATCAATACATGTACTTTTTGCCCAAGAGAATTTCCGTGTGCAGTTGTTTACTGGATTTGAACTATTAACATAGAAATCAGGAACTTTCAGCAAACAGCAATATATTTACTCTTCAGCAGACATAAAAAGCTAACATGCAAATTTCAAGACTTTCAATCTGTTTGTATGTAATTATGGACTTCTTAAAATATAAAGCAAGATAAATAAAGATCAGCTCTGGATTATAAGAAGCCTAGTAGGACTATGATAGACATAATATATAACATGGTTGGTTGTCTATTGCCTTTCTTCAATTTTTTAGTTGATTTGCATTGTATGTTGTTTTAGGTAGAAAACGACTCAGAACATACTTACCATTCTGTATAACCAGGATCTACTGTAAATCCATATATGTCAACTGTGTCACACATGGAGAGTGCTAATTCTATAGACTTCATTCCGGTTCCCTTAGCACCCCTTCTTAGAACTATACCTTGGAAAAGGTAAACAGGATTCGGAAGTTCCTGCATTTAAAATGATATGACTCATTAGATTCTGCTATAAAAAAATATGATGCACAAATAAAATTTATAAAGATATGCAACATAGTGCACAAAAACAACTAATGGTAAAGCATCACCTTTATCGCTGCATTGAAATCTCTGTGTATTACACTCTTGATTATAAGCACCTCATCAGCTGCAATTTTCAGACAGTCTTTTAAGTGTGATAATAATTGCTAGAGAAGAACAAAATCAAGTTAATTAAGGAGAATAATAATGACTACTCAGGATTGGTTGATCATGTGAAATGGAAAAAAAAAGATACCCATAAACACATGATGAGAGAACAGAAACAATACATCAAGGCTAACTGCTTATAACATTTATATGCCTTGTGCATACTCCATCAACAGCAAAGAAAAATCTTCTAATAGTGTATCTATAAGAACTTTATTTTCAAATCAAGATAAGAATCTATAAACTGAGAGGTGTGCGTGCCAATTGTACAGGAAACAAAAATATCTTAATATATTACAATATATGGTGATTGTATCTTAGTGACAAAATTCTCACAAAATATAAACTATTCACAATTTGACCACACGTTTTATTTTATCTAATGATTCCCTGAACAATTCTCCATAGCATAATTGGTTAAACTGAATGATTTGTTCTCACATCAATCAGGAATCTTTGAGAAGTTACTACTAAATAAAAGGCGATATGATATTGATTTAGTATCTTTAGTTTTCTTTTTCCCTCCACATACAGTTTCACATGAAAGCATATATAGAATATATATTCAAGACCATACCTTCTCTACATATTTTCTTTCTTTTATGACAAATGTTTAACCAAGTTGATTCCATTTTTTGATAAGTTCATCCTCCGTTTTTAAATTTTAGTTTTAAACTCATGCCTGTTCTTGACTAATGAACTTTGTCTATGGACTGTAGAAAACCATATTAATAATTATTTCCTTAGATTATATCTAATTTTGACCGTGTACTTGACCCCCATAGAGTCTATTTATCTCTTATTTATCAACACATTCTTTTTCAGGAAGTTGATAATGTACCAAATGCATATCATGTGACAAAAAATCACTATATATAGTATGCACCGAATTTCTTCTGTGACAACTGTTCTGTAGCCCTGAAGAAGGGGGCCAACAGTAAAGAAAACAACTCTTTTCTTGTTATTAAATTGTCATATCATTAAAGAAATGGATTCATATAAGTTCTTTAGAAAATGTGTCTACTTAGTCTTAGCTTAAAAGTTAGACCCACATATATTGTGATCGTAAAGTGCAGTAATGCCACCTTAAATTACTTGCAAATGCTCTAAGACTTTGCAAAATTCACCAAGAATTGAGAGTTCCATGAAGAAAATGATCAGAATTATTAAGTTTGACCTTATGTCTAGAGCATGTATAGGCCCTTATATCCCTACACTGCAGACAGTCAGACATTGCCTATACAAATAATCACCGAGTTCAACTTGGGCATCTAGAACCAGAAAACAAAAAAATCTTAGCATTTGATTTTCATGGAGCACCAATCTTAACAATCTTGCAAAAAACATCATTTGTTTTGAACGTGTCAAGGCTCTATAAACAAGAACCACTAGCAGCATTAACAATGTTAGTATTGTCTGAAATTACAGAAATATCTACATATAAAGCCAGAATCTTACAGGATCCATTGAGAATAGCAGCCATGTTACGAGCAGCACCTCTTACAACTAGGCGAAAATCCCTTTTTAGTCCGACATGTTTAGCATATTTCTGTAGGACAAATCAAGATCAGTTGATAATTACAGAATGTTGATCCAAAATATTCACAAGCTTCTGTTTTCTGAAAGTCAGTTAAGGGCTAAAATTGGGCATATTAAGTCAGATGAATCTGCCTAAGAGGCTGATGAATACATCAGATGTGATACCGACAAGGTGAACAGGCTTGTTAAGAAAAGCTTGTTAAAGAATGATGCAGTTTAGCTAATAATAATTGGGTCATGCAGATCTAATTTAATCATATAGCAAGGTAGCTTAGGTATCAATAGAAAAGTATCTTCAGGTTTACCATATGATTTCTTTAGCAACAAGAAACACTAAGAGACAAAGCATCGACTTGCTAACAAGGAAGAAACATCTACCTAACATAATTAGATTGGACAACTATATGTATGAGTCTGCAGGCATGACCACGGCTTAAAAAATCAAGTGCTGTTAGGTCTTTAAAGAAGCTATTGCTTGAACAAACCATAATTCAAGTGTCAGAACAAGAGCTTCAAGTGACCTTTTTTTCCTTGAAAATCTATAAGGAAATATAGAAACGCCGAAAGATGAAGATAAAATTGCTGATGCTGTGGCTCAAACATATATAGATAATTACAATCATGCACATACATCAAACAAAAAATAATCAACCCACTACCTCATTAACAGGAGCCTCATTATCTCGAAACACTGCATCATGTTCATCAATCTCCTCTCCAAATTCTGTCTTCAAGAGATCCCCAGAGTTCCCGACAACCGCACATGTCTTAAACTGGCGGGGGTGGAAGGGGGGCTTTGCAGGTAATATTAAGTTAAGATGTTCCTCACAAAGAGAACGATTATAGCATTTATCTGCACCCCTACAAACAAGACAATATAGAGAAGCTCCTGTTGAGTCATTTTGAGATTTAAATCACAAAAAAAACACTGCACATATGGTAACTTACAACTGAGCAATTCTTTTTGCAGCATACTCTAACCATCCATCAGGCCGTACATCTAAGTATTCCCTTGTCAAGATTGTAGTCATATTACGATACTGGAAAATTTTGGGGTTCCAAACTTTCAGTACATAATATAGCAAACAAATCAATGTTTTACCAAAAGGAATCTAACCTGTTCCCACAGAAGAATAGCTTCACAAACATCATATTTGTATTCCAATGGCTCAAAAATTTTAAACTGTGCATTATACTGCAATTAGAAAAACATGGGTTTTAACATGAGGAAGGAACATTTTGCAAAAAAATCTCATACAAGTGAGAGAAAATGAATTATTCAAATTCTGGAACAAGTGGAGAGCAGAGGTTGACCCAGGTACTGTTTGTGCCTTCAGGAAATTTAAGCACCAATTTACAGTGATCGATAATATCTGCAGTAAGGCCAAGTCCTCTGCTTGCCTAGAGAAAGTTTCAAGGTCAGACTTAAAGAAAAGAAGGCTAATTTAGTTCCTTAATGTGAAATAAGAACAGATTCTAATTGTATAATTGAATGTAAAGGAGGGCACATATGTGTCACCATGCAGATGACCAACACAAGAAAACTAAATTATCAATTCAACAATCAGTTGGATGATGCTATGTGGCAGAAAACATTGCATTTTGCAATAATCAGACTTTTCCATTCTTACACAGCCATATCCAATTCTCACCAAATTACGCAAGGGCTAATCTCCTTTGAGTCGAGTCACTGGACAGAAAGCAAGAGATGTATGGTTCCCATCATGGTTTACATGCATCAGTTTTACGCTTAAACCAAGCAAATGCAATAATCAGATCCTGCTCAAAGACGTAAACACTACACTGAAATCCACAAAAAATTGCAAACAAAAGCTTAAGAGAACAACAATGTCATTCTTTTTTTTCTTCAATTAAAACCGATGTTTTCCCAAACAAAGCACCCATTTCCCAAAACCTGAGAATTTCATCTTATTCTAAACCACCTGACAACATTGATGCAATTGTACGGAAGTATAGGCGATCTTTGTCAAATCCACCATCAAAGACACACAAGGAGAAGAGATCAAGAATCACGTACCACGCACTGCTGGAGGCGGGTCTGCAAATCCGACAGGACCCGGATCTCCTCTCTGCCGACAAGCGATCTCCGGCTTCCTGGAAACCAAGAAAGAGGGAAGAGATCAATAACCAGAAGGGATCAAGGAGTCAGAGTTCCACTTTACTTCTTCTCGATGCAGCGGCTGACCGGTGAAGAAAGAGGACTGAATCGTGACGACGAGGGCGGAGAAGACGAGGGAGGCGCCAAGGAGGAGGACCACGACGGCGGGCCGCCGGCTCGGGGCGGAGCCCTTCGCGGTTCTCATCTCTCGACGACGGCAAGATCGGATCGGACGAAACCCACCGCTATGCAATTGCCGAGCTTGCGAGTGAGGGAGTCGGTCCAGTACTGGAGGGCAATCACTTGGAGGGTTTCATGTACGGATATATAAAGAACATGTTTGCTATTACAAACTTTCTCATGACATGAACACAACTCTCCATATGTATGATCATCCATGTATGCATAGGTGATTTAATTACATTCAAATATCCAAATCAATCACTTATAACTATGATTAATATTTTTTTGTTTATAACATTAGTTAAAATTACGATTAATATTTAATTTTACAAGATTAGCTACAAATCTATAATTTTAAACTTACTTGTAGATAAATAAATAATAAAAATCACAAACAATAAAACATATATATATCTATATATTGTCGTTGTGCATTTGTAAATATATTATTTTCAAACTTTGCTAGAATACATATAATATTTTTTTTGGATTTCTTTTTCAGATGCCCCATTTTTAGTTTTTATGTCTCAATTTTTCTTTAATACTTTAACAAAAGAATTTTAAGATAAAAAAAATAAAAATTAGATAAGATTTCAAACTGTTTAAAAGAAATATCAGCAATGATCAAACCAATATTACGTTTAACCAGTGAACAACTAAAACTCCATGACATAGGGATGCTATCATAAACTCTCATTTCATTCTTACAAACACATAATAAGCAATTTTGAAGCATTATAAATAAGTTTGCAGCTTTCATTAGCATCGTATATCTACTACTGATACATTCGCATTTGTGAAAATAGACATTACCATCTTCGGCTCTCGGTGAGCCATGTAACAAAAGAACACAGTATCTTCTTTCATGTGCAAAATGGATCAGAAGTTATTCTCTGGAATTTTTCTTAACATTCATTGTGTTCTCTGTACCCAAAATGTGTCACGTGTATCAAAGAGCAAGAGCAACTCCACTAAAATTATATTGTTGCAAGTATTCATTAGCGAATCGAGCAACAAAACCACTTCTTCCTAGAGTGCTTTGACTTGCCACTTTTAAGGCTTTTGTCATGAAAACCATTGGCCTCGAGGGTCTCTTCATCGCAGACCTTGTTCATGCTCTCTAACAATGGAGGCTTTGTCATACTAATAGCACTTTGTGTCGGCTTAATATGGGAAGAACTTGAATCAGTTGTCTCTGGGCCCAAAACTGTGAGCTTATTTCCGAATGCAGATGTCTTTGTGTTATCACTGCAAGGAGTACACCACAGGTAAATATGATCTTATGTTTTGTCTGACTAATATAGCAGATTTAGATTAAAATTTGAAACTTGGAGGCCCCTCTAATACAGAGCTCAACCAACCCCAAATAGTTGGAATATTATGGCTTCTTATCGTTGTAAGGCCCTCTAATTGAAAGCCCATAAATTACACAAAGCAAAAATTGTTTCAAACAGAAATACCTGGAATTTCTAGTGGATGATTTGGTCTCAGAAGCCTCTAGAGCTGCTTCATAAGTGGGCAACCCTTCATCAACTGACAAGCAGTCCAATTGGTTGTTCGGTGAACCTTTCTTACGAAGTATAGAAATGGCATTGTCCAAGATGCCCAGAGCAACTTCCACCTCTGGGCTGATATAAACTCTTTTTGTGATGAGATCTTGCTGTTTAGTACTTGAGAGTGTGCTGTGTTCTGTCTCCTCTTCCACAATTTCACTGACATATCTGCTGTCTATAATTGATTGAATTTCAGTTGCAGTTTCACCGATGTGTTCCTTGGGGAGAGGACCTTCATATTTTTCCTCATCCAAGCCAACTACATCAGTTTTGGTCTTGTGTTTGGTATTCATTCCTTCACGAATTCTAGCATACATAGGCCCTTCTAAAGCTTTTCGGTAATCCTGGTCAGTGGTTGCCACTGTACCAACTGCCTGCAAGGCACCAATGCTTGTATTAGTTGAAGCAAGGACCTTATACAAAGAATGAGTAGCGAAGTATGACTACAAGATCAAAGTGTTAATTACACCTTATCTTGGCTAAAAGGCAAGAACTGGAAATTTGAACACAGATAAAATTCCAAAGATTGTACACAAATTATTAAGGCGTGCCAATCTTTTTTTGGTGGGCCACAACAATCTATTCTTTGATTATGTTAAGCTAAAAGTAATCCTACCTTCCATGTTTGACTGATAAGATATATAACCACTAAACCATGATGCATTCAATTACACATGGAAACCCATATATGCAGTGCATAGTAAAAAGAAGGTATTACTTTTTGATATAGCTTATGCCCATTGCCGATTAGCTGCCTTGAAATGAAATTGATAAGGGATGGAGGCACGAAATCCAGCTTGATATCCATATTTGTTATTGCCCTGAAGATTACAAGATCCATCAGACAAGAAATGAATACTGATGAAGAGTTCACAAAGTTTAACGAGTACACAGTGTAAACATTGTATAATGTATATATTAGCATTAAAATTAAAAAAATTATATGTGTCAGCTAATTTAATTGGTAAAGATATTGACTCTTGATGGCGAAGGTCCTGGGATCGAATATTATCTTTATTACTTACAGTTTGCACACAAAGTAAATAGTCATTAATAGTTTAATACTACACAATGCAGTTGTAATTGTCCCATAAGTGAGACAAAAAGATATGTAAAGAAAAATTCTCATTATACACAGAATTTATTTTAGCATTTCCTATTCATCAAATGGTTCTCTGATAATTCTAAGAATAATAAGATGTCTGATCCTGTTAGAAGTACCTGAAATAACATCTGCTATGATCAACTTTTTGCAAGACAAAACCACCGACCAAATCTATACGGATAGCTTTGGGAACTTCATTCCTGTTGAAGTCGTCAGTGCTAACCTCTATCTTCTCTGAGTCTGAAATCTACAGGAAAATGCAACATACCCATCAATTTTTGTCTTTTACAATCTCTGTCCAACACCCATGAGAAAATGTTCAGACAAAGTATGTTATTTCCTAGTTCTAGCTTGTTTTCAAATGATTACTAATTGGTTTATTCAGTAACAAATTCAGGAAATATGTACTCTTATAAATCTCCATGTTTATGTATTTGCTGCGTCAAATGTAGGTGATCCCCTAAAGTCCATATAAGAGAACCTTGATATAATATGTAGACATATTGTTGAAAAAGGTACAAACGACAGTTCTATGGTTTTGCATGAATTATATGATCGATCAATTTCATAAGGGACAAAGGTCTGTCTTTACCGTGTTAATAAGTACAAGGATGAGATCCTCGTTTAGGTATTCGATCTCAAAGTAATGAAGAAGTGCCTCCCTATCTGAAACTGGCCAAGGAACTTTCACCCTTTCTTCCAAACAGTGAAAGAATAAAGATAAGTACAAGAAGATACAGAAAGGAAAAATAAGGTAGATATCCAAAATCATTTGTTATAGAATAACAACTAACCTTACTAAAGAGATCTCTTCACCTATTTGAACTTTCTGCAAGCAGGTGGACATAATAATCTTAAAAGTTGGCAGGTTGTATTGAGGCCACCTGGGACGAGAGCACAAAATAGGAGAAATGGCATCAAGTCCAGCAAACCATGCAAATTGAAGTGACATGGACATGTGCTTCCATAGCACCACTTTCATCACAGTAACGTACAATAACCAAAGCCATGCTGAGTGTCAACATCCCAGTGTGTGCAGAATGCAAGAATGTATTATTATGGTGGTCTCCCAGCACAATCCAGGAATTGACATTCAGAACTATGATCTTGCACATACTAAGAAAAAAAGGAACTCACACTCCTGAAGCTAAAGTCGTCACAAGTGAATAGAAGAAGCATAAAACATCCTACATAATGCAGAACACATATTTGCTTACTATAACATCTAGCCCATGCACTCACCATTTATTATAGAGGGTTGTCTCCCATGAAACACATAAACCTGAAAGAAACAAAATTTTGGTAAGAAATTATTGCACTATCAACATGCTGGAGCAGAAGTGTCCCAAATATTAACAAATATTAAACTTACAGACATCAATAGGTCCATCAGCATATCCCTCGGCAAGTAGAGTATGAAATGGAGTTCCATGGGGGCCTTCCCGATACATGACCCGGAGCTGGTCTGTGTCTTGTTTTACCTGGAAAGTAACAATAATGATACTTATTGTGAAAAGCATTTGTCAAAAGCATGAAAACACCACAATAACTTAAAATTCATGCTAAAACTAGTGTACAACAGCTAAGGAGATAGGATAAAGCAGTGACTTGAAAACATGAAAGCTCATCCTCAAAATTCCTTAAAATTCATATAATGATTCAATCATAGATTTTGCAACAGATTCATAGCATATTTTGTTTCTATCAAAATGAAAAACGACATTAGTTTTTTATCATTAACATTTGAGTAGAATTAAGGTCTAGGAACCCAAGTCCACAAACATGTTTTTAGTCAAACAATAAGAACTTAATAACTGTTACTCCACAAAATAGTACCGAACAACACATTCAACATCCAATATTGATAACATGAGTCACGTCCATGGCACATCCAAGCCGATAGGATTATATAATAGTTAAAAAAGAATAATTATAGAAGATTTCAGAATTCTTGGGCAACATCAAGATGAATAAACAGGAAGAGATCTGGCATACAAGAAGGATTTTGAACCTTGAAAGTGAAATTTGAATATCTAATGACATACAGAAATTCAGTACAAGCACATCCAAAAAAAAGAAACTAAAGAAAGATTAGATACCTTCCAATCATTATGTGATGTCCCATGTGCTTTAGCCTTCCTTTCATCTTCAGAGGCACTCCGTAGCATCTCAACAAAATTAGAAACTTCCATTGTACGCTTTTCTATAATTTGTTCGATGTTTCCTGCTAATGAAAAAAAAAACACATATTTGTAACAAACAATCTTGCAGCTTTACATGCACAGAGGAAAGCTAACACATCAGCTAATATCATGAAGTAGTAGCCCATTTAAAGATACATCAACTTGGCGAAAAAACAATAAAATCTGAAAGCATATAATCGAAATGTATTTACAAAGACTTGAATCTAACTCTAAATGATATCTGTTGAGGCTTCCAGTTAAAAAGTTATAAGCCAGCGAGAGTGACTTTAATCTGGACAAAGTCTGGAATAAAATATGCATAATATGCACTCTTAGATGACATCTGCAAACTCCAGGTAGAAAAGATAAAAGCAAATTATGAGTTCTGCATTTAGATCTACAAATATTAAGCAACATACATATTGACAAAGGATTATCTATAAACCAGCAGTACAACCACGAAAGTTTCCTTTAAATTTGCAAATGGAAGGGACTGTAAACTAAGGAACTATGCATGAGCAACCCAAACCAACACATGATCATTCTACAAGGAGATAAATGACATGCTCATGCTACAATTTTAGCAATAAGAAAAGTCAGCATCTATTGTTGCGTCAAATAATTAATCAACCTTCAAAGTGAGATAAGGATGACTTCAGAAGTTGATTCTTGACGAGCGACTTGATATACTCTTCATTTGCAAGGTCAGGCAAAGCTAGAGTTTCGTCCAGCCTCTCTCTCTGCTCCAAAATCTTCCTTTTCTTCTCCATTTTGCACTTGAAGAGTTATTAAATAAGTCTTTTTATTTCTCCTTTAACGTGGGTACCATATAACTTTTATCTTCAATGAATTGTATTTCAGTGTATACAAAACCTTGCAATGGAAAACTTGGTCTGTCAAATACATAAAATAGATCATTAAAATAAAAGTAAAGCAGCAACCATGATAATAGGAACAAAAACTGTGTCATTATAATATGACTAAATATAAAAAATTGCAAAACCACAGTAAATTCTTGTAATTTATGCTTCCACAAATAATAAGGTGAGCCTTGATAAGAAAAGTCATCTATCCGGATGGTATATAGCTCTAGGTCGTTTTTTTGCTTACTAGAAACAACAAGTTTGTAAACTTAAAGTTTGCACAATGTCTGTGCCCTGATTTGCTCAAGATCACAAGCTAATTGATGTTGTCCCTAATAGCTTATCTTTCCCAAGAAGAGTACACCTTAACTTTCTCACTTGAAAAGGAAAAGCAATATAGTTTATCTCAAATGCATATGTTCCAAAATTGGCTGATGGAAGGTGGTAATAGACATAAGTGGTATAGAAAAGACAGCTGCCAAAATAAACCAACAAAAGTACCTGCCTGGACATGTCAGAGTCAAATGAGAACAATATTCTTATTGTTCCTCCTGAGAACATTTTCTATATGTGTATGCACCTCCAGGAAAAGGCAACCATAAAAAACAAATATCAACGAAGTAGATTCTACACAAATATACTAGCAAACTGGAGCTTGTATTAGTTAATAGAATGACAAGTTTATATCATTCTTGGAATTCTTTGAAACCACTTGATATGTTTTTATGGTTGTCCTGAGGTAATTTACAATCAACTACTTTGTTTACTGATCAAAAATACTAATCAGAGACAAAAGAAATCCATGAAATAACATTACAAATATAGTATCTGTTAAAGCAAGCTAGAATTCTCATGAGTAGAAAATACATGGAAACAACAAGTAAATGCAATTGTTTGTCCAAATAGAATCTAATTCTTGTTAGTAAAATGCTCTATTGAATGGCCTTATCCTGTTGAAGGAATAATGTAGGAGCATCGATACCTGCCAGCTGCTTAAAGCTGGAATCTAATGGAAGTTAGAACAACAACTACATCTAGAGAGTACTGGCTCCTTTCTCATGCATTATGACTAAGCGGAGCAGAAGTTTTAGTTCAGGTGATGCCAAATTAGGAAGCAGCATCAACACCATCTGTGAATAAACAAGTCCATGGTGGCTAAAAAAAATTTTTGTTTCCTCCTTTTCCAAGGGGAAAAAACTTTGATGTCATCTTTTATTTTTCATCCATTTGAACTAGAAAAAAGAATATATTATTGACTTTATGCTTCCCCCTTCAAGCAACAAATGCAGGAAAAAAGTCAAAGTAACTATTCTAGATTTTTAGTTTCTACAAATTATTTTCACCAGGCAAAGCAGAGGGTTTTTGTCCAATTTCATCAATTAAGATAAGAATTGTAAACCCTTTAAGATAATTCTACAAACACTAAGAAAAGACCTACAAAAAAAAGGTTCTCTATAGTGGAATTGCCTCCCCCAAGCCTATAGAAACTCAAAGACATGACACAGTAGATTTCAGAAAAGTTGCCAATCCAAATACATGAGCAATGTTACTTCTTCCAAGAGAAAGCTATATTTACAATTTCACACCTGATTGTATCTAAAAACAAGGATTAATCGACTCAAACCTCACCATGAACATAGAAAACTATAAACTCTAATCCTAGAAGGCATTCCAAATACAACCACGCTTTTCCTGAATACCTCCACTAAGCTTGACCCAAGATCTTGACATGTCAACAAAAAAAATCACCCACAAAGACTCTCTTTTAGATCATCAATCCCCCTTGTTACACCGAAAACTAACAAAAACCTTTCGTGGTGTCAAAATATAAATATTTAGCAATTAGTGAACACTCAACCGTTCCCATCATATAAACATGCAAACCCTCTGACGACTCTCACCATGTCAATCGAATTAACGCACAGACTTCATGGATCAACGACAAAAATCAATTTCAAAGAAATTTACAACTTTTTTCTTGAAAAAAGATGAGAAGTTTTCAGCTAAATACTTCATAAGTCAACGGAAAACAGAAGTTCTAATAAAAGAAAATATAGAGAAGAAGAAAACTTTAGCCCAGATTTGTTCCTTTCTGACTCGAAAAAGGAACATACAGATGGAAGAACTCCCCAGTAATTCAGTATCTGTCACAAATGCCCCATACAATCGAATCCAAACGCCACCGCATAACCTTTTCCGTTGACTATATATAACAAGAACTGCCGACAAATACTAAACTAAGGACCTAGATCCAAAGCTTCAAACTTGAGCCCAAATCCAGCGACGAGAAGTAATCTTAAAGCTGGAACCGACTCTCCGTTATGAGTTAAAACAGTCCAAAAAAAACACCGAATCGACGGAATTACACATGCCAAGGGATCTCGGGCAATAGTTGCGGATTTCGACGACTACATCCAACAAAACGCGGTACAGAATCGAACAAGAAATCGGAAGGGGGGGAGCACAAAAAGAAGAGTCGGTGATTAAATTACGATGATGACCATGATCACAGAACACGAAAGGAAGGCCGAACTAGTTCATCTCACCGATTACTGCTTGCGATCTTGGTAATTGGATTCAAGACGTGGATCGGAAAAAGAGAGGGTGGGAAGAATGCCGAATCGTACACAGTTGAGGCACGGCTGTATCGAGCTGTTCGGTGGTTGGGAGGTAATAACGTACTCGTCAAGGGGTATTCTACACAACGGCCTTTCTAAAGCTATATATATATACACACATATATATATATATACATATATATATATATAATCCTATTTATTCATTTTAATTAAAGTCTAAATTTTATATAAATATATACTTCTAAAATAAATCTAAAAATTAGAAATATATCATTGCAATTAATCTCCTGTAACCAATTATCATTTGATCTATGGTTATTTTTAATTATAAACAATAATTTCTTATATGATTATGAGAATAGTAAATATATTTCAGTTACTTTTATATTATTTTTTTTTTCAACTCAAATTAAATATTAGCAGCTCCAGCAAAGCATAATTGACCGAAGATATCAATAATTTGGATGGATAAATAAATATGCTATTTTTAAACTTTGAAAGGGTAGTGTACCTCAAATTTGAATATCAATAAAGTGTATAAAATAAGATATAGTGTACAAATTCGAAATTCCATTTGATTTCCAAATAATTATCAAGTTTAGATTTTTTCTTTTAAATCTTGGCTGGATTCGACCTGATTGGAATAGCATAAAAATGACATTGTTTAAGGGAGGAAGGGGGAAAAAACACATATATGCAATGATATAGTTGATAGATGTGGTGGATGAATCACAATCACACAATAGATTTGCATAAGACACTAATTATTGATTAATAATTTTGTTGAATGCTCTTTTTTTAATGATCATTTAATATTATCCCCATTCTAAGATGGATGTGTTGTTTTATTTTTCTCATAATCCTTTTTTTGTCTTTTGTTAGGAATGGATGTCTTATGAATAATTATCAATTGTTTTTGATATGATGAATAGTCTATTTTTATTGGTTTGGTTGTTCGACAACTATCATAATAGATTTCACATCGAAAGATCGGTGCCATTAGTTTCAATGTAGTTGGCCGTTCAACAACCATCATAATAATACTCATTATTCATTAAATGTCCTTCCTACGTTTGTGGCCATGGCTTCTTTAAAGACACATATCCTTGTAAGTTTGGACATATCCTTGTAACCTATTGAGTTTGGACATATCCTTGTAAGTTTATTCAAGTCATTTTCTATTTCTCAAGTCAGTCATTTATTGATAGAAACTTGTAGATAATACTTGCCATGGAAAAGACACTCATCACAAGAAGTATACCGAGCAGCAACATAGTCGGAAGCAGATATCAGAACCAACAAAAGTTGTACTGGAACTCTTGAACACCAAGTTTAAAGCTGGAGGTGGGAGATGAAAGATCATGGGTTTTGTTGATGCAAAAGGTAGCAATTTGCTAAAGACTTCTTTGTCTAATGCTCTTTTCTTTGGTGAGAGAACATATTTTGTGTGTTTCTTGCTACGTACTCTCATGCATACTGCGGTTTCATTCACTGTTCCAGGTTTTTGATTTATGGGTCTCCACCTTTGCTTCTGAAGAATAATACCTGTCATGATCAAAAACAGCTTTATCTATTTAATTACAGTTCCATGCATCCCACAGCATTCATTGGTCGTGAACTCAACAAAACTGAGGTGATGATTGATCAGACTGCATGCACCGAAAGAAGAGGAGAGAGGAAGGAAGGGTTTCAGCAATAGACAACCATAGTGCAGGAAAAGAAGAGAGAAGGGGGAACAAGGAGAAAAGGAAGAAGACGGCCAGGTGCTGCTTTCGACGAGGCTTTGGATATCGTCTCCTTTTTCTCGACTGTCCCCGCCACGCTTCAACACGCTTTTGGAAAAGCGAGCTATATTCAACGCGACGAAAATGACCGAGACATCCTTCGCCTGTGAGACCTTCTGCAACTTTCTTGAGGGTTTTTTGGTCATTAACGACACAACCCCCCTCAAGTGCTAGCGAAGCCACTGGGCCCCGCCGTCTTGCCCTGCTACTTTCGTTGTAACATCAAATAATTGTCACTTGAAATTACGTCTTAGCCCTCAGCCCCAACACCCTTTTTTGGGTTCACCCGAACCCGGTCGAACTTGGCCAATTGCAGGTGAACGGATGTATAATGTATTCGGCCGATGACCAACATGTCACGTTGATTCTAATGGTTGGCCTGATGTGAATTCGATCCGACCCGCTACTATCCATTTCTTTTTTATGATGTCACGTAAGTAACGAGGAAAAGGAATCCAAAGCGGTCCTGCGGAGATTAGATAAACGCATATGGACATCGGAGGGACAATTTAGTCATTTTATAATACGGTGAAAAAACCAATAAATATGGACTGCTTCCTCGTTCATTTCTTCGTTACTCGACGCACTTCTCGGCTCACTTCTCACAGCTCACACAGGGGGAGCGAGCATGAGAGAGCAGATGGAGGAAAGGGGAATGGGGGTGGCGCCAGGGCTGGAGTCGGAGCTGGTCTCGATCCCGGCGACCCCGCGGGGAGTCTCGACGCCGGAGACTGTGACACCGACGGGCCTGCGGTCGCCGCGGCCGCCGGGTGGCGCGTCAGTAGCCGGGGCCGGGGCCGCCGGGTCCAACTCGGCCAAGTCGTGGACGCCGACGCCGGCGATGATATCGCCGCGGTTTCTGAGCCCGTCCATCTCGTCGGCGGTGGGGACGCCCATGAAGCGCGTGCTGGTGAACCTGAGGGGATACCTGGAGGAGGTAGGCCACCTGACGAAGCTTAACCCCCAGGATGCCTGGCTCCCCATCACCGAGTCCCGCAACGGCAACGCCCACTACGCTGCCTTCCACAATCTCAACGCCGGCATCGGTTTCCAGGCCCTCCTCCTTCCCGTCGCCTTCGCCTTCCTCGGATGGTCACCTTCTTCCTCCTCTTTCCTTCTCTCTACCTGCTTAATACCGTACTATCTCTTTTGGTTCTCCTTTACTGGTTGCTTAGAGTACAACATCATAGCATATTATTGGCCACAATGGTCGAAGCCTGCTTCGTAACCCACGGTGATAATACTCTTCAGCATCATGCGCATGTACATGGCAATTGGTAAACGGCAAAAAGTTACCACATATACTGTGGGATGCATGTGATGGTTCTGAATCTGATTGCGCTTTGTCACCAGCTTAGATTTGTCACGAGTCGAATGAGATCGATGGATCGATGGAATGCGCCAGAGTCGGATATCATGAAGTTTTGGTTGTTTTGATGTCACATTCCTTTGATTTAGCTTTATGTCACCCTCAAATCACCTTGTACAGTTGCTTACACAGCCCAAGCTTTTAACTGAAGTTATCTGATTTATCATCAGTCTAGAGCTTTAGCAAGGAGTTCTATAGAGTAGAGTTATTATGCTGCTAAGTAATTTCCTTGGCAAATGGAAACACAAGGTTGTCTAAATAGCTTTGCCTTATCAGAGGAATGAGAAATGTGAATGTCTGCAGATGTTTCAAGTTTACAGATCCTCTGTTTGTGTCTTTCTGCAACTCCTGATAGATTTTGGTTGAGAAGAATGACCTTCTTAAAGTTGGTAGTAACTTAGTTGTACAGCAATTCATAACACCATGAATTACATTACTAAAATAATTGCAGAGTTAGCAATCCATTTGCTGGTAAGCTTGCAGCCTTACACCTGCTATTCACCAGAAGAGGTTATGATGAAAAGAATAACCTTGGTTGTCACAATTTTTCATTGTATGCTATTGTAAAGCTTCATTTCTTGGACTTCAGGAGCTGGGGCATTGTAGCTCTGACCATTGCTTACATCTGGCAACTTTACACACTCTGGATTCTCGTCAAGCTACATGAAGCCATGCCCGGAAGAAGATACAACAGATATGTGGAGCTTGCGCAGGCTGCATTTGGTAAGATTGCTCTTCTCCTTCATTCTTGGTTCAGTCTGTGATTCTTAGACATGCTAACCTTGTTATTACGTTACCATTTGCCTCCATGATTGTGATCAGCTAAGATTGCACACTAGTGTAGGAAATTTCTGGCTGTCCTTTTAGCATGCCGATTTCTTGCTACACCCAAATTTCTGTTCATTTCTCTATAAAACTGAAAATAAAACTTGTTCTTTACTTATCGAGAATTGTACTTTTAGAAATCCTAAATTGGATAAAATAATTGTCTTGAAGTATTTCATTCATCAAAGTGGAGGAAATACTTATGTATTGATCTAATAATAAATATTTGTGCAGTTCACAAACTGCATTTTATCAATGATCAAAATAATGTAACTTTGCTTAGCTACTCATTTAAGAGCCACCATTGAAGAAGTAATTTTGTGATGATGCAATTCTTTTGTATATATTTCAAGCATTGAGTTAATATGATGAAGAGTAGTTAATAATATTAATATCTTTTTCATTGTGTGGTAGCAATGATGTTTGGAATTACGAATTATGCTGTTATAAGCAGCACATTCCTTTCTGTCTCTTGGAGCTCTTTTCGCCAAGCAATGAACTTTCTCTTCCATTGCTATCACATTGTGCCTAGTCGAAAAAGTACCTAAACCACATTGAGGAAGAGATGGCAGTGTGTCCTGCAAAAATGTAAATTTTTGAAATCCAACTAAGGATGGAGATGTTTATCAATATCGATATCGCAAGCCACAAATAGAATCCATGAAAAATTGAGCATGTATATACCAGAACTTCCTAGAGAACCTGGTTTTTCCACTTGTAATGAGCGCATTATCTTTGTCTTCTTCCAGGAGAAAGATTAGGTGTCTGGCTCGCTTTATTCCCAACAGTTTACTTATCGGCAGGGACTGCAACGGCATTGATTCTGATCGGAGGGGAAACCATGAAGATGTTTTTCCAGATAGTCTGCGGACCCCTTTGTTCATCAAACCCACTTTCAACTGTCGAGTGGTATCTCGTGTTTACAATCTTGTGCATTGTCCTGTCTCAGCTCCCAAACCTCAATTCCATTGCTGGGCTTTCACTTATCGGAGCAGTAACAGCAATCACTTATGCTACTATGGCTTGGCTTCTCTCTGTCAGCCAAGAAAGACCACCTTCCATCTCTTATCAGCCAATGGCATCACCTTCTTTCGGTGCAGCAGCTTTTTCAATCTTAAA